GATTAAAGGGTTAGTTCACCCAAAAATGTAAATTCTGTCATTATTTACTCATGTCGTTCCAAACCAGTAAGACTTTCGTTCACCTTCAGAACACAAATGAAGATATTTCTGATGAAATCTGAGAGCTTTCTGTCCCTCCATTGAATTTTCAAGGCCCAGAAAGGTAGTAAAAACATCATCAAAATAGTAAATGTGATTACAGTAGTTCAACCGTAATGTTATGAAGCGATTTTGTGCACAACCCCCTAAAATAACAAATTTATTCAACAATCGCTTCGGATCCAAGTCATTCTCCCACACTGTTGAAGTAGTGCAAACAGTGCAGCGCTTATGGGATCTACGTCAGAATGCAGGCTCACTATTGGCTGACGCTGGTCATGTGTGTTAGGTTGGCCAATAGCGAGCCAGCGTTCTGACGTTTTTGCGCTCTAGTCGCTTCATAATTTTACTGTTGACTAATTTAATGATATTTTGACTACCTTTCTGGGCCTTGCAAGTTGCAATGACGTTGCTTTCAATGGAGGGACTGATAGCTATCAAATATCGGTAACACTTTACAATAAGGTTCATTATTTAACATTAGTTAACGTATTAACTAACATGAACTAACCATGAGCAATACATTTGTTACAGTATTTGTTAATCTTCGTTGATGTTAGTTAATGATAATAAAGCTGTTCATTGTTTGTTCATGTTAGTTCACAGCGCATTAACTAATGTTAACAAGATTTTAATAAAGTATTAGTAATTATTGAAATTAACGTTTACAAAGATTAATAAATACTGTATAAGGGCTGTTCATTATTAGTTCATGCTAACTAATGTAGTTAACTAATGTTAACTAATGAACCTTATTGTAAAGTGTTACCAAACATCTTTATTTGTCTTCCAAAGATGAACAAAAGTCTCACAGGTTTTGACCATAATGACAGAATTTTTGGATGAACTAACCCTTTAAAATGATTTAATTATAATTCAAGAGTCTTTCAAGCTGAGGGGAGCTAAACATCCTCACAACTAATTTTATAAAGTGTGTACTTTTCTTCAAAGACTCTCCCCTTGCAAGTGTGAAGAAAGCTGTGGACGATGCACTTTTTTACCAGAAGCCTTACTACATGAAACTGTGTCACATGGGTTTGATTTATGAGTGTTAACAGACTAGATTCAATACACACACAAAAAAAAACATGATCACATGATTAGTTTTTCTGTAATGTGATTGTCCACTGAATCTACTGTAACCACATATCACATACAGTTCAATTAACCCTAAAAAGGTATTTACCCATCATGTGATGAGTTATTCAATCAGGACTGTTTGAAGACACATGAATGTAGGCTACAGAACTAGGGTAAAACATCAACATCAAGATTTACCAAATACATCACAAATACAGAAAGGGGCCAGAAAGTATTGTTTGGGTTACACAAACATCTGAGGGGAACTGACTTCATACATCCACTAAAAATCACCAAACTACAAAACAACATAACAACGGGTGCGGTGTGAACCCATCACTGGTACAGTAGTGTGTCTAATGCACAGACTGTCTTTATATAAGGCCGTTGTTTAGTGTCAGAATATGCAGCAGATTTTCTCTCACCTGATTCACACACAGCAGAAGAAGAAGCGTTGCTGAACGCGTCCGAGCGTCGCTCCTTCACCGCTCGCCCGGAGAAACGCTCGTCCTGTGACGCTGTTCTCGCGGTGTTCCGGTAAATTCGGCTGTCCGGTGACTCCGGTTCTCCTCCGGTCCGGACCGCGTCTCGAGCTCAGAGAGACACCAGCTGACTGAAACACATGTGCGCTGAACTGACGCCTTACAAGCATTCGGCTATAGAGGGCGACAAACACACACATTTACGGCAAACATACACATACATGGGTTATAGAGTGCGATAATACAATCTGGTGCCAAACTAGAGCTTATGGTCCAGTCAGGCCAAATACAGACTAGGGGAACTCATATTAATGTTAAAAAACCTCAGAAAATGAAAATTTCATGTAAGGGGACCTTTAAGCCAAAATGGGGGTCAACCTTGAACAAATTGCAACAGAAGCAAACTCAACTGATTTTGTGTCCTCAATATGTCCTGAGTAAGGAAATAAAAAATCCCCGAAGAATCCCATTAGGGGAACGTTTAGAAAAAACAACAACAAATATATCCCATTCATTCGCCTATTCATTCTTTTTCTCATGTGAAAAGGGTCAACATTTTAACCTTTAGATAGCCTATCATCATGAAAATCACTGAGTTGATTACTTACATCAAGACAAACAAAAAAAAATCTATTACAAGTTTGTTTTTTTTTTCATTGTTTGTTAACATGGACAAACGGTGCATGATATAATTACATATTAGCTAATTTGCATAAATACCCAACATTTTACCAATGCAGACCACACGTGACGGCCAGAACATAACATGAAATAGCTAATTAACAGTGGATTTGGCTATATGGTGGAATGTATCTACATTAATATAAACTTAATTAGGCTCTAAAGGAGTAGGATCATTTTTACAGGTAATATTTATCAGGGTCAATTTGATATGTTGACAAATTGGGGGAGCTTGAACTTGGTCACAGTGAAAACCTGCCACTAATTCTGGGGGGAATTAGTGGGGTTTGATTCTGTCCATCTTCTTCGTGCAACCTATTAAAGCTATAGCCAAAGAAGTTATTTGTTTTTTGTCAGTGTAATATTGGAACTGAGAGGATCCGACATCGAGGAAGAACAGAACAGGAAGCGGCGAGGGAAAGTTCGGGTCGGTGATGATGTCATTGTCTGAGGTGAACAGGATCTGTCTAGGCCTTCATTAATCCGGATTTGAAAACATAGTATTAATAACTGCAGGAACAAATAAGTAACACACTATTAACATTTTAGTTAACAAGAATCTTTGATGAACAATTTAGTAGGGTTCACTTGAATGTGGTTCACTTCACTATAATCAATGATCCTCCCAGAGGACCATGTAAATTTAACTTATGAGTTCAGCGATTTAGGTCAATTAATGATTATGTTAAAACACAACCAACACCATCAGATCACCTTTCTATTTGTTAATCTGGCTGTTAAAATTCACATACAGAAGCCAAACAAAATCTGTTAATGAATTAAAGGTCAAGAGCTCAGCTAAACCAAACACTGATCACCATGATGGTGACTTAAAAATTACAGTTCTCTCCTTCAGAGATTCGGCCTGTTAACATCAGTTGTCTTAAATAATGCTCAATCATCACTCAATTATTCACTTAATTATCTCATTAACTTTAACACTGCTTAAGTGTTCGTTTAACACTGTTCAATGAGTGTGTGTGTGAATTATATATATACTGTTTTTATTTATATGGATTGCATTTACTGAATGAGCACTGTGCCACTGTTCGTCCGACTGTTACTGTATTTTTGATTCTAAATTTTTTTAATTATTTACTGTATTTTATTTTTATTATGATGATTTTTTTTATTCTAAACTGTTTTAATTATTCTGATTTCTTTTGATTATTTTAATTTCTTCCATGTAAAGCACTTTGAATTGCCACTGTGTATGAAATGTGCTATATAAATAAACTTGCCTTGCCATGCCTTGCCTTATATATATACTGTATATATATATATATATATATATATATATATATATATATATATATTCACACTTCTCAGTATTAATTTAACACTGGGGATTTTGCTGTATCAAGATTGTGTACTTAAGGTTATAGATACACATGAAGTACACTTAAGCACAATCTTGATACACTTAATTTTATGTAGCTTATCCCTGTGTAATATTATGTACATTGAATGTAATTAAGAAGCTACTGCATGTATATAAGCTGTAAAGTAAAAGGTTAATTCAGATGGATAAGGTATGTAGATGTGTAGGCTGTTCTATGACTTAGTTAATTACATTTTGCAAAAAATTATTATGCAAAACTATTATGCAAAAAATGTGTGCATTTTAAGAGTATGTGAATATCGATAATTTTATTTATGTGTCAGCCTTCATGTGCTCTGCTTAATTATCCTCAAACTGAGATTTGACTCAACTGTGTTTGGAAATCTCATCATTTGATTATGTACAGATTACCTAAAAATGACCGTCAGTGATTATTTTTACAGCAACAGAAAATCATTTAATAGTGTTATTTTTGCTTAAACACCATTTAAGACACAACACAACATGGCTTCCACAACAACACAACACATTTCTGATAAATCAGATTTGAAGATACTCCCTGATTTCACTTCACGTTTGTCATTCTACTTGGAAAGGATGGTGGAGTTTTGCGGACTTGATTCTTTATTTCTCAGTTCTGTGTTTTAGAAATATATTTCTGCAAAAGGAATGTTGTATGTCATAATGTTTAGTTCTGAAGTGACCAATCAGAGGAACTGGACACAGGAATCAGTTGTATCTCGGCAGAACCTGCAGTAATTCACTCACATTCGACCATGTTTATGTGTTTATTTCACCATAATGTTTCCTTTATAGCCCTCCAGAGACTGTTATAAAACTTTATAATAACTTGCATTGCTTCGCCTATAACACTTGACTCATGCAGTTTACATTTAATGTATGCTAGGCCTAATATAAGTTGAAATGACTTATACTTAAAGACTTAAGGCAACTTTTTAAAAGTGTATGTAGCCTTGATATGAATTTCAAAAATAATATAGTAATATAATATTATATATGCTATACAAGACAGAAAGATAGAAATATAAATGTCACATTTTGTTTTCACATGACTCTTAATGCATTTCATCTAACCATAATATTTACAGTGATTTAACAGAATTATTAGAAAGTGTCATAATCCCTCTCTGAAATATTTGATCATTTTTCTCCAAAGTATGAAAATGGAATATTTATGTTCATATTGTGTTGCTTTGTTTTTATCAAGCACTTTCTCATGGCCTTATATTAGTTGAAGTTTCAGTCTCTCCATCAACTAATGACGCTGCTCTCATCAGCCAATCACATTTCAGATGTGAAGATGCCCGAAGCAGGTTCAGGTTCACATCTGTAGAATAAGGGGCTTTCCGCCACAGACATCCTGAAAAGCGGGTTTCGGATGTGCATAAAACCTTCTGGAAGGCACAAAGACTTTCATTCGGAATAAACACACACGCTCACTCACTCACACACACTAGACACAGCAGAGTGATGGAAGATCATCAGAACGATGCGCTGATTCAGCGCGTGCCGAGCCAAGAGACCGTCCTGAGCCGCGGACCAACACGGTGATGTTTATGTATTTGTTTGTGGGACATAATCAAATAAGTTGTTATTTTCAGTAGGCTATATTATTAAATTAGTGCATGATAACAATTATAATATGAGGGTAAATGTTAAAGAATGCATGCTTTGATGCTCCGTTGAACTTTTTCTTGCATGCAAAACTCCTGTAGCTTGTTGTATGTGTATTAATTAGGCTTATTAATGACAATGTAGGCTAATGTATCAGTAAAAAAAATGATTCCGTGGCTCAGAAGGTTGACTACGCAACAAGTATAAACTCATTTCGATACATATCTTACTTAAGTGATTTAGCCAACTTTAAAATTCCCAAAACAGAGGCGAAATCAGAAAGATGGGAACACAACTCTGCCTCGCTACCGGTGACGTCACACGCGCTGCCGTTATTGATTGGTTGTTTACATAATGGAAAAGTTTTATAAAAATCAGCTGTTGACAAATAACATGTACATTTAAATATTTTCTTGTTTAATGGAATTTTATGAATGTTTACTCTATATTTTAGGAACTGTATTGTTTTAATTGTAATTGTTTAGTAGGCTATATTTTATTAAAAAAAAATCAAATACATTTTTTAAATTATAGCTATGTCTCAAATTCAATTAATATGACACCATGAATCTGAATGTAATTGACTAATTGATTGAAACAAGATTGTTTTTTATGGCTCATGAAATACCCAAACAAATCATATAAGCCTACATAATATCATAATCATGTCAAATGTTCATTTAAATTTTAATTAGCAGTTTTATCAGAAGTCTGGTCATTTTATATATAGGCATATATATTTTTCATTTGTTCATATGTATATTAGTTTTTTTAAACTAGTTTCAGTTTTAGTTATTTTTTTCAGGAAGTAACACTAAAAAAATAAATAAACAATACTGCCTTTCCAACTTAAATTAATGGATTTTAATTAACGTTACTTATTTCAAGCAACTAAAATATTATGTTTTTATGGTTTTAATTTTAGTTCTGATTAACTAAAGTATCCCTGCATTGTACATTCACTGTTGTTTATTCTCCGTCGTCTCGTTTTTTTAAGAATTTAAACCATATAGATTTACATTTCTTCAATTAGAGTTACAAAAGAGGATTATTTCAAATTAAATGAAATGTACATTCACTGTTGTTTATTCGCAGTCGTCCTGAATTTTATTTTTAGTTTATTTTTAACCTTAAATGAAATAATCCAAAATAGAAGCAGGATTTGTTTCTCCCTATTCAAATGAAATCACCCAAAAACAAAATTCCCAGGATCTCAAACTATTCAAAATAGTAGCGTGAATCATAGAAAGATTCCCTTTTACTTGAAGGGGAACACACTTTTGTCAGAAAGACGATGGTGTTATTACAGATAAACACCCACAGCAGTGACCGCCAGTGTGTGGAAACTCCCCTAATGTGTGTGTGTGTGTCTGCAGGAACCCCAATGGAAAGGCCCTGAAGGTGGCCGGACTGACGGTCCTGGCCTGTCTCCTGCTGGCTGGACAGGCGCTGACCGCTTACATGGTCTGGGGTCAGAAGGAACACATCAGTGCCCTGACCAGCGGCCAGGAGAAGCTGAAGACGGAGCTGACCCGAAAGATATCAGGTATATCGCTTTATAGCTATTCATTTACAGAAATACAATAAATCCCAGTTCTCATTGAATAAAGGGCTCACACTTTTCTAAAATATTTGTTTAAATGGCATCTTTGGTCTGTCAGCTGGTGCTCCCAAAGCCATGCACCTTCCCATGAACAGCATGGCCCTGCTGAAGGACTTCTCTGAGGAAACCTCTGACTCGACCACTGACAAGAAGAAGAGCTCTCCGCTCCTGGTGAGGAAGAACTGCACATGATAGTTGTTTTCGATATCGCTGCTTGGGGTTTTGCTCATTCACTTCTGAATATCTCTTTCTTATTCTTTTGTGTAGAAACTGCAGCCAGTTTTCACAAACCAGAGAGAGGGCAGCGGACAACTGGACGGTACGGTCACCGACATACAGAACACACGAGAGAAATTAAAAAATAATAGGAAAAATGAATGTAAAGTAATGTAATATAATACATTATTTATGTATGTTAATATATCATAAACTAATATAATAATCGTAATGTGTTGGCAGCATTTTTGGTAATTGAAAATAAAATAAAAAATATTAGACTATTTTAGAACTTTCCTTCGCAACGAACTTCGTACTAATATAACGATTAGAAATATTAATATATTTTAATATTTTGAACATGAAAAAGCACATAAAACCTACGAAACTTAAACTAAATATAAAAACTATAAAAGCAAAAATATAAAAATAAAAGCTAAAATACAAGATTTGAAAAACGCCAACTTACAGAACACAAGAGATAAATAAATAACGTGAAAAATAAATGTAAAATATAACATTATTTAACATTATGAAAATATTGAAAAATATAATATATGTAACTATATATGTAAAAAAGCTGAAATAAATAAAATATACACATTAGATGGAAAAACTTGTTGCCTTTGCAACTCACTGAAATAAATATATGTTTACGTTGATGTTAAAGCTAAATAGAAATATTAATATTCAATATTAAAATATATATTATAGTTATTTAAAATAATATTAAAAACATTAAAAAACTAAAATATATTAATTAAACTAAAACTAAAACACCATCAGTACAGAATAATATGAAAAATAAAAGTAATATAATATATTACACTATTTATATATTAATAAACATAAGTTCTGATCTAATCAAAAATTATATATATATATATATATATATATATATATTAGCATATTAGCATTTTTGGTATTTGAGCTGAAATAAAATATTAGATAAACTGACAAACTGAAAAACTTAAAATTTAAGTTAAGTTAAGTAAAATTACTCTAAAAATGAAATTGAATTAAAGCTAAAACAATATGAATATATTAAAATGTTTTAAAAAATGACAAATGCACATAATTGACAATATTAAAAATAAATAAAAATGTTTTTTTCTTAATTTACTTGTGTAACAACGCCTGTGTCCACATTGTCAACATACTGTATCACAAGCGCTAGTCCATTACTGTTAAAGTAATTCTTCATGTTCATTCACAAGGTGGTAAACTGATGGCGAAGAGGATGAACCTGCCAATGAGGAGTCTTCCTCTGCTGATGAACACAGATGAGGAGATCAAGGCCACACCTCAGTCAGGTGAGACACAGACACATTCACACACTCACACACTCACACACACCTCACGCAGATCTCCACGTGACCCGTGTGTCTCTCTGCAGCCGTCGAGGTGGAGAGCAAGTGTGAGCTGGACTCTGAGCGGCATGTGAGACCCGGGTTCTTCAAGCCTGAGTGTGACGAGCAGGGCAACTATAAGCCCATGCAGTGCTGGCACAGCACCGGATACTGCTGGTGTGTGGACAAAGACGGCAAGCAGATCGAGGGCACACTCATGCGTGGGCGACCCCAGTGTGACTCAGGTGTGTGGAAATAGAAATGTTATCCTTTGAGAAACCAGTACCTATTACAGTAAAATAATAAATATGCACTCACTCAAATACACTGTAAAAAAATATATTTTCATGATTTGAAATCACAACATTTTGTTTTGTCAAATCAACTTAGATAATTTATGTAGTTCAGATAACATAATATTTTGAGTTTCTGATGATTAGAGTATTCTCCTTCATTGCATTAACTCAATTTTTCCATTTCAATGAACTTAAAATTAAGGCAACTTATTTAAAGTTATACCAACAATATTTTTTTTATAGTGGATTATACTTTTATTTTTATAATTATTTACATATTATAGAACCAGACCGATTTGGCATTTTCCAAACTATCAGTATCGGCAGCTATGATGGCCGATATATGAATATTTCCAAAAATAAAATAAAAACGGACAAAACGTAAAATATTTGTATCGGTATTGGCCTTCAAAATCCTTTATCTGTCGGGCTCTATTATATTATGCATTTTCTTTTTTAATTTTAGTTTGTTTTATTCATTTTGTATGTGCTTTTCTAATTTGTTATTAGTGTACACATTTCTGTTTAGCTTTAATTTATTTTTATTGGTAATTTTAATACTCCAGCTTAATTATTTCAGTACATCACCAGGGCAACATTTCTAATGGTCATCAAGTTTTTCATCCAATATTTATATTTCAGCTTTATTTCAAATAAATATATATATATATTTTTTTAGTTTCAGTTAACAATAACAACACTCAGGTCTCTGTTTTTTTCATTTTAGTATTATTTTATTTAATTCTCAATTGGCTTTTGATTTTACATTTTCATTTGATTTTACAAGTTTTATACATTTTGGTGTGTGCTTTTGTCATTATTCGTTTTTAACATTTTTAGAAGTTTTTCATCTTAAGATTTATGTTATATTATATTTTATTTTAGCTTTATTTCAATCCGGAAAGCAACATTGTCTGCTAATATAATTTGCCATGAAAGAGTTGAATTAAATGCAAAGTACAGTAATACGTTCTGTGAACAAACAGTGGAACATAAACTAGATACGAATAGTCAATCAAAATGAATCCATTAGCCAATCACCTGTAATGTAAATGTTATTGACATCCTTCTCTCTGTCTGTGTTGTGCACTCCTCTAATGATGGTTCATCACAGTGACTGCTGATATTTTGGGTGAGTCTCTGTGTGTGTAATTTACTGTTTTGCCCAAAACACTAATATAGTGATAATGTGTTCAAATACTAATGTCCCTCTCTCTCTCCAGAGTAAAGGCAGAACGTCCACAACAGGACCATCTTCTCTCCAGCAATAAAGAAGAACAGTTTAAATCTTAAAACTGTCCCTATTGCATCTCCTGAGGACCAATCAGTCCATTTGGACGTACTTCAATGGAAATAATTGAATAACCTTTCTACTCAAGATCTGCAATTATCTGCGTTCACAATATAGATACACATAAGTATAAGATATTTCTAAGAGATGTTAACGCTGGCCTAACCCTTATTCTAATAATATCTATAGTAAGTTTTCTGTGTGATATCATCTCTTTGTTTTAATTTTTAACCCAAGGCATGTTGTTGGAGGCGGATGAATATATCAGAGTGATTGTAAGAGTGTAAATAAAAGGCCTTAATAAACACATGCTGTTTCCAAATGTGAGTGTGTGTGATCTGTGAAATGGTGACGGTTTATTTATTTAAAGACTATAAAATGTATTTATTTATGCTATAAAAAATAACAACAATAGGGTTTAAGAACGTATATTATTTGTTATACAGGAATATTTTCACACTGTAAAAAAATATTTTCAAGATTTGTAATCACAACATATTTTCTTTTGTCAAATCAGCTTCATAATAATTTATTTAGTTGAGATAACTTATTATTTTGAGTTTCTGATGGTTAAATTAATCTCCTTCATTGCATTAACTCACTTTTTCCAGTTCAATCAACTTAACATTTTAAGGCAACCCAGGTTACTTACTTTTTTAAGTTAAACCAACAATATTTTTACAGTGTAGTAATCACACCATTTTTTCTTTTGTCAAATCAACTTAAATATTTATTTAGTTCAGATAACATATTTTGAGTTTCTGATGAATAAATTAATCTCCTTCATTGTATTAACTCACTTTTTCCAGTTCAATCAACTTGAAATTTTAAGGCAACCAGGTTACTTACTTTTTTAAGTTAAACCAACAAAGTGTAGTTTAAGTGCAGTTCTGTCTGAATGATCTCTGCATTAAAGTATATCACATAGTGCACATAAAGCATGAAACCACAGCTGGAGGTTAAAATATACTCAATAATCTGAACAAACTAAATCACACATGGTAATCAAATAAGACAATACATCTTTGCAATACACTAAAATAGCAGGAAAGGGTATATAAAGTGCCTTTTAGATCGCATATATGATGTTAAATATCAGATTAAGCAGCCTGATCTCATGAAAGTGTGTATCTATACAACGAAAGTTATTTCTCATGCCAAAAATGGTGTTTGCGTGGAATGCCTGCATATCATATGCACTTTATGGCGTGTAATATGCACACACTCCCCCCTAAACCTATCCAAGGGGTTTTCGTTGTAACATGCACACACACACACAAAAAAAACCCTTTTTGGGATATAAATTTCATGAGAAATGACATTCATGGTATAGGCTAGATACACACTTTCATGAGACTGTGTTGGATTCAGATAAATCAGCATGTTGAACAATGTAATAATCATGTGAGCAACAATATGATTTCCTCAAAAATCAGCAGCACATAGAGATGTAAATATGAACAGTTATGTGAAAAACATAAAGCTTAGGGGTTTTTAAATATCCCGTCTGACTCACTTCCTCTTTTAGATCATTTTCACTGAATAATAGAGATAGATAGATAGATATAGATAAAGATATTGCCTCTGATTTGAGAACTGTGCTGGAGGATTCTCTCTTCGTGATCAGTTTATGTCCTGATGTGTGGACGCTTAAGGCTGTGTGTGTGTTGATGAAAAGACTGTCTCACTGTATGAAGAGCCTCCTTCATCAGACTGAAGAGACTGAGTCAATACCGGAGTTATCTATTCATCTCTGCTGCGTCTGTCCACGCTCCACTACCCTGAAAACCTGATGTTGTCTGCTCACTTTATTAGTATTACTGTAATAAACCTCCCGTAACTGGGTTCTAACTGAGTTTGATATGTTACAATCTTCATATATTATAAAATATATGAAAATATAAAAATACAGCCTATTAAAAAAATAATAACTATATATGTGTGTGTATGTGTGTGTTTAAGTTGATGAACAAATAAAATAAAATTGAATTAAAGCTAAATAGAAATAAAATTGAATTAAAGCTAAATTAATTATACAATAATTATAAAATTAGCTAACATAAAGATTTATTAAAATAAAAAAATAATATTTGAATAAAAATAAATGGAAAGTTGAAGACAAACTTAAATGTAAACTAAATTAAAACTGAAAATATTAAATATAATAAATTGTTAATATATAAATATACAATATTATAAAGTATATATAATATAACAATTATATGTAAATCAATATAGTTGCTTCCCTGACATAATTTCTTTCATTATATCTGAGGTCTTGTTGTGTGATTCAGGCGTTTTGACGGTTTTATAAGTCAGTTCTCCTGAAGTTCACATTGGTGATGTCTCTAATCACTAAACGGATACAGTTAAACTGATTTGTCGAATGATTTGCTCAGTTCAGCTGATGCTAAAACATAGATTTCTGGTTAAATCTCTCAGCCTTCCTTCTCTTTCTCAAAACAGAAATACACAGTTTCATTTCCCTGTTTAATGCAAGTAACATGATTAAAAAACAAGTTCCTTAAAATGCTGCATTTGCAAATGAGAGATGACCAAAGTGACATGAGGAAATAAAATAAACTGAGCGGATGATTATGACTCATACAGATGAATTTAATCAGTTTTAATATACTTTTTATTGTTATTTTGAATGGTTGTGTTAAAGTTCTAGTATTCTTTTGCACACTTTGTAATTTTTATTGTATTTTTAATTTAGTTTTCATATTTTTCCGCTTTATAAGTAGTTATTTTAGTACATCAAGTTAAAATGAAACATGAGAAATGTTGCCTTGCCAGATATAGGTGAAATAAAGCAGGTTTAAGTTTTTGAATATCTTATTTTATTTCAGTTAATGTGTATTTTATCTGAAGTAACAATTTTTCTTTATTATAACTCGATATAATAATGGGTTATTATGCCCTGGATGCAACATTTCAACAGTCCCACACAGACACAGGTGAAAGTGAACACGGAGTAATGAATATTTCAAGAGAGTGAAACACAACCACATACAGTCTCTATCTCTCTCTCTCCCTCACACACACACACACACACACACACACACATACACACACAGAGAGAGAGATTCAGTTTAGAGCAGCTCAAGACAAGAACATGGACACATCCGTGAGTAACAAAAGAGTAATAAGATAAATCTGCTACATAACTGCTTGTTTAGTGTGAAATAAGAGTTGATACCATGAGTGTGTGTGTGTATGTTGTAGGTGGCTGATGGAGGCAGAGCTGAAGGTGTGTGCGAGACAGCGAACAGTAAGACAGATCTGCAGGAGCTCCTCAGACAGGAGATGGAGATGCATATTACTGGTACGTTACATATTCATCACCATAACCATGATTAACAAGCGCTAGATTTAGTTGCTTTTACAAATATATAAATTAGGCATTAAGGGATTAAAGAAATAAAGCAGAAAATCAACTAGAATCTATTGTAAAGGAATGCATTTGGACTATCTGCTAATCATATTTTGTATTTTAAAATATGCAGTTTATAATATAAACTGATACTGATGATTATGCTGATGGTTCCAGAAGGCAGGACCAGCATTCAGAGGAATCAAGAGAGAATGAACCGAATCAGACAACTGAAAGAGGAGATCAGATTACAGGAGACACACAGAGAATCCAACCAATCACACGCCACTAGCATGGTGAGTGGCCGAAACTCAGTCCTATAGAGAGCCTAAGTCCCGCCCCTCTGCTTCCGGCTCATGGGACCTTATTACGGAAAAAATATGAATGGTAGTCAATGGCGAGAGACAACTTATCTTTTTTTTCCCTCTGAACTGTGCCCTCAATTACACATATGATGTTTGTCAATTTAAAAGATAATTCTGAAAGTTATAGTTAGTCATAAAACAGAAGAGTAACATTTAGTTTTATGTGAAAATCACTCTATGAACTACATCTCCCAGGAAGCGAAACAACGAGTGAGATCCGCTGCTCGTGTGTGTGCAGTCTGGCACAAAACACTCAGGTATGACGGCGTAACGTTACGATTATAACGTAAGACTATAGAAACAATGGCAGACATTAGCCTCAGTAAAGTTAGCTTCATTCATTGAGAGAAAATGTGCGCCTGTGGGGTTTGTAGTCTTTGTAATTACGTATTTTCACAGTCTTATACCTCAACGGTTTTACATCAAACTGCATCTTTCTTTACTTTAAAATGTACCTTTTAAATTGACAAACATCATATGTGTAACTCAGGGCACAATTCAAACGACATCAAAATATTTGTTGTCTCTCGCCATTGACTACCATGCAATATTTTTCCAAAATAAGGTCCCATGGTGGTCGACCGAAAGGGGAGGGACTTAGGCTCTCTATAATGATACCTGATAACACAGTCCAGCATTCAACCAGCAGTCATTTTATCAAATACATTAATGTTAACTAATGGGACCTTAATGTAAAGTGTTACCATATTGCGCCAAAATGTATGATGTAGGCCTAATGTATGTGTGAATGTGTTTGTCTCTCAGGGGGTTCATGAGAAACTCCTGGAGCGCAGAACGAGACTGAGAGAGACTCACGAGAGACTGATCGAGGATGAACTGATGAAGATGGAGAGAGAACTACAAGAGGAGCAGGTGAGAGCAGTTGAACTAGAAGATCGTTCTTAACAACGGGCCGTTCGGACCATGTGACTGTCTCTATCCCCTCGGCAGGTGAGTGGTGTAGGTGTAGAGGGGGAGATGTCGTACCTGCGCAGAGAGAGACACATCCTGGTTCTTCAGATCGAGGCGCTGCGCAGGGAGAACCAGCAAGCGTATGTGGACCTGGAGGAGCAGAACCAACACCACCAGCAGGAGGTCCATGAGCTCAGAGAGGAGAGTCTACAGGTGACAACAGCCCATTACGACTTTTTTAAGGGTTAGTTCACCCAAAAATGAAAATGATGTCATTAATGACTCACCCTCATGTCGTCCCAAGCACGTCAGACCTCCGTTCACCTTCATAACACAGTTTAAGATATTTTAGATTTAGTCCGAGAGCTTTCTGTCCCTCCATTGGAAATGTATACGGTATACTCTCCGTGTCCAGAAAGGAAATAAAGACATCATCAAAGTAGTACATGTGACATCAGTGGGTTAGTTACAATGTTTTGAAACATCGAAAATAGATTTCAGTTCAACAATAACAAAAACTACGACTTTATTTAGCATTGTATTGTCTTCCGGTTCTGTTGTGGATCTGCGTTCAGTGACGCTGCTGACGTAAGACGCGGCTGACGTGCTGGGACGACATGAGGGTTAGTCATTAATGACATAATTTTAATTTTTGGGTGAACTAACCCTTTAATGATTGGAAAACAGTTCATTTCTGTCTTCTTCCTGTTCTGAATGCGAACACTAGGCTTGACTCGAGCTAATTAACGTTTATAGTGCCCAAGTTATTATAGCTACATTTCCCATGTGAATACTGCCATCTAGTGTCAGGCCTGTGTTCTGCACGCGTTCAGGTGTTCAGGGCGTTTCGGGAGGTCCTGGAGGAGCAGAGGAGGACGTCCGAGAGCAGGTACAGGGCTCTTCTCATAGACACCATCCAGGACGCGGTTCACCTGTCCGCACAAAACCTGCAGCTCCAAGAGGAAGTTCAGCAGCTCCGGAAAACTCAGACCCCCCCTCAATGACACCGCTGATACAACAGGGTTTCCCAACAAGTAACTGTAAATGCTCGTATCAAGCTTTTTTAGAAATTATAAATGGAGATCATTTCCTAATGATTGCAATATTATGAAGCTGCAGACTCGGAGCCTGCATCTACAGTCCCCCAACGAGAGTCCCGCATTCTCAGACCCCTCGTTTTTCGAACACAGCGCCTCCTGCTGTTCAAAAGATCGAATAACACCCGCACACAGAGTACAGCGCATTATCCAAATGCAATTAAAAACAATAGGATGCAATATTACGGTCTTCAAATAAATTATCCAATAAATATTTGTGTTCCCTGCTTAATGGATGTGTCAAAAAAAAAAAAAACCTAATTGTTACTGATGGAAGGGATAAATTAGCAGATTGAACTATCTTCAGAAAAATAGTAGGCTATATTATATTGCTACAATGTTTTTTTTATATTATTATTTTTTTATTCAAATTCCAATTTTTCTTTCAGTTAAACCTATAATGGTCTAATTTAACATTACCATGCTAACATTAGGCTACAATATCTGTTTTTTGATATTTTGAATGCGAAGCAAAACAAATCAGAATAGACAAAACACCAATAATAAACAATCCTGTACTTTATTTAATGATCACCTAAACGTCATCTTGCTGTAAAGAAAAAAGGAAGAAAAAACAGTGTTTTGACTTTACTTTTCGTCTTCAATTGCATTAAAAAAAAACTCATTAATAAGTCCCTTTGCATAATCATAAAATGATATGTTGCTGGATTCGGCAGGGGCAACTCCATAGGACCGATAGCACATGTCTTATGATGTTTCAAAAAGAAAGAAAGAAAAAAAAAAAAAAATGTTTGCAAATGTTAGTTACCATGTTGCACTGCTCTGTTGAAGTGTCTCTTGAGATGTTTTTGAACTTTGGACAACTTTGTGGGTTTGAAATATATGGGGGCACAAAATGGGCAGTGAAAATAACTGCAGCATTTAAGACATTTCTACAAAAAGTCCAAGGTTAAAGGCTAACGTAAACATACGCTATCTAAATATTTTCGGGGAGAAGAGGGCGAAAAAACATACATTAACGGCTCAAATCTTGTTTCAAACTATCTTTACAAATATTAAATGGACTATTCATATGTTGTATCGATGAGCTAAATTAGTTTTATTAACAAAATAAATAAAACGAGTAGTCTACAACGAATCGCTAAATAAAATTGAAGATTTTATTTATCTACTACTCATGTTTTGGCTTAAGTTCTTCACATGTTTATCCGATACAATTTGATAGGAGGCGCTGTCTCGAAAAACGAGGGGTCTGAGAATGCGGGACTCTGGGTGCAGGGGGACTGTAAATGCAGGTCTCCGAGTCTGCAGCTTCATACTACTGATTGACTCAACACTGAACTGACTCCAGCTGAATAATGCCACTAATAAATGACTTTTTCGTTTGAGTTTGTCTCATTTTTGATAACGTTTGCATCCTGTTATTTACCTGTTTGAAGCTGCTTTGAAACAATCTGAATTGTATAAAGCGCTAATAAAGGGGGCATGACATTACATTTTCAACTTAATGGAGGGCTTCAGTGAGTAAACTGTTAAACTAATGTCAAGCAGAATCTAGTGAAATCATGAGATATCGATGAAAACAGTATAAATTCAGTTAACTAGAGATTACATATTTGGTTGTAAAATGTTGCATATTTGGTGCAGTAAACACTCCTGAGGGAAAAAAGTAAAATAAGATAATATAAAGGGCAGTGCTCAAAATGGCTATCCACTAAACTTTTATTTGTCTCAAGTTCAAACACAAATCATTGGTCAGGAAATTATTGTCAATACAAAATGTTTTGTCCTAGTCAGACTCCACATTTGAACCTTATAGTGAATATTTGGTCTCACATTAAACTCAAACCAACTACAAATCATTTTGGACACGCGGAATCACTCGGACGTTAATGGCGTAGACATACACGCATACACGCGGATACACACGGATAGCTCAAAATGCATAGAGATTACACGCCACTTGACCGTGGCCATGTTTACGCAAGTCATGTTGGACGTAAAACACTGTCTGCGAGAAAACAGATGGGAAGGCTATTACTTTATCTACAGAACTACTAAACTATTTTAAAAATGTGACACGACTATTCAGGGATTATTCAATTCGACATTACTGTTTAGTCATTAAGCACCATTAGTATGCAGTATTAAATTTGATACACAATTTCCAACACGATTTACTTGTAATTTAATGATTAAGTTATTAAGTAATTATGCATTATTTCAATTCATAATGTGTTAAATTAATTATATCAGGCACAATCCGATATTATTTTTACCTTAACAACTTAAAATTAGCCTTTATTTTCCTGCCGAAAGCGTCTGGCAATCGCAGCCGCCATTTTGAAAAGATGAAAAATCACTTCTACTGCCTGCAGTACAGTGAAATTCCACAAGATGGCAGAATACACGTATCAAAATAGACACAACTTGTTGTCTTAGAAACTCGTGTATCAAATATGATACGTGCGGTTTTTATTGCTAAACTACTTTATCTACAGTGTTTGTGCAATTGTTGCTCATTTCATTGACCAGTGATTTGTGATTAAAATGTTTAAAACCATCTTATCCATTTTTGGCTTGGCTGTTTTTTTGTTGTTTTTTTGCCCAGTATGTATTTTGCTAAATGAAAATATATTACAAGTAAAACCATTAGATATGTTACCAAGTCCATATACATTTATTTGCATAAATCAGTCTTAAATATGAGCGCTGGACAAGTCGTATTCATTTCAACACATTTAATCAAAATAAATACTGACAGATGCATATAAATAAAAACAGCAAATCCGCACACATTCAGTCCCCATGAGATGATGTCCATTCACAGTAAGATGCACTTCTAAGGCAACAGAGATATTTTAGGGCACATGTTGAGAAAATAATAATAATAATAATAAACAGAAGAGGGAAATTAAATAATTAGAGCTGTGGTTCATGCATAAAGACCGATAAAAAAGCAAATGCAATGAAGTCTTTTGTGGTTGTCCTCAGTGGAGTACACCCCATTATTATTTTTTTACAAAACGCACAAGATATTAATGAAACATTAAAAACAAAAATGTGTGTGAAGTGTTACTCAGATATGCTGTCAACTTAATAAAACTACATATCTCCCAAAAAAAAAATATATATATTTCAACAATTTGCTTTAGTATACGGATAATGTAAAGGCCATTTATTTATTTATCTGTTGGTGTCGTCCGCTCTACATGTAATACAGGTACACAGCCCATCCAATCAGCACAACAGGAAACAGGAAGTAAGGTGTGAGCTGTATTCCCAGAAGCCCCCAAGACAACACACCATTTACCAGCATAGAAGAAGATATGACGAAAAGCCGCGTGATTCCCGTTCCGTGTTTCATGATGACGGACATAAGGAGCCCGTTAGCGACCTGTCCCGCGATAATGAGCCAAACGAGAGGGGAGAATCCCTCTAAAAAGCCCTGCCGCCCGCCGCCGGACACATGCGACGCCAGATTGATGGCCACGCCGAAGACGTACAGAAACAAATTCTGGAGACTCAAAGGCAGCCGTTGGGTTTTCAGCACCCGCTCGGTGTAGACGGCAGCCAATCCTGAGATAAAACAGTACACAAGCACCAACAGCAAACCCCAGGATGTAATATGAAGCCTGCTGGCGGATTGGTCCTCCTCTGATGGCTCCCGATCTAAACCGGAGTAGCTGTGAGAGACGCCGGCGCCCACGAGCATCCCGAGAGCGAACCACTGCCCGCGCCGGAGACGCTTCCCCAGGCAGGACGTGTAAAGGAGAGCGGTGGACACGATCTTCAGGTTACTGAGCACTTGGAAGGAGCTGGGGTCCATGTAGGCTTGCATGAACACCACCAGGTTGTTGTTGAAAGCGTAAAGCACGGCAGGAACGGCGTACGGCGTCACCGTCGTCACAGACACTGACGCTTTGAGGGCGGAAAGATTCCCAGATGCCAACAGGGAGGCGAATGAGACCAGAAGCTTGGCCAACTCGATCAGAACCACACATGACGACGGGCTGAAGGGAACCTGACCGTCCACTTTGGTGAGCGAGATGAGGGGAGCGTGGGAACCGTAAATAAGAATCAGGAGAAGCAGGAGGAGGACCCAGCGGCTTCTGAGAGGAGGTTCTGCTTCAGGAGATCCGACATTATTCACCGCAATCATGCTTTTGAAAGTACAAACCCTACAAAAAAAGGGAAAAAAGCACTAGGACGAGCTTGATTGTTGAACAGCAAAGTATGAAATAAAATGGACATGATGTTAGGGCTGCACGACTTGGGGAAAAACGTTTTCCTGCTAAAAATGTGATTTAAAAAAAACGTGCTTGCTGTACTTGTTTGACCAAATATTTATATGGCGATATAATTATAAAATAATAACAATTACTAAATCAAAATATTAAACAAGAAATGTTACTATTCTAACATCTAAAAAAATAGTTTTTAAAAAACATTACAGTACAAGTAGAAAAATAAATTACTCACATTTTTGATGATTATTATTAAAAAAAACTATTAGGTAAGGAATTAAGAATTTAGGAAAGATACTTTTTTTTTTTTTACAGTACAACTATAAAAATAAGAAAAAAATGTAAAATTACAATCCTAATATTTATGGCTGTCTTTATTTCAAACGTTAAAGCATCGAAAAACTAACCATAAAGCTTCTCTTTTGCTCTTTTAACTGTGAATCATGTGTGTGTGTAAATAAACACAATGCTGCGCTTTACTCTAAAACACGCAGAGCATCCATTTATTTCGTTAAAATCACAGCCTTTGCGCTTTTATAAGCTATATCGTGCAGCCGCACATGATGCCCATTTTTACAGTCTTCTTTATAAATCCGAATCCACACTCACATAAAGACCCCAAAACACAGTTTTTTCTAAATCAAGTGTTGTGGATGAGGGAAGGAGGGAAGTGCCGTTAAATGACATGCTCTCCTCTTCAGTCCACTTCTAATCACGGGGTCCTTTCTTCAGAGAGTTCAGGAAGTCTCGTACGGTCTGCTCAATGTTGGGCACCTGATAGTTCTGGACGGCGTAGATTCCCGTCAGCGTTCCCAAAGCGACTCCTAAGATGGCAGACGAACGCATTCTGGAAACCACATACCCAGCCAGGAATCCTTTCAGGAAAGGAGAGTCTAATAATGAGCCACCCTGAGAAACACACACAGGACAGACGGTGTCAGCTGTTGCCTGGAAGTGTGCAGTCATTCAGCTGTCAGTATTACAGCATTTAAAGAGCAACATCTATATTACATACAATCTTTGCTTACCAGCCCACTTTTAACCAGTAGGACAGGGGTTTCAAACGGAGATGTTTGGTAATATAGTGTCTTTTCCGATTTTTTTTTTGCAAAATTCACTAAAGGCCCAAATTTATGTATAACATATTATTCGTAAAAAAATAAAAAAAAATAAAAAATAAAAAAAATCATTCACTCAAATAATTTAGATTTTTAATTTTTAATAAATTTAATTAGAAATTTGCTTTCTGAAAATGAAATTTTGCTTTCTAAAAACTGGTAAAAAATAATGGCAGTAATTAAAATAATTTAAAATAAAAAATATTTGTGGGAAAAAAAATCTAAAGAAAAAGATGTGCTATAAAAAAATGTTTTGTTTTTTTTTGGGGGGGGGGGATTATGTTAATTTGTTTCATAATAATATTATTTTATTTAATATTTTAAAATAATTTAATTTTGTTGTCATAATAATATTAGATTTAATATTTTCCACACACAATATAAATGGATTTTTTTATACATAAAAATATTCAGCTGGATTTACATTTATCAAATATAATTTTTTTTTATTGCGCTAGGATATAATTAAGCATAACAGGGATGCAATATATATATATATATATATATATATATATATATATATCAGCATATTTGCATACACACACTCTTTTTCTATGACTGTCTAATGTTTTAATAAATAATTTAATTTCAATAATGTTACATGAATTTAATTTAGTGTGAGTATTTTCTGTTTAAGAACAGGCAAAACCGTATCGATTTATAATATCAACATATTTATTATCGGCTAAAGCAAAACCAATAAACAGCACAGAACCAAAGTTTGTGTACGCGTTCCTCAGTATGTCAGGACGGGGTCTGGTTCTGTGGTACCTGTGGGATTCCAGCTTGAACCTCATTCTCCACCTTCTTCTGGATCTCCTCCAGTTGGTCTTTGAGCAGAGCCAGATCCTTCAGTCGGGTCACTGGATCCTGAAAGGGAACCGACACACATCAGATCACATGAGACCACTGACACATCCAGATCAATGCACTAAAACACAACGCTGTTAGAGTAATACGCCCTAAGAAGCCGTGGCGTCATTTACTGTACAGTGAAATTCACTGGTATCACGGCTTCACATTGCTTATTGCTTTCATAACACCGTTATTTCTGCAAGGTTTTATAAAATAACCAACACAGACACCAAAATGTAATGTTATTGATAAAAATAATATTATTCTTCTAGCATGCAATGTAGTTCAGAAGCAAGATGTTTGCCAAGCAACACACGGTAATGCAGTCACATGCAGTGTTTATATATCGATTTAAAATGGCTTTGAACACAGCTCAACCAATCGGAATCAAGGACTGGAACAATCCATTTTATAATTACGTTTCACTTTCAATCTGTTTAATGAGATCTTATTTTTAATTAACTTTCAGAAAACAAGCAAATACTCTTAACATCAATAATCAATACACAATTGAGGAGGATACATATAACAGACCTTCTATTGTGTTTAGGGGTCCTTAGCATTAAAAAGTTTGAAAACATGTGAACTATGATATAATGGAGGTACAAGCTAATTAGGTAAGAGTTTTTATATTTATTTTATATGAATATGAAATTATATCAGTGGCCATTTTTGTGTCATAATTAATGTATTAATTTTAATTAAAATACAAAAATAATTACATATTTCTAATTCAAACATACTTTTTATCTATGGCAGGTTTAAAATCGAATAGTTGTATTTCCTTATATTATCATTTGACTTCAATAATGTTATACGAATGCAATTTAGTGCATGTATTTTCTGTTTAAGAACAGTAATTGACAGACAGTAAGTTATAGACTTATAATATCAACATATTTATTGATATTGTAAATCACACAAATTACACAATATACATTTCTTGTTATTTCTAGTAATTGCTTTCAATCAGATCTTATAAGTGTGATGCTTTTCTTTCTATGACAGCCGTCAAATGACAAGAGTTCAGAAAAGCAGCAGTGACTTTACATTACTCCAATAAAGCGTCACAACAGCTCTAATAAACAAACAGCAGGTGGGATTGATAGCACAATACTTAAATATAAACCACAAACCCGATTTGTTTCTATCTGAAACATTAATTCATTATTAAAAAAGCGTTGATTTTAGACAGACCGTTGTTTCTCACCTTGTCTTCCGCCATACCGCAGAAATGATGATCGATTCAATGTGCGCTCGACTCTCTGCCCTGAATGAATGACGACTCGCTCGAACACAACTAACGTTACTCACGCCGTTTTATTTGAAGTACAATGGCTTGAAATAACAAACATCACATTTTAAAAGCATATTTTCGACTAAATTTTTATTACTAACATTACTCGGGTGCAAATAATTGTCCAGACCGATCTGAGATAAACGGCAATGTCACGTGCTACCTGTTACTTTCCTCTTCGCTGTTCATGATTGACCAAACACTGACGTTCTTTATTACTTTATCAGTTTTGTGTTATCAAGCTTGTAGGGGTTGATTTCTATTTGCATTGGAAAGGCTTTAATTATTAATTAAAGCCATTAATATTATTTTTGATGACAAAAACATCCTGAGATTTGAATACGGCTAAACGGATTATTCGACTCCCTGAGCAACAGTGTCGCCTGAAAAATAAATATTATTAATTGATCTATAAATTAAACTCTTATTCTTTTACCTCATATCTTTCTTATTTACCTTTTTCTGTCGTTAAGAAATTATTAAATTACCCATCTCCCCTCCTCTCTCTCTCTCTCTCTCTCTCTCTGTTGACAATTTCAGTTGTGTATTATAACGTCACCTCTGTATTTTTGCATGAAAAAAGGTTGAGAGAACAAATACATGTTAAATGTATTTTTTTACAGCATGTTATGAAAAAATAGTCATCAGTTTTCTGTAAATAAAATATATAAACTGTCAAAAAACGTTAACTCCTGGGAAACAGATATGTCACTATATAGTTTCTACAAACATACAACAGAAAAATCAACATCTACTCAAGATTTTGTCATTTTTCCAGAACGACGGGTCACGTGCTACCTGTTCCTTTTCTAATCGCTGTTCAAAATTGACCAATCACTGTCGTTCCTCTTTACGGCAAAATTCAGTTTTGTGTTATCATTCTGTAGATATTGTAGGGGCTGTCTATTTCTATTTGCGTCTTAGTTTTTAGATATATGTAACAGAACTGAAATAGTATAAAAATACTGCTTAAACACAAGAGCAAAATAAAGCTCGTACTCTATTCAGTTGGAAGCGCTGTGGATCAAACTCTCATTGGGCCTCCAGTCGTTCATCTGATCTCTCCTCCGCCATTTTTACAGCACTATTCAGCAGGAACCACACGCTAAAACACCGACTCAGCTCTGAGCTTTCACACCAAACACACACATGATTCAGATCCCCGATCCTGCGACTTTACCGGTGTTATGCTGAGAGATTCGGCAAGATTTGGACCGATCCTGCGCTCATTCAGGTAAGGTTTCAATAAGACACGCGCTCATTGGCCGCAGACAGTCAGTATCAGCACTCAACAACAACCGACATCACACACACACACACACACACATACATACGGTGACGGGAGGGAATACAACACATTCTGACATGTCTGCATACACTCTTTGCACTTTAGCCGTGGCTTCATGTAAATAAACTGCACAATGAAGTTAAAATCATATATGTGTATATATGAAGCTGTAGAGTAGTGTCACGTGGTATTTTTCAAACGTTTTTTTTGTTTACCTGCATCTGTTCCAGCTGTGTAACTAATCCTAACAAAACTATACAAGTACCGTGGTAGCACCATGTTACTTATGTGTACTATAGTAATACTATAGCCTAGTATTCTCTGAAGTCCGTTTGCATCATTTAAGGAATGTCAGGATACCAGTAAAGAGGATGTAAACATGAATATTTCACCCCACATTAAACATAAAACTAAATATGTTTTGCCGAAAGAAAAATGCCAACGATTGTCTTTTTTAAGTTAAATATGAATTATTTTATTCACGTTTTGTCTGTTTATTTATAGGGATAATGCAAACACATTTCTAACCAAAACATGTTTGGCAATAAAATATTGATTCCTGAAGGCTGTTTTATTTCATGATCGTCTCACAGACTCACACTAATGATTAAAGTTCACTACACATCTTGAATTGCATAATTCATATTAATTAAATTGTGCATTCTAACATTTAGAACCTTTATTGCGTTATTTCTTGTTGCTGTTAATGAAGGTAGTGACCTATTATTATTTTAAAATAAGTAAAAGGTTTTGTGATGCCCATTTACATTGGTGGGCGGACAAATAATTTTCCATAAATAATGCATACATTTATAATGTACCACATTTTAAAGTCAACATCAATATCATATGAACATAATACATATTTTCCCTGAGTTGCATTTAACAAAAAAAAAGTAAAATCACACCAAAATATTAAATAAAATCATAAAATAAATGCACAGTGCTATGTTTCCTCCTTGCAGCCTTGCAATCATAAAACTGGTGAACAGTTTTAAATTTGTTTCAAATGATTTGATTGATTGATTGAATGATCTGTAAATGACCAAACCGAATAAATGAAAATTAAATAAATGAAAATTAATTTGATTAAAAACACTGCTTGAAGTGAAACATTTTCTTTCATTCTCTTTCTCTATTTCTCTTAGAGATGGAGGCCATTTATGGAGAGATGGAGGTGGAGAGCTGCTATACGCTTCTGGAACTTCCTTCGCCCAAGAAGAAACGCAAGAGCAAAAGCAGCACAGAGAGCTCCGACAAACCCAAGAAGCCCAGGTAGACCATCATGGAGAAGCGTTTAACATCTGTGCTTGTTTGAGCTGCACTAACGGCCTGTCTGCTGTCACAGGTCAGCGTACCTGCTCTACTACTTCGACGTGCATCAGAGCGTTCAGCAGGAGCATCCCGATCTGCCCCAGTCTGAGATCAACAAATGCATCAGCGACAGCTGGAAGAGGCTGAACGTGGCGGATCGAGGTTATTACCTGGAGAGAGCGCGCATGGAGAAAGACGGCGTCGACCCGGTAAGTCTGTCACTTTGAGAAGGCCAATGCAAATGTATGAATGTCTTTTCTTCGCTATAATGGTATGAAAACACGGTCAAGAATAAATGTCGGTGGGACTTGATTTTGTCCGTGTGGAATTCAGTTGATTGGATGGTTTGCTATTGGTGGATCTCATGTGAGTGACAGGTTGCCCCGCCCTCATGCCTGTATAGGGATTGATTCAATATTAGTAGGCGCATGAATTAAAATAAGAATAATAATGTGCACAGATCATTTATAAAAAAAATACTGCAATGTTTCATAGAAAATTCAGATTGGTTGATTTTGATTTCATGGTGACTTTAAAGTGCTTCATTCTGTTAATTCTCCTCGTATTAAGAAGAAAATCCTATTTTGTTTTTAATTCATCAAATTGTTTTCACTAAAGTATTTATTGAAAATTAGGCCTATTGGATTAGATTCAACAATGACATGTGCATTTGTGCGTATAGCCTATATCATTTCTAGATTTATCATAACTTAAGTATATATATATATATATATATATATATATATATATTTACACACACACACATAAAATTAAAAGTTTGTATTTACATAATACATGTGGGTGCACTGTGTATAATTATCTTATATATATATATATATATAAAAATAAACACACATGCTTGTATATATTTAAGAAAAAAATATATATATTTAAAATGTATATATATATATATTTAAAATGTATATACTGTAGATTTAATTATAGTATATAGATATAATTTATAGTATATATAAATATAAATATTTTATATATAATAATATTTTTTTCTTAAATATATACAAGCATGTGTGTGTATTTATATATATAAAATAATTATACACAGTGCACCCACATATATTATGTAAACACAAACTTTTATTTTGGATGCGATTAATTGTTTGACAGCCCTAAAATATATAAAATTATATAAAATATATAAATATATGTTATGAATAAAATATATATATATAAAAAATATGAAGAAATTTAAATGTTTAATTAAATTAAAAGTATCTTTTCACAGAGCAGCCAATCAGCAGCTGCGTCGTCTCAGGACGTCCCAGGTTTCCGCAAGATCCTGCCGAGGGCGAATTATCTGCTCCTGCCCAAGACTTCGGGAGCAGAGCGGGCCGAGGGCGAGAGTGACATGGATGCCCTCACGGACGGGGCGGTGAACGGAGCCCCTCGGGCGTCCCCCATGACTCTGGGCAGTGAGGTGGAGCTCTCGGAGCAGTGCATCGCCATCGAGGCGCTCAGTGAGGACACAACCGCTTCCCACAATCCCAGTGACAGACTGATGAGTCTTGGGCAGGACGGTCACAAGGCGGTTACTCTGCTTATGAAGAGGGAGGAGTCTCGAATATCTTATGGTGATGTTGCCATAGCGATAGAGAATGGAATGGAAGGCGGGGCTTTGATGCCTCAGATCAAAGCAGACGCCACTCATCTAGTTGCCATAATACCCAATCAGGTGAGAGCTGCTGTCAATCATTACTGCAACATTCACATTAAAACAAAGCACATGAACGGAGCCGTGATTAATTAAACTAAATGAATCCTTTAGTTTTTCACTTTTTCAAAATTATTCATTTTTATTCTGTGCCATGTGTTTCTCAGGGCCTGGAGAATAAAGTGATCAGCACGGCCAGCCCAATAATGATGTTTCCGTTAATGAGCGCTATGAAATCTGAACCCAAACCCTCCTTTAAACTGGTGAGTAAATCCCCTGCAGAGATGTGCCGTTTCCGTATTCATACAGTTGTCCGTATTTTCTCACCCGAGAAGTAATGAAAGTGAAAAAATGGCTTTTTCAAATGCATTTAAAATACTTATAGTATTGTATAGTGCATTAAAAAAATATAGTATTGTAATGTTATTGTTGTTCAATAAACTAAAATTATTATTATTCAATAAAAAAATGTGTTACAGTAATAGTATTAATACAGTAGTAATATATTTCTTTATTGCTTTTTTTATTGTAATTTTAATTATTTTAATAATAATAAATATAATTATTATAAAAAAAATGCTTGCAGTAATAATGTTAATGCAATAGTAAAATATTAGTCTATTGAATTTTTTATAATGTAAATAATAAAAAATATTTATTTTTACAATCTTGCAGTAATAGTACTGTTATATTTCTTTATTGATTTGATTTGTATAATTTAAATTAATAAAAAAATGATAATAATAATGCATAAATAAACAATTATAATATATTTAAACAATTATAATAATTTTAATTTTAATATAAACATTGAATGCGTTTACATTGAAAAACAATATAATATTTATACAAAACTACAAACTCTTCCTCACAAGCATTATATTAATCCACTGCCTTTTAATACACGTTTTGTTCATGTATAATACACCCGCGTTCCAGTTTTCAATGCACAATGCATGAAAAGGTCAGTTTATGTACTGTAACTCAACTCGCACATGTTCTGTTTTCAGCCCATCAAATACACACGGAGAGGACGGGGCAACTGCAGCACACCGGGGTGTGTGTTTTCATACGTCACCCGTCACAAACCGCCCCAGTGCCCTGACTGTGGACAACACCTCGGGGGGAAGTGGGTCGCAGCAGTGAGTCCTCAAACCTGTGTTACATCCTCATTCACATACATCCATACAATAGATGAACAAAGCAATCCTAAACATCCATATTGTGCTTCTCATGGAGGAAAGAACCATCTTTCCATGCATTTTCTACTTCTTAAAAACATATATAGTTGACTTTTTTATGTCTCTTTTCATATATATATATTTATTCCTGTAATCAAAGCTGAATGTTCAGCATCATTACGCCAGTCTTCAGTGTCACACGATCCTTCACAAATCACTCTAATATGATGGTTTGCTGTTCAAACATTTTTAATGCATCCTTGCTGAATAAAAGTATTCATTTCTACTTACCTCAAACTTTTGAATTGTAGTGTCTCACAGTTTCTACAAAAATATAAGGCAGCACAACCGTTTTCAACATTGATAAATCATAAATGTTTCTTGAGCTGCAAATCATCATATTAGAGTGATTTCTGAAGGATAATGTGACACTGAAGACTGGAGTGATGATGCTGAAAATTCAGCTTTGATCACAGGAATAAATTACATTTTAAAACATATTATTATAATAGAAAACAGTTATTTTAAACTTCCTGAATTGCTTAGCCCTCAAACCGTATTCACTTCATAGCCCTTAATCCTGTAATTGTGGACAAATGTGGGCACAGAGGACTCAGGTGTGATCCTAATTTTTATTTATTGTAAATATTATGTCACTGTCTTCGATAAAGTTGTGTCTATCCATTTATGGTGTTTTTTTATTTTATTTTTAATATTTATTTTGATTTTTTAACTACATTAAAATATCATTCCAATAAGCTCTTAGAGCTAAAACCTAAAGATGAAGTGACTTTGCTGTCACCTGCTGTCTTATTTCAGCTTATTTTAGAATAGTTTTTCCCATTCATTTCCATGAGTGCCCATTTTTGACCCAAATACAAGATTAAGAGTTTTTTTAGAATTGAGTCAAAAAAAAAAAAAAAATCGAGTGTGTTCAGGAAGCAAACTTAGGAAAACTAGCCACTAGCCAAGTCTTGTACCGCTCAGATCAAGGGAAGTATTTTTAAAAAATAAATTTGTCCCACATTTGTCCAGAATACGGTTTTAGGGTTAAATATGCATGTCGATTTTTTATAATCCTAAAAATAGAGGAATATAAAACAGGTTGTATTTCCCTGTTTTACAGGCTAAGAGAAGCTCAGTTAAAAGAGACCCGTCTTCAGCAAAACAGCGTGACGACTCCAAGCCTCCAGATCATGTGACAGACCCTGATGAGACATCGTCTAAAGACTCGGAACAGACGAGCGCTGCCATTCTTCCTCAGAAAACCTGTCTAGATAAAGCTGAGGATGGCAAGACCACTGCGGCCCGCAGGGTGAGCCGTCGCAAGAGAGAGCGGATGAGTGCAGTGTCTGATGGGGCTGGTGTCAACCGGTCTGATGCTGAACACACTGCTGTCCGGTAAGAAACTCGCACACGCTAACTGCAGTTTAACAACCAAAATCTGCAGTTTACAACATTATTCATACTTTGTATATTTGAGTGATTTTGTTTTTTGAGAAAAAATGTTTTTTTGGCTTGAATTGATTTTATTTCTTAATTATATTATATTATATATTTTAGACTAAACTGATTTCAGTTTTAGTTTTGTAATCAGTACTTATTTCATAAAATGATTTATTTCTATAAATAATACGTTTTTCATCTAATATTTACGTTTTTTTTTATTTCTGCTTCATTGCAATTACCGAAAACAATATTTAATATTTTTTTTGTTTTTAGTTTAAAGTTTGAGTGTGATATGAACATTAGCTCTTTTTTGACTCATTATTTAATCAAAACAAAATTAAAATTAAAAATGCAAAATAACTTATAACTGGACACTTGATAAGTTGAACATGCAATATAATGAGATGATTTGACCACAGTGTAGTATATTATTGTACATCATTGTGCACAGTTTGCATATTTAGAAGTAATGCATATTTGATCATCTTTGTCTTCCTCATTCGACTGCGACTCTCTAATGTGTGTGTTTGGTGTCGTGTGCTTCAGAGCATTGGGTGCTGGCCATATTCAGGTCGTCTCGAGAGAAAACAACAACAGCGTACTACAGAAACGCCGGATACGAGCCATTCTTCCAGCGCCCGCCCACAACAGTGAGTCGGCTGTTATTTAAAGCACTAATAAAGCTGTAAATGAACTGATCTGATGTTTACATATGGCCTGTTCCTCACAGATGGGTCTGGCCAGTCCGCAGTGGTGCAGTGGATCACGGTTCCTCCTGATAAAGCCAAAACCGACACTAATATCATCAGAGCTGGTGAATAATATATTAGATCTCTCTGGGTTTCATTCTTCTTATCTTCATATATGACTCTCTTAGTTAACATGTTGTGTTTCTAGTGAAACCGTCATCCAGTGAACACATGACCGGTCTGAAGCCCAGCACCCTCAAACAGCTGGGTCACATGATCACACCCAGTGCCTTAGAACAGGTGAGATTACTCTACCCAACACACAATAATAATACAAGTAATACATATTATTATTGTAATGAGATTGAATAATAACTATAGTAATGTTAATAAAAACATTACAAAATAAAAGTAACCATACAAAATAATAATTAAAATATTACACTACAACTAAATAACTGCGACAGAAGGCGCGTTTCCATTACAGATCTTTTTCGAATTGCCTGAAAAACCTCCTCATGCGAGCGTAAAAACTTTTTTGCGATAAACGGGAGTTTTTGCGAAATTGACGCGTTTCCATTGAGCGCATTTTCATTTCGCAAATTGAAGGGTAATGGAAACACAGCTAGAAAGAATAATAATAATCTGAGATTATGATGATGATGATGATCTGAAGTTGGTGTGTGTGATAGACTGTAAAAGCTGTGTGTGATTGTAGAAGCCCCTGACGGTCGGCAGTAACCAGTACATCATCACAGACAACGGTGTGAAGATCCTATCCATGGTGCCCTTCAACAAGACCGCTGGATCCTCCCTGGTTAGTGTTCACTAGCAATACAACACATACTTGTGTTCCTCTGTGATAAATGATCATCAGATTGTGGACTAGTGCTGTATGTGTGTGTGTGTGTGTGTGTCTTCAGGCTCTGGGTTTGTCTACAGCGAGAGGTCGAGGTCGTTGTAAGAATCCGGCGTGTGATTACGTCTATAAGAACAGACACAAACCTCCACACTGCCCGACCTGCGGCTGCGAGCTCGCCAACAAACACGTCAAGAAGAACAAACTCACGGTTCGTTTCAGCACACCATATCAACTCTTTATTTAAGTGCTTCATTAAACGCGTTTAATATAATTAATTAAAGGAGTAGTTCACTTTAAAAAAAAACCTTTGCTGATAATTTACTCACCCCCATGTCATCCAAGATATCCACGTCTTTCTTTCTTCAGTCGAAAAGAAATTAATTATTCCAGGATTTTCTCCATATAATGGACTTCAATGGGAACCAAACGGTTCAAGGTCCAGATGAGAGTTTCAGTGCAGCTTTAAAGGGCTTTAAACGGCACCAGACGATGAATAAGGGTCTTATCTAGCGAAACGATGGCTCATTTAATAAATAAATAAAGTTTAAGTTTTATAAGCTCAAATGGTCGCCTTGCTTTGTTCTGTGATGCACGTTTGTGACTCTTCTATCAAAATGAACGAATCATTTTTCGAGTCATTTGGCTCATTCAACAAACAAAATGAACCAAATGACTCGAAAAAAGATTTGTTCCTCGCTTGATAAGACCCTTATTCATCGTCTGCTGTCGTTTAAAGCGCTTTGAAGCTGCACTGAAACTCTCATTTGGACCTTGAACCGTTTGGACCCCATTGAAGTCCATTATATGGAGAAAATCCTGGAATGTTTTCACCAAAAACCTTAATTTCTTTTCGACTGAAGAAAGAAAGAGATGGATATCTTGGATGACATGGGGGTGAGTAAATTATCAGCAAAAGTTTTCTTAAAAGTGAACTACTCCTTTAATGCATTGTTTGCAGTAAGAGTTTATAAATGTGTTTCATTTCAAGAAGTGTAAATGTTTGTTATTAGTTTTAATTTAATCCTGATGTGTCAGTTTTGCACTGTAAATGTACAGTCAAACTAAACTCTATTCAGACACCTTCAACATTTCTCACATTATCACAGTTTATTCGCTATAGTATATTCGCTATGACAAGAACTCCGTTATCAAATCAATAGAGGGAATGCATTGACGTCACTTTCCCACCAGAACAACCCCCCTCAGCCTGACTAAGTAGCAAAAGCTGCTGCGTGGCTGGATTTAATCGGGGAAACTGCGGAAATGCTACTAAAACGAACAATTTTATCAATTTAAACTAAATGTTGGACTCAATATAGTGTTCCTTACAACTTACTAAAGATCCAGTGGTCCGTGGATATTGACATGCAGCCGGGAATCGTGTTGCCTGACATTTATGTTTGCCTGATTTCGACACCAGGGAAATAAAAGCAATATAGACCTAAACATGAAGCAAATTTGCCTGTGAACACTTTATATAAATACAATATAGGTCGGTATCACTTATATCAGTGTTATATGTAGCATCATATCGTTCAGCCATAAAACTTTATAGTTTATTTTTGGTCAGTGTTTATTAAAAACATCCAATAATGCACAATATGCAATGATAAATATTTAATTGATGAGTTGTTTAATATATATATATATAACAATACAAAATATATGGGTATGGTTTTACAGCTAAATTCAGCATATTGACACACAATGATAACTGCAAATCCACCTTTCGCGGACTGGAGTCCAGTCGTTTCTGTGAATTGCAGCGATCCATTTGCTCCTCTTCCTATCGCAGTCTGTAAAAATATACCTCCGGTTTTCTGTCAAATCTAGTTGTACAGTCAATCGCAAAGCTCTTTCCCACTTTATATGTGTTGTGTTTGTTTTTCGCGGCATTCACGCTGAAAACAAATACAGCCGGTCAGTCTTTTTGCCACTCACTGTGAGTAACAGCAGGCCGACAGTTACGTCACGCGCATACCCTCTATAGATATTACACTGGTTTTGTCCGTCCATCTGTTAGACTTTCACACATTAATTAAATTGAATATCTATCAGCTGTTCAATTTAACTACACAATTTGAGCCAGACTTATATATCGGCAGGCCGATATTAGGCATTTTCCAAACTATCGGTATCGGCAGTTATAATGGCCGATAAATGAATATCCTCTCAAGCAAGCTAATACCACTATCATCTGTGGAAGACCGCAAACATTAACATTAATGAGCTTGGAAACCACAATGAACTTTTTCTGCCTAAATAAAGTAATGATTACTGTATTTATAACTAGCATATCTCTAGTTACAGTTCCTGCATTGTAAAATGTAAGTTATACTTGCGAGGAGTGAACATTTAGACATAGAAAAAGTATCAAACGTTGTGCAGAAAAGTTAGCTTTTCTTTTAAATCCAACAATATTTAATAAAAAAAAATATCGGCCGATATATCGGAAAATCGGATTTTAAAACTCCAAAATATTTGTATCGGTATAAGCCTTCAAAATCCTTTATCGGTCGGGCTCTAGACACAATTAGTTTGACTGTATGTCTACATAATACAGCGCACAAAAAGAGCAGCTAAACTGATGTTTTCCCTGATGAGTCCCACACTAATGAGTCTGTGTGTGTTGTCCAGCCGTGCGCTGAGGATGTGTCCAGTTCTGCACTTCTGTTGGACTGGCCTCAAGCTCTGAGCGGGTCTCAGAAAGAGCATCAGCGCCACTCCACCGTCAGTCTGCTGCGCTCGTGTCTCCAGTTCCCCGAGAGCGAGAGTGAACTGCAGGACGTGTTCAACCTCATACACGAGCTCAACCGGCCCGAGGAGGAGAGCGCCGGCTGGCCCAGCTTCTACGAGTCTGCGGCCACACACTGCAGTCTGTGTCAGTGCGCACTGTTCAGAGGAGACCGCGGGTGAGGGGAGCGCGCATGTGCTGGCGGGACGGATGTGATCGCGGGACGTTCTCATGTTTGTTTTTTGTGTCGTTTAGTTCAGTTGCAGGGTTGGAGGATTGCTGGTTGTTGACTGATCGTATTATTCGCCCCGTCACTCTGCAGCTGAAGGTCTGTACTAATCTGCAGTGTCTGGCGATACACAGTTTCACAGACTTACATCCAGGTAAACACACACACGTTTACTTCGCTATCTAAATGGGGACATTCCATAGACGTGATGGTTTTTATACTGTATTCTCTCCCAACAGTACGCCTAAACCTTCCTGGTTTTATATTAACATTTTAAAAATTATTCTCGGAGATTTTGGTCATTTCTGGGTACAAATTTGTCCCCAAAATATAGTTATGTAGGTACACACATTTGGTATAATACTCTCTTACTGCAACAAGAAATACCTTTTTTTTTGGTATTATACCAAATGTGTTAAACTCATTTGTTTTGAAGATTATTTTAAGATTTTAAATAACTTTAATAACTTTATTTTTGCAGATTTTGGTCATCATTTCTGGGAACAAATTTGTATTATACCAAAGGTGTTAAATATACTTAAACTCATTTGTTTAAAACTGTTGCTTTAGTTTGTCATGTTCATTTCTGCATTTGTCAGACCAGACTCTTTTATCTGGAGAATATTTGTAGTATTTGTGGTATTGTTTGTGTAAACGCATATTTTTAAGCTCAAAAGTTGTCATGGTTGTCAATTTTATTGTACTTTATGTATTAAAATAACTAAAACTGAAATAAAAATTAATAAAAACTATGTTTAGACGTGCATTCAAACATTTTATAAATATGACAAACAAAAAATTACTAAAACTTTAACTAGAATTAAAATGAAAACAGAAAATATGCAAATAAAAATCCATTCAAAATAAAAAGAATAATATATAAAGAATAAAAATGACAAACACGCAACAAAATTAACAAAACGTTTCCTACATGTTTTATTAAAACTTAAATAAAAACTAAATCAAAATAAAATTAAAATTAATTTAACTATATACAGTAGACATATTTAGGGGAAAAATAGCAAAATTACCAAAACTAATTAAAATTAAGATATAAAATAAAAATAATTATGACAAAAAAAAAAATTTGCTTAAACTTGAACTAAAATTCAACTGAAAAGTAAAATTAATTCAATTAATTCAAATTGATAAATCTATGTAGACATATTTAAATAAAATTAATAACTAACTAAATAAAAAAAATATATATATTTAAACCAAACCCTAAAACAAATGCACTACAAAAACACTAAAAGTTAAAATGAAAACAGAAAATATGCAAACTATAATGACACTAAAACAACATCTCTCGTAACACTGACATGACGAATGCAGCATGTATTACTGCAGGTTGTGTGTTTGTGTGTTTTCTCAGGTGTGTTTAATGTTGGCAATGAACTGCTGGTGACGCTGGATTTATTCTTTAAGATGAGACACCAGATCAGACTGGGAGACGATCCTGCACACGCCGCTCTCGCTTTCATCAAACACTCACAGATGCTATCAGGTGCTTCATCATCATCTTGATCGCATCACTGAACGTGTGTGTGACGTTTACCGTGCCTCTTTTGTGTGTCGTGCAGACGCTGTGTTGAGCTCGGAGCAGGAGTCACATGTTCAGGATCTGTTCTGCAGCGGTTACTGGGCGTTTGAGTGTCTGACGGTTCGAGACTATAACGACATGATCTGTGGTGTGTGTGGCATCGCACCCAAACTGGAGATCGCACAACGCAACACCAACAACACTTTACTGCTCAAAAACGTGGAGGTATGAGAGCCATCATTCTACCAATAAAATAACTTAAATGGTCTAAAAATACAATATTAATTGAACTGCCATAAGTAAATCACTTGACAGTTTCACGGGTAATGATAATGAACAAGTTGCATGTTCATTATGCTCCGTGTCCAGATAGAAAAATTGCGAACACATACATAACTATAAATTATAATAGGGAATGCAACAAATAATAGGGAAGTTCACAAGCACTTGTTTTAAACAGTAAGCAAGGGAAGCAAAATATTGCATTGACGTAACCACAGCTAGTAATCCAAGCCTTTTGTTCGAACCAACTAGAGGTAGACCGATTAATTAGCCGATTTTTGGCATTTTTTAACATAATCGGCATCAGCCAATATCCAAGTATATCAAGCCGATTATTAGGCAGGCGCATCTGTGGGCAGCCTAGTGTTGTCGTGGAACACGTGTTTGACGCACGCTGCCGCTAGAGTCATTTTCCAGCCGAGTGAGCAGCAGAAATACGTTATTGTTAGAAGTTAAATCAAATAAAATATAATAAATCTTATATATAAAAGTTAAATCATTTAAAGTTTTTTTCTCCTTTTTTGTGATAATTAGGTTATGTTCATTTGCCTTTGTCCGTCAAGAAACAAACCAAACCAAAAATACATGTTTCAAGACACTTTTTGGGAGGATAAAATGTTTTTGTTGAGAAAGTTTGTCTATGTTAAGTAATTATCATTTCTTTTACATTTTATCTTTCAAATAGAGGTTAAAAACCAAGCAAATATCGGCCAAAATAAATCGGCAGCATTAATCCGGATTTCAAAAGATCGGTATCGGTGTGAAAAAAAAACATATCAGTCGACCTCTAGAACCAACCTCGGGAAAGTGTTCTCTTATAGGTTTTCTCCTTTTCTCGCGCATGTTGGGTTATATTCACGTCTGGCTTGTCTGGTCCAGGGTCTTTTACAACGAGTTTTTCCGCTAATGTTATTCTTTCGAATGGATACAAGTTGCCATTTCTGCACTCTCTGAGGTAAATGTCCCGTGGTGCACGCGCGTGCACTCCTCTAATCTTGGTATTACGGGCAATATTTTCAGAGCCCCCAAACCATAAAATTCGACGACGCTGATTGGCGAAATATAACTTATTGATATTATTGAAAATATTGGCGAAACTTTCTTGCGTAGCAACCGGGGAACAATTGGCTTAAATTCCAGGGGCCTGTTGTATAAACGTTGCGTACGCACAAAATGGGCATAGAAATATGCGTGTACGCATCTGGAATCGGGATTTATAAAAAACAAACTTGCCGTAAATAAGTGCGCACAGTAAGGATGCTCTTGACCGTGCATACGCACTCTTTTAGAAGAGTATGTGTTTTGGCGACACCAATGGTGAGCTAGAGTCAAATGCTCACTATTAGACAGAGAATCTAACGAAAATTATACATCTACAGAAATATAATTCAAATATAATTTCACAAACCTATCATCACTTGAAGCAAACATCTATCCCTTCTTAAATGACTGCGCCAGCACACTCTTTGGGCCGTTTAGTGAAACTGACGCACATATAGCCTATAATCTAACAGCAGATGGAGTAAAACCGTAATCTTCATTATGAGTCCAAATCATAAATAGAGTGCATGTTCTCAATAACAGTTTAAATAAATAAAAGAATGATTTAAACTATGTTTTACTTCTGATTTAAACATTTAGATTAAATATGCCATTCTCATTAATGGAGTTAACACTTAAACTACATGAAATCATTACTGAGAAGTTACAAAAAAAATTATATTCAATAAATAGAAATAGTCTATTTGTTGTGGATGCAATGCTTTTGAACACTTTCCCTCTGGCATGCTGTGTTATAATGTTTTAACTGATAGCTAATAGCAGATTGTCTGAGAAAATTGTTTCGAGCAAATAATAGACCTTATTCAGAGCAGCGCCATGACAGGTATGAAAGTGAGGCTGTGAGGGATAGACTTACCGTGTTTCCAATGGCATCCGCTGTAAAAAGCTGAATAAAGCAGCTAGATTACTTAAAAATTTTCACAGCTTACATTGTCGGGAGTTTTTTGTCAACTGACATTTCTTTGAAAGATATTTTTCCAGTGTTTCATGAGGAGAACAATCCGAAAACGCATTAAATAACAGTACAGCCCATTGAAGAGATGCAAGTCTATCCCTCACAGCCTCGCTTTCATTCTCATTAAAAATCAAAGATGGCGCTGCCGTGAATAAGGCGTATGCTGCACAACCATGTCTGTTTCCATTTAAAATATAAATCAATTAAAAAATACTATTTGGCCAGTGGAAAAGATTGAGAAAAACTTTCTCTGAAATGTATTTAACACTATTTGATTTATTAATTCAAAAACAAGGTAAGGATATAGGCTACAAAAAAAAAAAATTATGTTTGTAATAATGTGACGGCACATCCGCATTTCATATTTTCCTAACGTCTTGTACCGTTAAATTTGGTATCACGTGGATGAATAATCATATGCAAATGATATGCAGATGAGGATATGCATATTTAAACTAGGCGTTGTAATCTCCATATATGGTTATTTCGGGGAGGAGACGCACGTGCGCACAATCAAAGTGAATTCTGCGCAGGTTCTGGCGTACGACGCAAATTCTGCCTTGTGCGTATGCACACTTTAAGGATGAAATCTACGCAAAGTTTTATACGTGAGGCCCCAGCACTGTAGGGGCTACTACTACACCAACATGATAAACATAACGAAAGTGAATTCTGGAGAGTTCAAACACATTTCGTGATCCGACTCCTCCCCTTGGATCTCATGTTCTTTCAGAGTAAAACCATTATTAGCATATCATTAAACATTATTTTTTTCAAAATGACAGATTAAAATATATATTATGAAAAAAAACAACAGACAGGCGGGAGGTCGGCTCCCCAGCGCCCTCTATGGGCGAGCCGCTGCTAGCTGGAAGAAACATTTAAAACCCTCAAAAAGAAAACTAATAACATAAACTAATAAAAATGACAAAAGTATCGAAGCATATTGCATTCACTTGAGGAAACAAAATCTACTCTGTTTTTCTGAATTAATGAATTCATTATCTCAGAATTATGAAATAATTTTTAATTGAAAAAAGTTTTTGCTCTGTTTTCATGAATTGAGTTTGAGGTAGTCAAGTTGTAACATACCATCTTGAATTACGAAAGACAGAATGAAATCATTGTAAAGAGGTAGGGTACCATCTGTTGAGTTTTGCAGTGATTATATTTAAGTGCCACATCAAACGTGTTCACATTCCACGCAAACACACACACCATATATCAGTTCAATCATTTATATGATAGAAAAACCTGAGTTTCCAACGCAGTTTGTCACAAGTCCAGCGTTCTCAAAGTCAATGATGGCATGGTGATTTCAGTCAATCAATATCCACAGGAAGTTCCAGGTTCAATCAATTCAAAGATGACAGACTCAATCAATAATCCATTGATAATTCCCACGCGCACTAAGCGGTCGAACTTAGAGCAAAACAGTCCAACAGAGAAACTTGTCTCAAGACGTATTTAGCATCAGCTTAATTAGAACATTAGGCTTAAATGAGTAGCAAAGAAAATAACAATTTCTCCTCAAAACCCAACCACAGATGAATACATTTTACGTTTGTCACCCCCCTCTCTCTGCTCTAACTTCACTTATTCTCTGCTTATATCTGCATCCTCACCTTCAGAACTGAGGACATCGCCCCCTAGTGAAGCGGCAAAGCACTAACACTGAACTCACCCTAGAACTGTTAGTCATTCATTCAGAAAAACAGAGCAAAAACGTTTTTCCATGAAAAATGATCTCGTAATTCTGAGATAATTAACTCGTTAATTCAGAAAAACGGAGCAAAAACTTTTTCCCATGAAAAATTATCTCGTAATTCTGAGATAATTAACTCATTAATTCAGAAAAGAGTGGATTTTGTTCGCTCAAGTGAATGCAATACGCTTCCTTACAAAAGTATATAAATGAAAATTGTATTATTATTATTTAAATTGTGAATAAATACTGTAATAGTATAAAACCCCCAGTGTTGTTCTCTGTAGTTTACGTGGCCTGACGTCCCCGCGCCGGACGAGGTGCACGTCGATGAGTTCTGGCTGACGATGGAGAACGAGGCGCTGGAGCAGGCGGTGTTTCCCTCCAGTGTTCCTCTCACACGCTTCGACGCCTCCATCATCGCCCCGTTCATCCCTCCTCTCATGAGGAACACACTCGTCATCAACACGGAGAAGGACAAGATCACCCCTGACACTCAACACAGAGGTACAGATACACACGTTTAACCCTCTGGTGCGAATCCTGTTAAAAAAAAGTATTTAAAGGGATACTTCAGGATTTAGCATTAAGCTTTGTATTAGTAGGTAACCTGTAGTATTTTCGAATTACCGTGCTTTCCACCCTCATATCCCCCTGAAACGAGAGATTTATGTATTTTTTGTTTGGAAAAAATCCTCCGATGACACAAAAATCGTTATTTTGTGTCAACGGAGGATATTTTGTCCGGAGGCTAAAGACCATAGCATAGACATATACGCTAGACCTCACCTAGGCTACGGCAGTTCATTGGAACGAATGCGTCAGTAGAGCCGCCATCTTGAAACAGGGGAGCCCCTCCACTTTAATGCATCAGCGTCAATGTAGTAGACACAGGTCCAACGGAAATAAAATCACCATAAATCATCATGAATGCGATTTTTCTTGTTTTTTTGGTTTGTTCCAACGGTCAGACATGCATTTATCATTGATTCCAGAAAGAAAGAAAACTTTTTTTAAATAAAAAAACATTCTTCCTAGTTCAGATTTCATCCGTGAACATCATACGCTGCACAAAAGTCTGCCACCATTAATGAATTCGAAGTAAAGGCAGAGATAGCAGTGTTACCTAGCTACTTCCTATGACAAGACCCCTGTTCCAAGATGGCGGCAGCTTTGACGCATGCTTAGAACCCCAAGGTGAGGTCTAGTGTATATATCTATGGCTAAAGACTACAGTCAATAGTAGGGTCTGTCCCGCATGTCCTCAACCCGCCCATAGAGGGAGCATCTCACTCACAGAATGAACACATAGTGTCGGCCTATATATATATATATATATATAATTGTGTATAGTGTTATAAAAATAAAGGCGAAAGGTGAAGTTTCTGATTCCTGAAAGCATGATTTAAGCATCATTGTGTGTGTGTGTGTGTGTGTGTGTTTTAGGGGACCCGTCGGTCCTGGTGCGTCTGATCCACGAGGGTGTTCTGCTTCCCGATCAGATGGATCAGCACAGTGAGGAGGAGCTCAGGGACGTGATGGAGAAATGTGGGATTCCCGCAGCAGAAGACAGTGATAAAGTACATGACAAAACACTTCGTTATCTAGATGGGGAATATTTCATAAGCTTTTATTGCTTACTGAGCTAGTTATAAAAAAATCTACCTAACAGCAAACTTTCGAGATGGTCCTCACTGCGGAACATGAAATCCATGGGGAGGAGTCGGATCCAGATCCAACTCCTCCCACCTTACATACACCTAAACCTAACCAACTCCGCCCCCTGATCCCTAAACCCAACCCTAATCCTACCCATCTCCACCCCTTGGATCGTGATCCGACTCCTCCCCTTGGATCTCATGTTCTGCATTGAGGTGCTACTGAAACTTTCTGCATGATAAATAATCTTTACCTTCCATTTTGCATGTAGAGAATGGCCTTCTGGTTTGTTTTGACAGGACGGGCTGCTGGAGGCGGTGTCTCTGCTGTATTCACAAACACAAAACGGACTCTGGACGGGACGTCAGCCTCAAGCGCTCATGATGGCGGGCAAGATCAGTAAAGTGTGTCCTCATCAGGTACACAGCACTCAGTGTTATACGTTTGTGATGATGCTGATCCACATGAGCTGATGTGTGGTCTCTGGTCAGGTGGTTTGCGGCTCCAAGTATATGGTGCGCAGAGAGAGCGCTCGCGATCACCTGGACCTGCTGCTGTCTTCACGCTTCTGGCCGCCGGTTTACGTCACAGACTGTGCCCAGAAGGTGGCGCTCTGCGCTGACGTGTTATATCCTGAACTCGCCTCACAGATGTGGGAGAAGAACCAGGGATGTTTTTCTGATCCGACTACAACACCACAGGTGACCCATTTAAAGGAATAGATCACCCAAAAAAATACATATATATAACATATATTTGTAGTATTCTAATTTATTTATCTTCATGAAACAAAACAAACAAACAAATTTAAAATTGTAAAATCATTTAAGAATTTATTTGAAAGGTTTAGGAAAAATTAATTATATATGCTTATTTATTCATAAAATAAACCCTCACATTTTTAGGAAATTCTACAAAATTTTTTTCTACACAATGACCAAAAATTACATTTGATTCATTAAACATAAATATAACAATAATTATGATGGTGATTATCATCAATATAATTGTATAATTTGATATTATCATAATGCATTATTATTTTGAATGTAATTATTAAATATAATTATTTTATTTATCCTCATGTCATTCTGCTGTGATTTATTCAATGAAACAAAAAAGCAAAAAAAAAATTATAATTGTAAAATAATTTTTAAGCATTTATTTCAAGAGTTTAGGAATATATATATATATATATATATACTGTATGTGTGTGTGTATATATATATATATATCGATATTTATGGTAATATGGTACATTTGAAGTGGATCGAAACCTTAGTTATACATGAATTTTGAACAATACCCGTTCTTGTCCTGGGGCAAACTTTTATAAACTTTTGATAAACTTTTTTGATCCACTTCAAATTATGACTAAATAAATAAATGAGGGTTTAGTAATTAATTTAGCCTATTTATTTCAAATGTGTAGGAATATATACATATATATATATATATAAACAAATTAGTTCAGTTATTTATTAAGTGCTTTATTATTATTAAGTCCTGATAATATATATAAATATTCCTTAAAAAAAAAAGATGTTAATGTTTTCTATACGTAATTTAGATTTTCCTTGCAATGCACGTGTTGTACAAAGATTTCAAAACAACCGATTGTGCGTTGAACATGTGGATCTCACAGCGTTCTTCTTCTCTTTCTCAGTACGTGTCGTGCCCGGAGCTTCAGGATCAACCGTACAGTTTAGATCTCACAGCAACTGAATCAAACCCTCATCTGCACCCGCTCACCAAATCCTCGTCCCGCTGGATAGTGCGACCCGACAGACCCGACGGACCCGACGCCCAGCACGCCATGAGCCTCTGCAAGGAGCTCGAGCCTTACGCCGGCATCGTCTCCGAGATGTGGGAGCAGTCCGAGGGCGAACCCAGGCGCGAGGCTCTGGTGTTCGACAACGCGGCGTATTACTACCTCTACAACAGATTACTGGACTTTCTGAGCAGCAGAGACATCGTGAACCAGCAGATCGCAGAAGTGTTGAGCGCATGCCAGCCGGGAGAGGTGGTGATGATCCGGGACGCCCTCTACAGGCTCGGAGTGGCACAGATCAACTCTGACCCGGAGGAAGAGGGCCTGGACAAACACTCGGACGGACTTGTGTTTGAGGAGGTGAAGCTCGACTGAAGCAGGGACGGCTCACTCGACAAACACAAGCTGGAAATGACTTCAGGTTTTATTTAAGAGATGGAGAGAAACAGAAATAAACTCCTTATTGATGCGCCTAACGTTACATGTCGTTGGTGTTTAATCTGGAAATGTGGAGCACAAAAATGATTAACGCTGCTCTTTTTCATAGAAGTCTCTTATGATTTCTGAAGAAAATGTTATGATAGTACATACTTATCTTAAAAGGACCGTTCACCCAAAAATGCTAATTCTGTCGTTTCAAACCTGTGTGAGTTATTTCTTCTCCTGAATACAAAGTCAATGGAGCCAAATAACTTCTTAGTTACTCATATTCTTCAAAATATACAACTTGAGGGCGAGTAAATGATAGATGTTTCACTTTTGGGTGAACTATCCCTTTTAAGATTTGCATATTTAAATTTTTAACATGCAGTTAATTAGTTTGACTACAAAAATGTGGTGCATTTTATCATTCATACATCAATGAAACTGCATTTCTGTAAGTGAGAGACACAATAACCATATTTATATTTCATCATATTTATATGTGAAGATAAATATTTATTTATTATCAATATTTACAGTTTGTTTCCGTCTGAAATTTTAACTAATTAAATATCGCTCGTTCCACAGCTAGCCGTATTTTATTTTATAATTTTTAACTGATTCAATTCGCAATCTGCAGATTTATGCAGATGCTAATACATTTTAATTAATGCGTTTTGCGAATATGATAATTAAAATGCTAAACTATACCATAACCATTTCATTTATGTATGACTGAGAAATTTGTATTACATTAAGTTTATTAGTTTAAAATGGTGTAATCCAAATGGATGGATATTTATTATGTAAATATATATATATATATAAGTTCAGATGCAAAAGCCTCTGAATGCCATTTGAAATTTTCTTCTTTAATGATGATTTTTATCAAACTTGTATATTTAAGTTCAGTAATTTCACTTAAATAACAATTCATAGGTAATCATCATTGCCATTTAAGTGAAATCACTGAACTTAAATATACAAGCTTGATAAAAATTATAATTCTAGAAGAAAATTTCAAATGGCATTTAGAGGCTTTTGCATCTGAACTCTTCATATATATATATATATATATATATATATATATATATATATATATATCAGTGGATGTTGCTTTTAGAGCTTTAAAGCACATATAAATAATTTCATAGTATGGAAAAGAGCAGCGTGAACATGTACTTGTGTAAAAAAACAAGTTTGGAACGACATGAATGATGCCGGTGTCTCTGAATCTCGATCTTCTGACACGTTAATGATTGTAAACAAGAAGCTTTTTATCACCCACAGAAAAGCGAAACCCTCTACAGGTAGAAAACCAACAGTATTTATTTTCATTTCATATTTGGACAGCTTTTTTCATGCATAGAAAGACTTTGACAAGTTGAAGTATTTATTCCGAGTGGATTTTGATCTGTTGTGACAGAATGGGACTCAGATATGGCGGTGTGTGTTTGTCTTGATCACTGGAGCGGCGGCTGACACTCGCTCTCAATAAACTGTATTTGCACTGATAAAAACAAGATCATCTGACATGTTCCTGCTTTATTGGTAGCTTTCAGTGGCAAAACAAACATCCAAGAGCATCAAGGGAACTATTAATATACGTTTAGGTAATATACACTGAGAAACAGACATCATTCTGATTGAGAAACCTTATAATGATTCAACTTTTATATAAATGTAAAAAAAGAAGATATAATATAAACATAAACATATGGCAGTGTGTGCTTTAAGAAAGAAAACATCAGGTTAATCACATTTTCTGAGCAACCTGAAGTTACCGTGGCAGTGTGTGTGTGTGTGATGCTACCATACTAATATATGTTCTGAGAACCAATCAGACGTTAAGAAACTACAGAACAAAACGATGGATTTTTCACTTCTCAATGTTTGTCGAAAGTAGTAAAGTTTAAAAACAAAATGCGACATTCAGATTAAAACATTTCCACCACATAAATGTATTTCATTCACACCAAATAATCAAAGAAATATCTAATTCTTAAGTCATTTTGATTCACAGGTATATGGATCTTGATTTATGATATTAAAGGAGTAGTTCACTTTTAAAAAAAAAACTTTTGCTGATAATTTACTCACCCGCATGTCATCCAAGATGTCCATGTCATTCTTTCTTCAGTCGAAAAGAAATGAAGGTTTTTGATGAAAACATTCCAGGATTTTCTCCATATAATGGACTTCAATGGGAACCAAACGGTTCACGGTCCAAAAGACAGTTTCAGTGCAAACTACAAACTGTTCAAAGGGCTTTAAACGATTCTAAACAATGAATAAGGGTCTTATCAAGAGAAACGATTGCTCATTTAATTAAAAAAAAATTAATAACAGTTTAAGTTTTATAAGCTCAAATGCTCACCTTGCTCTGTTCGGTGATTCGTGACTCTCCTGTTCAAACTCAAAATGAACGAATCTTTTTTCGAGTCATTTTGTTCATTGAATGAACCGAATTTCTTTTCGACTGAAGAAAGAAAGACGTGGATATCTTGGATGACATGGGGGTGAGTAAATTATCAGCAAAAGTTTTTTTTAAAGTGAACTACTCCTTTAAGTCTTTAATTCAGAGTGAAAACATTATTTTTCTGAACCAACTGACGGATATTTCAGGAACACTTTACAATAAGGTCTCATTAGTTAACACAAGTCACCTTTTAATGCATTAACCAACATGAACTAGCAATGAACATTATATTTTTATAGCATTTGTTCACGGTACATTAATGGCAATACAACTTTTGATCTTTAAAATATAGTAGCAAATGTTGAGATGAAAAAATGTTTATTCACTAATGTTAAGAAATAAAGCCTTATTGTAAAGCGTTACCGATATTTTTTAAGCAAAAACTTTTCATCTCAAGTAAACGCATCTTGATTTAAGAATTACTTGTAAACAAGACAAAAATACTGAGGAAAATCATTTTTTTGCAGTGCATATTAAAATGAAATGAAACTAGTCTACCTTTCATTCTACGTTACAGGAGAAAGCAAGTGGTTAGTTTTCCTTCCTAAACTGGTTTCTGTGCGGTCGGCCAGTCTCTGTTTTCCTCAAGCTTTTTAAGGTCGTGGGTTAATGAGAATGCATTTGACCTTTGACCCGCAGCTATCTGCAATATTGCAGCAACACTATGTCAATATTTCACGTGAATCTGTCCTCCAAACCTGCGCTGACCTCGCGCTATCACTCCAAACCCAGTAATCACCGCGGGAAGCAATAAAACACTGTTTTCCTACAAGAATTGAGTAACTAAAGCGGATGAATGATTTCATATATCTGACCTTTGACCTCCACAGGTTCCGTCCTGCATGGCATTCGGAGAGGTGTGTGTGATGCAGATGCACATCATGTTTGTTTGTTTTGTTGCTGAGTTTTTCAGTGATTGCTAAAGAATGAAGTGGAAGTGAAACACGCAACGTTGTGTGTAAAACGCTGAAGTCGCTGCTTTCCAACCCTGGCGCCGTAAAAGTTCAAGTAACGAAAAAAACACACGTTTACCAAACAGGCACGTCAAACAAATCCGGGGTTTGGAGTTTTCCACTCGAGCTCTTGGCAGAGAAGTGAAACCGGTTCACTCTTAATCTTAGCTGAAGCAGAGCAACGAAATCACAGCGTGTAAAATCACTCCGGGACTGTGTTTGAGAACTGAGGAAGCTTGTTTTTGCCACAGAATATACACAAATAAAGGCTAATTGTGACTTTTTAGATCACAATTCTGACCTTTTCACCTTATAAACTTGAGGAAAAAGTCAGAATTGTGTGATCTAAACCCACACTTAACTCACGAAAAGTCAGAATTGTGAGAAGTATCTATTTTGTACTCTGTGACGGAAACCAGCTTCCACAGATAAGATGAACGAATGATGCGTACGTGTGTGTGTCTGATTTACAGAGAGTAGTTCGTCCATGTCCTCAGCAGAACTGGTAGTTGTTGGCATTCATAAGTGGCTGATCTTCTTCTTCCGGGTCACATGTCGTCTCAGTTGACTCCTCTTCGTGCTTCACAGGGTCACATGACTCTGCTTCTTGGTCACTGTGCTCTTCAGACTGCACGTTTTGGTACTCGGCCTCCTGTGAAGGAGAATGTGAGTGGTTCATGACTCACAAACACGGGGCTGTGTTGAAAATAACGTGCTATTTTAACTGTGCACACTCATAGTTTTACTGTATGCATGGGTGGAATACATTTTTCATATGTGAAGAGGGTGAGATACCATATCCCACAATTCAGTGCAAACATCCTCGAAAATGTGAAATATGCGACATCCAAAATTCAAATGCAAAGGTTGTAAAATGCAGTATACTGTATGCAAAACACAAAATTGAAATGCATAATGTGCTAAGTTGTTTTAGTATCACTGACACACCATTATAGTTTTTTTTTATATATATTTTGAAGTCATTATTATTTTTGTATATTCCACTTTCACTTTAATTTTAAAGTTGTAATTAGAGCCAGACCGATATATCGGCTATATATATATCGATATACCGATATTAGGCATTTTCTAAAATATCGGTATCGGCAGTTATAATGGCCGATAAATGAATATTTAAAAAATAAAATAAAAAACAGACGAATCACGCTTATGTAATTATAAGGTGGCTTATAACTATAAGGCAATGTAGGGATTAATTATTATTTTATTTATCAGAACTTTAATATATTTTGATGTTCCTCTGTTCTGTTGAGACAATAGAAACAGAAAGTTTCTTTTTAAAATGCATTATCATATTATTTTAATTAAAAGTCATAAATAACTAATGTTATTAGGGAAATCTGTTAATATTTTTTTTTGCGTGTTTCTGAAATAAAAATAATAATAATATCGGCTAATATATCGCAATATCGGATTTTAAAACCAACAAATATTTGTATCGGTATCGGCCTTCAAAATCCTTTATCGGTCTGGCTCTAGTTGTAATATATACTGTATATACACATTTCTATTTCACTTATTATTCATTTTAGAACATCAAGTTACAATAAATTAAAATGAGAAATTTTGCCTTGGCTACTAGCTGAGTTTACATTATAATTGAGGTAAAGTTTTTCTAAGACTTAAAAAAAAATAATAAAAAAAATATATAAAATAGAATATTAAAAAATATGCTCAGAAATGTGATGTGACCGTTATGTGTTGTACCGTTTCACTATTAAAACAAAAAAACAAAAGGCCATATTTTATTGTAAAATAAGTGAGGCCATTTACCTGAACAAAAACACTCCATTATTCCGCTTGATGTTGTGAGCTATTTTATTTTATTTATTATCCTAATCATAAGCACACTGGTTTGTCGTGTATGATTTGTTTATTCCTAAAGTTGTTTACTGATTGCAGTGTACCTGCGCCTCAGGTGTGTCTCCCAGCATCCTCTCGATCAGCTGACTGATCTTACTGAATGTCGGCCTCTCGCAAGCCTCCAGGTTCCAGCACATCTTCATGATGGTGTACCTGATCACACAAGATCACGTTTCAATCACATTTACCACAAAACCAGAAGATGAAATATGGAAAATGAAGCCTTTATTTTTATGGGCATCCTGATTTTTTGCATTGTGACATTATTGCCATTTTAGCATGTATTGTATTATGCGTGTGTTGTATTGCCTTTAAGGTGATTCAATCACATGTCAATGTGGAATTTGTAAAAACGTAGTAATTATTTGTGAAAATGATTAGCAATATCTGCGTGAATCCCACACCAGTTTATTTTTTCTTCAGTGTCGTGATTTTTCTCTTTACTTTGAGGTGAAGTGTGTGTTCTCTCTCTCAGCAGAACTAAACTCTTGATTGCTGGTTTTGGGTCACATTGTTTTTTGCACTCAACTTAAAACAAGCAATAAGCACACAATCTTCTATAGAGTTTATAGTTGTGACTCTAATAAGCTCTGATTTTTAAATATTTCTATATAGTTTAAATATATTCTTTGTTTTAATTTTAGTAGTACTTCAACAAACTTAATGTTAAACAAAAATTGAAATAAATTAATAATAAAATAACATTTCGATTTTTTTATCCGCACTAGTAGTGACATCATAGACTGACGCCGGTCGAATTTGATTGCCGTGATTGGCTAGCATTTCAGACGAAGAAGGTTCATACATGGACGCAGCGTCTCGTTCCCCGCTCTTAATGAACAGAGGTTACAGTCGTATCCTAGACGTTTCCATTCTTCAAAAGTTAAATAAGTTCATTTTTATTTAAAATAATAGTTTTAGTTCCCAGTAAGTAACTGAATGAATTTTTTAATTTTTAATGGCTTTGTTTTTAGTTAATGATAACCCTGACTCGACTATTGAGTTCATTTTCATCTGAATCTTCTTGATTAAATTCATGAAAATTCATGAAATTAGTTTTGGATACAAATATTGTAGTTATAAATGTCTATACAAAATTAAATATACATAATATTCTCATTTAAGGGCTCCTCATCATCACAAGGAAGCACATTTCTGCCACATAAGAAAAAAAAATTGTAATTTATAATAGTAATTTATAATTATAACATAAACGTAGAAATTATAACAAACTAACACATAAGTATGATAAGCCAAGTATGATATGACAATTAAACGTCATACAAATTATTTTTATGACAATCAACTATGACAAAATTATGACATTAGAAGACAAAATAATAAGTCAAAATTGAAATAAATTGTAATTATTACAGAAAGACAATTTTTACTTTATAATCTGATAAATTAAACTTTTTAATCTGATAATTATGATTTAGTATGTAATAATTTCAACTTTTTGTCATTATGACATTAAAAAGTCACAACTACTACTGAGTATGTCATAATTTTGACTTTTTTAATCTCATAATTTTGCATTTGAATGCCATAAATATCACTTTTTGATGTCATAATTAAGGTTTACTGAAGCATGTTTTTCCCTGTGTGGCAGAAGTGGGCGTCCGCACATGTTCCTTCTTTAAAAGAGTTTAAACATACGATGTAGATGTCACGTAGATCATTACGTCATTCCCTCACTTCCATTTGTATAATTTCATAGGTTTGGTGATTCATTATTATTGTAAATTGTGGGAAATAGTCATAATAAAGAATGAATATTTGTGTCTAATAATGAACATCTCACTCACATCTCTGGAGGTGCAAAGTCAGGTCTAGACATCTGATAGCCACACTTGATCATTTTATAGAACTTGGAGTCTACCAGGACGTTGGGATATGGGCTCTTCCCTGGAGAAACATGCAGACAAGTCAAAAACTCAAACCAGATCTGTGCGTGCAATGAGACTGGACATCTACAGGACTGGAAATTAATCATCTATTATGTATTAAAGACGCCTGATGATATTTTTTTTAGATTAGCAGGTGTACACCATACACTAAATGTCGCCTTGGCAACGGCAGCTCATTGGGACAAATGCATCAATGGAGAACAGGGGAGCCCCTCCTCATTAAAGGAGTCGTTCACTTTATAAAAACCTTTTGCTGATAATTTATTCACCCCCATGTCATCCAAGATGTCCACGTCTTTCTTTCTTCAGTCGAAAAGAAATTAAGGTTTTTGATGAAAACATTACAGGATTTTCTCCATATAATGGACTGCAATGGGAACCAAACGGTTCAAGGTCCAAATGAGAGTTTCAGTGCAAACTGTTCAAAGGGCTTTAAACGATTCCAGACGATGAATAAGGGTCTTATCAAGCGAAACGATCACTCATTTCAAAAATAAAAAACAAAGTTTAAGTTTTATAAGCTCAAATGCTCGCCTTGCTGTTATGTGATGAACGTTCGTGACTCTCCTGTTCGATCTCGTTCATCAAAATGAACGAATCTTTTTTTGAGTCATTTGTTTCATTCAACAACTGAAAGAATGAAATGACTCGGAAATAGATTTTGTTCATTCGACCGATTGTTTCGCTTGATAAGACCCTTATTCATCGCCTGCTGTCGTTTAAAGCCCTTTGAAGCTGCACTGAAACTCTCATTTGGACCTTGAACCGTTTGGTTCCCATTGAAGTCCATTATATGGAGAAAATCCTGGAATGTTTTCATCAAAAACCTTCATTTCTTTTCGACTGAAGAAAGAAAGACGTGGACATCTTGGATAACATGGGGGTGAGTAAATTATCAGAAAAAGTTTTTTTAAAGTGAACTTCTCCTTTAAGGAAATAAGTGGGTCAAAGTGACCCAGGAACATCATAATCATAACAGAAATTTGGTACACACATTCCATAACATATCAGAGTGTTCATGACACTAAATGAGGCCAAAAAAGTCACAAAATATCATAGGTTAACCATTATTTCCATATGTGGGTCAAACTGACTCGCCAAATAATTTGTGTTTCTGTCTCACCCAGTGAAAAAATCTCCCACAGCAGGATACCGTAAGACCAGACGTCACTCTGAACCGTATAAACACACTCGAAAATACTCTCTGGAGCCATCCACTTCACTGGAAGACGGGCCTACACACAGAGAGAGACACATTTGTTTTTGATTTAAAATGATCTTGATTGGTCCATCACATTGTTTGTCGTCTGTTCCCTCACGTTTCCTTTGACCACGTAGTTGGAGTCGTTCATGATGTCTCGTGCCAGTCCGAAATCACAGATCTTGGCCACTCGGCTGTTGGTGAGGAGAACGTTTCTGGCCGCCACATCTCTGTGAATGCACTGTGAAGATTTACAGTCAATCCATCAGATCAGCTGATTAACTGTCAGGAGTTTTTGCACCTGTCGTTTATGAACGTTACTTCCTCTGGATCTTTGAACAGTATTTTTATTTTAGGGACTCACATTCTTAGCCGTGAGGAAGTCGAGTCCCTGCGCCACCTGATAGGAGAATCTGAGTAAGTCGTCCATGTCGACTGGCCACGAATCTTCAGCCTGAATCTCAAAAGAAGAACCTGGAGCACAAGAGGAAGCGGATGCATTTCAACAGGTTTTATAGGCAAAATGAAAATTATGTTCTCAACTCATTCCCCTTGTGTAACACGATATATAATTATATGTACAAAATATACATACATACAAAATATAAAATATTTATTAACAAAATATATATAAATTACAACACAAAAATAAGAAAGTGCAAATACAAAAATACTGAAGAAACCAATTACAAACTACAAAGAAAAATGATGATTTGGTTAAATAAATATGGCATCATACCAAACATATGATATTCATTAAAGGAGTAGTTCACTTTTAAAAAAACTTTTGCTGATAATTTACTCACCCCCATGTCATCCAAGATGTCCACGTCTTTCTTTCTTCAGTCGAAAAGAAATTAAGGTTTTTGATGAAAACATTCCAGGATTTTCTCCATATAATGGACTTCATTGGGGTCCAAACGGTTCAAGGTCCAAATGAGAGTTTCAGTGCAGCTTCAAAGGGCTTTAAACGACACCAGACGATGAATAAGGGTCTTATCTAGCGAAAAGATCGGTCATTTAAAAAATAAATTTAAAAGTTTAAGTTTTATAAGCACAAATGCTCAACGATGTAATGACTCGAAAAAAGATTTGTTCATTTTGAACAGGAGAATCACGAACGCGCATCACAGAACAGAGCAAGGTAAGCATTTGTGTCTATAAAACTTAAACTTATTTTTTTTTTTTTTAAATGAGCGATCGTTTCGCTAGATAAGACCCTTATTCATCGTCTGGTGTCATTTAAAGCCCTTTGAAGCTGCACTGAAACTCTCATTTGGACCTTGAACCGTTTGGTTCCCATTGAAGTCCATTATATGGAGAAAATCCTGGAATGTTTTCATTAAAAACCTTAATTTCTTTTCGACTGAAGAAAGAATGACATTTATATCTTGGATGACATGGGAGTGAGTAAATTATCAGCAAATTTTTTTTAAAAAAAAAGTGAACTACTCCTTTAAAGATGTATAGCACTCTGTGATGTGAGAGTGGTTTGCAGACTCACCCAGAACTGAGTTTGTGGGTCTGGATGTGACCGGTTTCATGTCCAGATAGTTATCAGAGCATGTGCTGGAAATCCCACTGTCACTGTCATAGGTCAAATAATCAACATTATCAACTGATGAACAATTTTATTTTTTTATATGTGTATTTTACAACCTAATTTAAGCTAAAGTTTTTCGTAAATTTGTTTTTCTTAAATATGTCCTAGTTTTTAATATCTTTACTCCAGTTTAATTATTTTAGTACAACAAGTTAAAGTAAATGAAAATGTTGCATTGGCAACGAGCTGAAATAAGATAATTTGGTAACACTTTACAATAAGGTTGCTTTTGTTAACAGTAGTATGAATTAACTAACATAAACTTTCTCTAAAAGAGAAACATCCATTTATCAATCTTTGAAAATAAAATCCAGCAGTTCATTGTTCATGTCACTTCACACAGTGCATTACTAATGTCAACAAATACAACTTTTGCTTTAATGTACTAGTAAATGTTGAAATTAACAATCAAAATTAATACATGCTGTAGAAGTATTTTTCATTCTTAATTTAAAAGTATTTTTATTTCTATTCTATATCTATATCTTCTATATTTTTTCTTTTTTTATCTATTATATATTTGTCCTACTTAGATATTTGATTGATATATCTGTGTGTGTTTATTAAACGGACCTTCTGATGAACATTCGTTCAGTGTTCACATTCTTATAATCCATCGTTGGCTCAGGAAAGTTGGGAATCGTCATGACGAAGTTCAGGAAGTTCTCGGCTTTGCTACGCAGGAAGTTCAGAAGATCCCCATGACAGCAGTACTCCGTGATCACCAGCACAGGACCTGCAAATGGACCAAAAAATGAACCAAAAATCTAAATCCATGATCACTTTTGATGGCTTTACATGGGTGCGAGCTGGTTGCTGACGGTAGGCCTGCTTTTGATATCTTGGTCAAGCCAATTAAAGCTCTAAAAAAATGATTTAAAACAACATTTTTTCCAAGCCACTCTTGAAAATAAAGGTTCCATGATGCCATTTTTTATTCCCCAAACAACCTTTTAGGGTGTGTTCACACGTGTGTATTTTGTATTTCCCAAGATTTTGCTTCAAAAAGTGTTCTTCAGAAAGTCTATGGGTGACATCACAGACGCTTTGTCCATATATTTTTTACAGTCTATATACGTACACAGAGAGAAGTAGTTCTGGCTACAATGTTCTTGACATTAGAAGACAAAATAATAAGTCAAAATTTAAAAATTGTAATTATTACAGAAAGACAATTTTTACTTTATAATCTGATAAATTAAATTTTTTAATCTGATAATTATGATTTAGTATGTCATAATTTCAACTTTTTGTCATTATGACATAAAAAGTCACAACTACTACTAAGTATGTCATAATTTTGACTTTTTTTAATCTCATAATTTTGCTTTTGAATGCCATAAATATCACTTTTTGATGTCATAATTAAGGTTTACTGAAGCATATTTTTCCCTGTGTGGCAGAAGTGGGCCTCTGCACATATTCCTTCTTTAAAAGAGTTGAAACATACGATGTAGATGTCACGTAGATCATTATGTCATATATTTTTTACAGTCTATATACGTACACAGAGAGAAGTAGTTCTGGCTACAATGTTCTTCCGAAAGACGCATTATTAGAGTATATAAAGAGTTTATTATCGCTTGCTAAAGTGCCAAAAATGTACAAAATAAAGCCTCACAAATAACTTGCAAGTATTAAGACAGCAGTCATTTAGTAATAGCCTGTAGTCTTTCTTTTTTTTTTTTTTTTTTACCCACACACCAGTGTGAATATTTTTGTTTTTGCATTTCAAATAGGGCCAATATATAGGCTTCTCCTATAAGGGGCCTACTGATGTTTTTGTTATTGTATTTTCAATATTATAGGCTATTATTAGTGCATAAACACAAAATTTAACATATAAAATATGTGCATAGATAACACTGGTTATAGTAAACATACCGTTTGTTTTGAAAACAACATATTTTGTCATCCTTACTGCAAACTTACAAGAGCGATAATCTCATTAAATGTGAAGGGGGGGCCTTAAAATTTTAGTCTCAGACTAAAAAAGTTTGGGAACCATTGATCTAAAGAACCTTTTTTCCACTATAAATAAGATTCAGTGCAATGCGAAATAAAGCAGGTTTATTTACCCCCGTATGTGCAGGCGCCCAGCAGGTTCACGATGTACTTGTGCTGTCCCAGATGACTGAGGATCTTCAGCTCTGACATCAGAGCCTCCCGCTCGTCTCGATGAGCGCTGGCTGCTCCCAGCATGCAACACAACACAGTTCAATACGCTTGCTGGCTTTGTAAAATAGTTTGGTCAGTGAAACATGATTACAAGAAGTTCATTTGAAAAGTAATGTCAGACCAAAACGGGGTTTTCAGTGGCGGTTACCAATTATATGGAGATGGTGATGGTATTTACTGAACTGAATAGACCTCATTCAGAGCAGCGCCATGACGGGTTATGAAAGCCAGGCTGTGAACGATAGACTTGCTGTGTTTCCAATGGTATCCACTGTATAAAGCGGAACATTACTGAAATTTCTTGTTTTCTTCTTTTGCAGCAAAAACACATTAAATAACAGTCCAAACCCATCTGTCACAGCATCACTTTCACTACCGTTAAAAATCAAAGATGGCGCTGATGGAAATAAGGTCTAACGAGACTATCGTCTTCAGTAAAGCTGCATCAAATTGGTTTCATAATTTAGGAACTTTGCAAGAAAAAAAAAGGTGAATCGTGCATCTTCAGAAAAGAAATTTGAAATTTACAGGGTGTTCCAAGGTATGCAAGTACAAGTAATGATCATACACTGTACTAAATGACTAAAAACACACTTTGTAATTGTAATGTTTTCTAACCTTTCAGCATTTTCACAGCAACACGCGTGACGTTGTCATCCTTCCCCAGGCCGTATGCCGTGGCCTCCACCACCTTCCCAAACGCTCCTGCGCCCAGAGTCTTCCCTACACACACACACACACACACACACACACACACACACACCACCTTACAGCTCAATACATCAAAAAACACTTCACCCTCTCATTTCTTAATGCATTAACTCCCATGAACTAACAATGCTTTAGTAAATTGAAATTAATAAATGCTGTTCATTCTTTATGTTAACAAATAATAAATAAATAAAGGAAATAAAATGACGTCAGAGATAAAACTGTCTGAAAAATGTCAGATTATTTGACTTTTATGACCTAGACAATGGTGTCACGTCACGTGAAACTTCATGATATGAGTGTGTTGGAGCTCAGTGACCCAGTACAGACCTAGTTTTAATTTGTCTCGAGGAAACTCCCATTTCTCGTTGTATGGAAGTTGTGTCGGGTCTATGAAGGTGTAGTTGTTTCCATTTGTGGCTTCAATGATTTTCCAGCGGATCTCAAATCTGGGTTTCTACCAACAGACAAGAGAGGAATAAACTAGAGTCCAGGGCTTTATACACGTATAAACATGATACTGACGGGCGATTCGAAGTGCGTGAAATCAACAGGTTTAAAATCTTCAAAAGAACGTGATCAATTGTTTATGAGAGCAGGGATATGAATGGAGAGAGTCAATAGGAACAGTTCAGTTTTAAACAAAGCACGCTTCAACTCTGTACACTTGAAAATAAAACAAAGATTATTGGAGTGTGCTTTACAAGAGAAAATACTATTACATTCTTTCAACTTGAAAAATTCAAGTTTATTTTAATGTTGCTACCCGTTTCCTTTTTTACAAGCAATTTCTGAAAGAACATTGTTTCAACAGTTGTCTATTCCGTAAAAAATCTATCATATTTCTTCAGAATACTTGGCTTAAATTAAATAGAATAAAGAATTAGATTAGATATATAAAGAATTATATGTTTGCCAAAGGAAGAAAGCAAAACAGAATATTTTTTTGCAAACAATATTAAAAATAATAATATTAGAACAAAAAGAGCAACAACAACAAAAAGAGTGAAAAACAACAACAAGAAAGAAAGGAATGAAAAAAGAGCGAGAGAAGAATTGAAAAACAGAAAAGGCAAAAAGCACAGAAAGAGCGAAAGAAATAAAGAATATTTTTGCAAAAAAAGAGCGAAAGACAGAAAGTCATGAAGAACAAAAGAAAGAAAAGGCAAAACAGCTAAGAAAGAGCAAAAGAAATAAAGAAAAAAGAGTGAAAGAAAGACAAAGAAAGAAAGAAAAAGCGAAAAACAGAAAGACAAAAAAAGCAAAAGCACAGAAAGAGCAAAAAAGAACAAGAGAGAGAAAGAAAAAGCAAAAACTACTAATAAATAGCAAAGAAATATAGACAAGAGCGAAAGAAAAAGAAAGAAAAAGCAAAAAGAGCGAAAAACAGAAAGACAAAAAAGCAAAAGCAGAGAAAGAGCAAAAAAGAACAAAAGAGCAAAAGAAAGAAAAAGCAAAACAGCTAAGAAATAGCCAAAGAAATAAAGAAAAAAGAGCGAAAGAAAGAAAAAGAACGAAAAACAGAAAGAAAGAAAAAGCAAAAAAGCTAAGAAAGAGCAAAAAAAATATAGACAAGAGCGAAAAAAAGAAAAAGAAAGAAGGAAAAAGCAAAAAAGAGCGAAAAACAGAAAGTCAGAAAGGGGCGAAAAAATATTTTTGCAAAAAAAGAGCGAAAGACAGTCAGAAAGAGCGAAAGAAAGAAAAAGCAAAAAAGCTAAGAAAGAGCAAAAGAAATATAGACAAGAGCGAAAGAAAGAAAAAAAAAGAAAAAACAGAAATAGCAAAAAAAGAACGAAAGAAAGATTATATTTGTGAAAAAGCGAAAGAAAGAGTGAAAGACAAGATAGCTAGAGTGAAAGAAAGAAAAACAAACAAATTAGAAAAAGCAAGTGAAAGTGAAAGACAGAAAGACAGCGAAATACAGAAAGATAAAAAGAAAGACTAAAAAATAGAGCAAAGAAAGAGTGAAAGAAAGATCCGGAGAGATCCTCACCTGTCTGTACTTGTAGACCATGAGGGCGAGCAGCAGCGCCAGGACCAGCATGGACACCCCACATCCGTACATCGCACTGGTGAACAGCTGATCTGAGACCAGAACACACACATCACCACTAAACCAGAAGAACCTGAGGCGTTTCAAGCAGAAACACACTTACCAGAGCCGTCCATGGAGAAGACGTCACTGCCCTGACCGGCCAGATTAAAGGCCACACACACCACTGTCATCCTGCGGTTCGGGCCCACGGTCAGCACACTCTCCACTCCCACCGACCCGTACGGCTCCTTCTGGACCTCCACCGTCTGAGTCTGGATCGGCTGAAGCTCTGTGGTGTTCTCTGGACAACTGTTCAACACAAACACATCATCATCATCATCATCACGAGGACCTCTCCATGTTTTAGCTGACCTCAAGGGCATCCAAGATGTAGGTGTCTTTGTTTCCACAGTAGTCTCAATTTTAATATTTTTAGGTCAAACCGTTTGTGTCTGTCAGTCATATAATGGAGGTCTATGGTCACCACCTCATATTTCAGACTTGGAATAAAGAGGCAACAAACACGCACGTGGTTCTGCTTCCTGCGCACTGGTACCAGAGGATGCTGGGAGCTGGATATCCATAAGATCTGCATGTCAGAGTTGTGACATTCTCCCATCTCACCGTCGCGACAGGTTTCTCTGTCAAACAAAAGAGCTTGAATATCTCAGACACGAGGTTTGTTGCTGCTCTGACTGGTTCTGGGTTCAATAAACTTGTTGATTTCACAGATATTATTTCATTCCTCAGGTTTTTTTTGTGTTGTGCTTGTGATTGTAAATGACCCACTCTCTAAAAAATGCTGGGTGTTTTAACACATCTTTGGGTCAAATATGGACAAACTTAGCCATTGGGTTAAATGTTTAAATTACATTTTTAACCCAACATTTGGGTTTGTCCATATTTGACCCAAATTTGGGTTAAAACAACGAGTGTACAGAACTTTCCTGTGGCAAGTTATATGAAATACTCCACCTGTCAACAGTTTTGTATAATTACTCTATAAATAAGTACCAAAAAGCTGCCACATTTATTCCTCACCAAATTTGATGAAAAATACAGTAAAAATGTGAATAACGTTTAAAAAATATTTCTATTTAAATATATATTTTGAATGGGGCAGTCAAACGATTAATCGCAATTATTGGCATTAAAAATAAAAGTTTGTGTTTACATAATATATGTGTGTGCACTGTGTATAATTATTTTATATATATAAGAAATATTTTTATGTATATACTGTATATAGATATAAATACTTTTTTTTTCTTAAATATACATGCATGTGTGCATTTATGTATGTGATTAATCGCGATTAATCGTTTGACAGCCCTAACTTTGAAATGTAATTTATTCTTGTGATCAAAGCTGAATTTTTAGCATCATTCCTCCAGTCTTCAGTGATCCTTCAGAAATCCTTCCGCTAAAATTTCGATTAAAAAAAAAACCTAATTATTCCAAACGTTTGACCGGTAGTGTATAAAAAAAAACCCAATTCCCCCGTTCAGTATCAAATGTCCATGCAAATGCTTCTAGCAGGAATTAATATACACACTGCATATACACTCCTAGAAAAAAAGATTCAGTGGGGTTCTATATAGAACCCTAGGGTTCTAGACTCAATTTTAGAGAACGTTTTATGCCCAAAAAGGTTTATACAAGTTGAAATGTCTTTAATGATTGCATAATACTTTAATGTTTAACAGGTTATTTAAAAAAAATCTAGTGATAAATGATGTTAATAAGCTGTTTAACTCATACATTTTAATGGTAAATGGACTGCATTTATATAGCGCTTTCATAGACCTAATGGCCACCAAAGCGCTTTACATTTGCCTCACATTCACACATTCATACACTCATTCATACATACACCGACGGCGGTGTCAGCCATGCAAGGCGCCAGCCAGCTCGTCGGGAGCAGCCGGGGTTAGGTGTCTTGCTCATGGACACCTCGACACTTGGTCAGGTGGAACCGGGGATTGAACCACCAACCTTCCGGTTTGTAGACAACCCACATGAACCACTGAGCCACTACCGCCATACAATTTAATAAAAAATAAAAGTTCTATATAGAACCTTTTCTTCAAAGAGTGCATACAAACACACACACACATTTGGATGATGTGCAGACGTAAACTAACTGTACTTACTGTACATTTTGATATCAAAAGTAATGGAGGCACTTTTCATGCTGCTGTTCACATGGAGTGTGTAGCTGCCGATCTCCTGGAAGTTCAGTCTCCTGAGGAACAGCAGCGCCTCGTACCTACACATTCACAACAATATATCCCAACAAAACACACACACACACACACACACACATCACAGTCGGTCTATGAATCTGGCATGTGTGGAAATTGATCTAGCTTGCAATGGTTGATATTGCATTTGGCTATGTGCTTTCTACTGACCTGTCGTTGTAGTTGTAAAACCTGTTCTCTGGAAGTGAGGCATTGTGGGATGTTGGAGTCTCCCACTGGTGTGAGGTCAGAGGAGGATACGCTTCGATCAAAACAGAAAGATCCACATCGTCCCCTTCGCTGACCTCGATGGACAGGCCGCGGTGAGTGAGTTTAGAAGAGAGCTTCGGGGAGAGACGAATGTACGGCTCGTCTGTCACAAATCAAAAAGTGCTTTAATGGTTTTACCAACACCAAAGTCACACCCTTATAGAAACAACCGACTGCAGGGAAAACAAGACTTTCCTTTAGTGCCCGCAAAGCCAGTGATCTCATCATGCAGTTTCTCATTAAAGGAGTCGTTCACTTTTAAAAAAACTTTTGCTGATAATTTACTCACCCCCATGTCATCCAAGATGTCCATGTCTTTCTTTCTTCAGTCGAAAAGAAATTAAGGTTTTTGATGAAAACATTCCAGGATTTTTCTCCATATAATGGACTTCAATGGGGTCCAAACGGTTCAAGGTCCAAATGAGAGTTTCAGTGCAGCTTCAAAGGGCTTTAAACGACACCAGACGATGAATAAGGGTCTTATCTAGCGAAACGATCACTCATTTAAAAAAGAAATAAAAAAGTTCAAGTTTTATAAGCACAAATGCTCGCCTTGCTCTGTTATGTGATGAGTGTTCGTGACTCTCCTTTTCGAAATCGTTCATCAAAATGAACAAATCCTTTTTCAAATCACTTCGTTCGTTGAATGAACCAAATGACTTGTTGAACAAAAAGATTTGTTCGTTCAACCGATCGTTTCGCTAGATAAGACCCTTATTCATCATCTGGTGTCGTTTAAAGCCCTTTGAAGGTGCACTGAAACTCTCATTTGGACCCCATTGAAGTCCATTATATGGAGAAAATCCTGGAATGTTTTGATCAAAAACCTTCATTTCTGTTCGACTGAAGAAAGAAAGACGTGGACATCTCGGATGACATGGGGGTGAGTAACTTATCAGCAAAAGTTTTTTTTAAAGTGAACTACTCCTTTAAGTGGCTTTCCATAGAAAAGCATTATAAAGAAAATTTATATGGTTCTATGGATGTTGTGCCCTCCAGGTCTCATGACTGAAAACGATGACTGAAAAAGCATGATTCTCACCCACGACCAGCAGTTGTGTGGTGGAGCTGTTGGCGCCGGCCTCGTTCTGGCCCGTACACGTGATGTTGCCGGAATCAGACAGCTGAACAGCCGGTATCTTAAGGATGCTCTCGATGGCCAAACGATCCCCCTGCATCTTTGATTTCTCTTCTGCTCGAGGCAGCTGGGAATGAGAATTACAACTTTACTGAACTCTTTACATGCTCGAAGAAGTCTCTTCTGCTCACCAAGGCTTCAATTATTTGATTAAAATTACTATTAATAAATCAATATTCCCGTGATCATAACATTTCTGATTATTATCAATGTTAAAGACAGTTGTGTTGCTTAGTTGTTTTGTGGAAGCCAAGATTCTTCGATGAATAGAAAGTTCAAAAGAACAGCATTTATTTGACATGGAAATATTTTTCAACATTATAAATGTCTTTACTGTCGCTTTTGAATAAAACAATTGTTTCCGAAAAACGTGTTAGAAATGACTATTGAGTATTTTTAGTCTATTGAAAGAGGTCTGATATATATATATATATATGAAGAGTTCAGATGCAAAACTCTCTAAGTGTAATTTGAAATTTTCTTCTAGAATGATTATTTTTATCAAGCTTGTATATTTAATTTCAGTAATATCACTTAAATGACAATTATTAGGTAATCTTCATTGCCATTAAGGTGAAATTACTGAACTTAAATATACAAGCTTGATAAAAATTATCATTCTAGAAGAAAATTTCAAATGGCACTTAGAGAGTTTTGCATCTGAACTCTTCATATATATATATATATATATATATATATAATTGAAAATACATCGGTACCTTTTTAGTGGAGTGTGTCCATGTGACGTTGTAGTAAAAGTCTGGGTTATTTGTGGTGCAAATGATCTGCAAGCTCTCTCCCACCAGTTTCACATACTCGTTTCTCCTCAGGAACACGTACGGTGGAAAATGTAACCCTGATTAATAAATACAGTAGAGATAGTAAATGAGTAGCTTTTATTAAATTTTGTAACAATTTTGATGTTGCACATCAGGGATTCCCATACGCTTTAGCAATTTGGAGCAGATAAAGATGAAATCTTGATAGCTTTTAATGTAAATCAGTGAGATATTTTTAACATTATATAGCAGACTACATATATATATAATATGTACATCTATAAAAAAAAAATCAAATGATACATTTTTAATTAATTAATTTATTTTAATTTTTTATGATTTCATTCATTATTAGCTTTTTGTCAACTCCAAGTTGGGAAACCCTGTTTTACATTATTCATTCAGCATTAAGAATAAATTGATACATTTTGGAATTTTGTGAACTTTTCATCTTTGGAATCACAAAATTCCAAAATGTTTCAATTTATTCTTAATGCTGAATGAATAATGTAAAACAGAGTTTCCCAGTTTATTGATTATTAATATTTCATAGAGTCAATTTTTATTTTTCAAATCAATGCATCTTGATATACAAATAAATATGTATTGATATTTGGACTGAAAAACAACAATAAAACTTAAAATAGAATATTTTTTTTGCAGAGCAGCTTAAATAAAACTCACTTTGCCTGATGTTTATTTGGAATATCTTTGACACTTTCTCAACTCCTCCAATTTTAGCGCTGCAAATGTAGTCGGCGGTGAATCCAGGCTGAACGTTGCGAATCAGGACACCTTTCCTGGGGTCAAAGGTCACGTTCATGCCGTAAGGTATCGCTGAGCCGTTCTCCATGCGCAACGTAAAGTCCGTGGCGGCGGGGTCGGTCAGAAGACACGGGAGCAACAGATCTTCACCTTCTTTCCGCACAAGTGGCTGAGTGAAACCCGGTGACACGAAGAGAACTCGAAGATCTGTAACAACACAGATGCGGTTTCACATGTTATTGGACATTCGACTTCACCAGTGACCACATCTTTAAACACTAAACCACGTGCTTCTGCACTGCGAACATCTTGTTTTCCAGAACAAAATCTGCCAATAATCTCCAATAGTTTCCCTTTGAATTAAGTTTACTTTTCTGATCCCATTGGCAGAATTTGTTTCTTGTTTCAAGCATAAACTCAATTCATTTTGATACAATTTTTACAAAGCCAGACTTAACATCGTAAGTAACTTAATTGTAAATATCAGGACCTCGTCAGTATTTCTTTCACCCTTTTATTAATGGACAGTGTTACATTGTGTGCAAGATTATTTGCTCCAAGTGAGAATGTTAGTGTGAAATTGAACACCGCATATGCCAATGTTTTCAATAAAAAACATTTGCACAAAGCAAGCCGATACACTTTTCCACGTTAATAAGAGCATTAAAATTAGAAAAAAATAATGGGACAAAAAGAAATCAAGAGACATTTAGAATAGATAAAAATCGTGAGTTAACCAATGCGATTAAATATTTGAATCGTTTGACAGCACTAATATATTATAGTTTTTTTCAGTGTTCATTCATAAAGTGTTCACAAAGAGATTGTTCACTCACCCCTGACAAACACATGAACAGAAGACGACACGTTTGAGTAATTTCCGTTCGTATAATTGCACTTGTATGTTCCTGTAACATCCGGCGTGGCTTTATCCACACGGAAACTCCGGATGTTTCCGACATCTTTGGAGATGTAACGCTTGAATTTGGCCAGTCGGGGATGCCACGTCACCGGGCCGTCGCCCTCACAGATCAAATGAAGAAGCGAACCGGACCTGAGAATCACATCCGAACCGGCCGGAGCGCCAGAGCTCAGTCTGATCCGCGGTTCAGACAAACCTGCCAATCAAAAAGCAGAAGACAAATAATATTCAAAATGGAACAGTAACAGATACATCAAGCTTTAATGCCTCATATAGTGTGATAGTGAGAACATGAGCCCAAACTGAGCAAAAATATGCAATTTGGTGCAAAATTAAGATCAATAACAAGTTCTTTATAACAGAATTACCTAAATAAAATCATATAAAAATCAGTTGTCACTGTATATCTCCAATAGTGCATATAAACTATCACCCAGATGACAGAAGGCATGGAGTTGATCGTATTTGCTCATATTGATCATTTAAAGGCCTTAGAAAACTTGGCTCTATAGAGTTTCAAGTTTGTTTCAGAAGTTACTCCAAAAAAGAGAAAATAAGATTTATATGCTTAGATCTATTGAAATAAACAACCGAGAGCTTCTAATCATATCGCAACAATGGATGTTTCCTGACTCGCAATAATGACCTTTCTTGACCTCTAATTAACCCAGATGTCCTCAAACTTCAGATTACTGAAACTCCTCCATCTGACGCTACAACTTTAGACTCTCAGTTCAGATTCACACACCACTAAATAACTAAAAAAAGTTATTGAACTATGAACTCATATTTGATAAAACTTCCATCGATGATTCAGGACCTGTTTATTATGAAGTTGTCATCTGTATCGTTTAAAGCACTGCAGAAAGAAATAAAGGTGACTTGATTTGATCTTAGCACAAGGCCTTTTTTGATATGAGGGGTGAAGTAAAGAGAAGAGAAATGAAAGCAGTGTGTGTGTGTGTGTTCAGTGAGAGAACATGATGAAGAGTCAGTAATCCGCACTGCGCAATCGGCCTCAAACATCCCGATCCCTCTCTCACTTCTGCTTTCCTCATTGGCGAATGATCTGCATGTTTAACAATAAAACTCTTTCCATCATTTAATGGCACAAGCCTTTGTTTTATTCAAACTCATTTCAATGAGAATTTAACATCAATTATTGTAAATTACCATCTGCATCTAATTGAAAACCAGTTGTTTTGGAGTTCACTGCAAAAAAATTATGTTCTTCCTCAGTTTATTTTATTTATTTATTTTTTGTTTTCCAGCGCAAATATTAAAACAGTTTGAATCCAGATACATTTACTTGAGAGATGCACAATGACTTCAGGTATAAGGTGCTTTGGTTCCCCAAATAATATTTTGGTGAAAAGTTCTAAAAAAGAACATTTTAGTAATCTGAAGAATCTTTTTTTGGATAGTAAGATTCCATGGATGTTAAAGGATTTTAAGTTTAAAGAGCCTTTATTTGAGTTTATGCTTAAAACAAGAACAAATATGAGGAAGCGTAAATGCATTCACTTGAAGAAAAAAAAAATCAACGCTGTTTTTCCTGAATTAACGAGTTAATTATCTCAGAATTACAAGATCATTTTTAATGGAAAAAAGTTTTTGCTCTGTTTTTCTGAATTAATGACTTGATTATTTAAAAAATTAAGCCTAACTCATTAATTCATAAAAAAAAAAAACAGTGAAAGGTTGTTTTTTTTTTCAAGAAAAATATATCTCGTAATTCCGTGATAATTAACTCGTTAATTCGGAAAAAAGGAGCAAAAACTTTTTTCCATGAAAAATTCTCTCGTAAATCTGAGATAATTAACTCGTTAATTCAGAAAAACAGAGTCGATTTTGTTTCCTCAAGTGAATGCAGTACGCTTCCGTACAAATATCTGCCAATAAGGTAAGAAAAATAAATGTTAATTCAAAGGGAAAACCTGATTCCTGATTCCTTTTATCAGATATTTGTTCTTAATTAATCAGAAACCTCATTTAATTTTGATACATTTATAATATATATTTGCATCCCAAGTAAATTGATCTTGCTTTAATAATGTTTTTGAATATTTGTACTGGGAAAAAAATACAAAAATACTGAATAAGTGGACAGACACTTCAGTCTAATTCTCAAAAGCTACAGTAAACCAGACTCAATCAGCGCTGGTAACATGACACCATAAACAGAGTCAATCCATAGACAACATTGCAAATCCGCCTCAGAACCGATTTCATCCTTATTTGTATGAAAAAAACAAGAACCGGTTCACATCAGTACAAAAAAACTCTGAGATTCTTCATATGGCATCAAAAAATTTGGGAAAACAAGCTGTCTTTTCATAATCCTGAGGATTTAATGGAGATCTATCTCATTTCATCAAATTTGTCTCTACTAAAATTGCTTATAAGAAACAAACCCGAGTCAAAGCATGAGTATATGAGATATTAAATGAATCAGATCAAATGATGAGGAATGTATAAGTTCATATTATAGTTGGTATCTGTATATTTGAGCACAGTTTAAGACATGTTTTCAGATCTCCTCTGAAACAAATGTGAGATTACTCTTGACTTTTGACAGGAGAAACATCTGACAAGTAAGATTACCGTAACCTTCCCTGCTGGATTACCGTTTTGTAAATGTTGAGACTCTTACCCTGAGCCGGAGCCAACAGGATCCCACAGACGAACAGGACCGCAAACATCTCAGAGCGACTCCTGTTCAGCCGTTTATCAGTCTTCAGCGTCTCAGAGGAAATAAGGACTTTGGTCCTTTAACACACACTTCTCATTTCTGTCTCACTTCAGGATATGACAACAGAGGGAAATTAGCTGACAGTGATAATCCTTAGAAACAGAAGTAAAAAAAGAAACATGTTGTGAAGATAAAGTTTATTGGTGTGTACAAAAACGTCAAAATCTAAATAAAACAATCATGCAAAATCAAAATTATGCGGTGTGTACAAAAACATGTTATGAAGATAAAGTTTATTGGTGTGTACAAAAACGTCAAAATCTAAATAAAACATTTATGCAAAATCAAAATCATGCACTGCAAAAAATTATTTTCTTGCTCAGAATGTTAGTCTTGTTTTCCAGAACAAATATCTACACATTCTTACATCAAGATGCATTTATTTGATGAGGAAAATAACTTCTGATTTTAAGTATTTTTTCAAAAACAATGTGGTAAATTTGAGTGAGTTTATGCTTTATGGGTCAAAAAATAAACGTAATTCAAACGAACGTCACTGTATGTTCATTTTGTTTTTAGATTTATCGAATTTGATAAGGTTTATGCTTAAAATACGTGGTTAAGAAACATAAATTTAAAGTTTAATAAGGAAAGCAAGTTTATTTTTCTTTCCCTATGGACAGATATTTTTCTTGTTTTAAAATAAACGTAATCTTTTTTTTAAATTCTAAAAAATGTTGGGTTGTTTCAACCCAAATTTGGGTCAAATATGGATGGACAAACCCAAATGTTGTGTTTAAAATATAATTACAAAATTACAGATGAAAGTGAAAGTTAAAAATGACATTTTTAACCCAACAGTTGGGTTTGTCCATCCATATTTGACCCAAATTTGGGTTGAAACAACCCAGCATTTTTTAGAGTGAAGCATAAACTCACTTAATTTTTATCATTTTATCGCAAAACACGACTTAATATCATGTTGTGCATCTAAAGTGTGTATCTTGATTTTAAGAACATTTAGATATTTTTACTAAAAAAGACAAAAAACAAGATACAAAAATACTAATTTGTAATAAAATGTCATTTAAAATGTTAACCCAACTTCAACTTTAACTTTCACCAGTAATTTTTGTAATTACATTCTTAACCCAACATTTGGGTTTGTCCATATTTGACCCAAATTTGGTTTGAAACAACCAAGCATTTTTAGAGTGAAGCATAAACTCACTTAATGTTTTAATAAACGCGACTTAATATCTTATTGTGCATCTAAAGTGTGTATCTTGATTTTAAGAAGGCATTTAGATATTTACGATTTTTTTTTTTAAAGATCAACAAAAAAGAAAGGATGGTTTACCCGAGTGTCAGTGAAGCTCTAAAGACCCCGATGAGAAGATCTTCATCAACCCTTCTGCTGCGTGTCCTGATAATCTTCGATCTGAAGCTCAACAGGCCTCGGACGGTCACACACTCCTGTGGTCCTCAACTGAGACGAATGCGGGTCCTGAACACTGAGAACTGCAGGAGTTTTTGAAATCTGTCCGTGACCTATTTAACAAAACCTGCCAGTGTTCAGACAGCCTCATGATCGGCGTGGTGAACATCAGTGTTTACATGTGAAAAACAGGCCATCAACAGCTTCTTTTAATATCACATGAAGAAAGACTGCAGCTGTATTTGAGAGGATCATTGATTTTGTTCACTTCATGGCGTTTTCTGTTGTTTTTGTTTGGACTACGAGGGTTTGAAGAAGGAAAAAGGGCTACACCATTTTCTAGTGCACTCAAATCTTAGTACTGATCTTATATGATGACAAACCAGTTTTTGCCCTCATTTCTGGAAATAGCCTACTTTCTATATTACATAATATACACTTATCGGCCAATTTATGTACATCTGTTTAACTGCGTAGTATATGTATATTTTATTATTATTATTATTTATTCATTTTTGGTACATTTAAGCATAATTGTTATTTTTAGACGTATTTTTTGGCCAGTTGTGGTCTGATTAAATATTAAAAGTTCTAAAGCTAAACCTAAAATTATGTTTTATTGTTCTACTGTCTGTCTCTCACATCGTCCCACAGCAACATTACGGTTTTATAATAGTAATTTATTCTTTAGTGTGCATTTCATTAATTTAACATATTTAATATTGGCTGCATCCAAGTTATTTGACTTGTTTGTTTTTTTAAAAAAAGTAACATAATAGTTTCTTTTCCCTGGTAATTAGTTACTTTTAAAATGATTTAACTCGGTTACTAACTCAGTTACTATTTGTGGGAAGTAATTAGCAACTATAACTAATTACTTTTTTTTTTTCATAACATGCCCAACACTGTCCATCCCTTCATGACCAGTTATTTCCAGGTAGTAATTTAAGTGAAACTTATTTCAGTTCAACATTTCAATTAACAAAAATACTTTTAATAGTTTCAGTTTCAATTAGTTTGAATAACCCTGATGTTGAGTTAAGAGTTACGATCACTCCAAAAAAAAAAAAAAAGCTTTATTAAATTTCTTAATTAAAATGAGCTTAAGCAACATTTTGTCCAAACTTAATTTGATTGTGTTCATTCTACTTAAAATGTAAAATTTAAGTTTACTTAATCCGTTTGTGTTGGATTACATGAATGATTTGTGTTGCATTAACAAGAACTGGGCAGTGTTTGTTAGTTCCCAGCATGCTTTGCATATGGCTGAATTAAGAGAGAATAGATGTCTAAATTAAGTGTTATTTGGTGTGTTTTTGAGAAAAAGAGAAAAGGGGAAGACTTTATAGTGCGTAATTGTGTTTAATGTTCAATTACATTGCAGTTATTATTAGTACCATTTAAATTACATTATATTGTGGAGATGAGTGGAGCATTTGGTTAGTGTGAAAACTGATTCAGCAACTCTCGGCAAATGCTTTGGTTGATGAAGCATGCAAATCTTATAATTTAAGAAGCTTGGTTATAGTCTACAAATGTATTAGTGTGACGCTAAAATACATTTTATTGTATTGAGTTAATGAATATTATGAATTTGAATACCTGAATCATGTCAGTGACAATATTGAATGAAACTGCCTAACTTATTTAGTAAATAAGTTGAATCAACCGTAATACACTGAAAAAAATAATATGCTTTATCTAATCAATAAAATTGTGGCAACATATGCAACAATATTATTAATTAAATTTTACAAATTAGAATTAATTAGAATATTAATTTGATTAACTATTACTCAATTCTAATTTGTTCAATTTAATAAATAATATTGCTTGTAATCTGTTGCCACAATTTTATTGATTAGATAAAGCATATTTATTTTTACAGTGTACATTAAGTTGACCCAACGTAAGTACATTAAATTGCAATAACAGAATTGCATAATATAAAGCAAGTTAATCATGATTTTTTATGTTCATTCAAAGAGTTATTTTTTTGAGTGAAATACATTTTTGTTTATCAGAGACGGTATTAACACTAAATTAAGTGTGAATGGAGACTTGTTGTTTCTAGGCCAAAGTTGATACTTCAGTGTGTAACTAATATCTCCATTAGCTCTCCTTAGCCGTGAAAGAGCAACGGCTTATATTGTTGTTCTGCGGCTTAAAAGAACAACAGACATATTATTAAAGACTTTATCACAGCTTTTATTGTTTATCATACATAGACTGTGTAAAAGAGCGATGTACAAAATATCTATACAAAAATATACTTCTAAACATACATATAGCTTTGGTACCTTAGAGTGTGTAACTTTGCTATGTGATATATGTGTCGAAATGTGCAATTTAATAAGGCCTTGTGCATACATAAAAACACTTAAATTGCTAAAATGACAAAGACAATGAAGAATAAACTAGATGAAGCCACACAAACACCTTCTTGAACGTGTTTGCAGGAAAATCTACGCACTCAAACATTGTGTGGAAGAGTTATTGGACTGTGCTAATTTGATCAACAGACTATTTTTGTTTCTAATGTCATTCAGATATACTGTTATTATCTTCTTCAGTATTGTTGACTTGTTTTCCAGTACAAATATCTAAACATTCCTAAATCAAGATACATTGACTGGAGAAGCAAAATGACTAGACTTAAATCTTGTTTTATGAAATATTAAGCTGGAAAACAAGACAAAATATCTGCCAACGGGGTCAGAATAATAAACTATATTTCTTATCACGTTTTTTACCCCCTGTTTTAAGCATAAACTCACATTATTCTCAAAAAAACAAGACTTAATATCTTTAGTAATTTTGCTTCTCAAGTAAATGTTGATTTATGAATATTCATATATTTGTACTGGAAAACAAGGCCATACTAATAAGAAAAAGTGTTGCTTTCACTTTACAGAATCATAAACAATCACATGTGTGTAAATATGCTTCAACTACTCATAAACATTAAAGTGCAAGTTTGCTACAAGAATCGTTACCAAAAAAAAGAAAGTTAATCAAAAGTCACAGGCCGCTGCCTGAATACAGAAATGAAATATGCACTTCATTTTTTCAATAATGTTCAAAATATGCTGAGAATGATTTAAACACAAAGTAAAAATTAAAAGCCATCTATAATGTTTGATTTTAAACGGTGTACCTTCTGAATAACACAACTAATGTACAGTATAACGGCTGATTGTAGCTTTGCCTTCTGCAGTTTATAATACTGCATTGTACCATTTTCATAAAAAAAAAAATTAAAAAATTAAAAACTGATCTGGTTCAAGCCTCAGCCTTCACAGCCGGTCCCTTTAAGAGCACACGAGGAAGTCTAGCATATCATTCTGATGTATTTATGAACATTTTCTTTTGAATTGATGCATTCAATTCGTAAAAAAAAATCTGCTCGAAATGTACATTAAAATTACTTCATGATGACAGGAAGTAGGAATGTGTCACAGGAAGCTCTCTTCCACTTCTAGACTTCCAGAATGTTCCGGCAGCAGTTCCTCTCGCTCGGGTTCAGTACTCGGGGTTTCCATGGAGACCGTCTCATCATCAGAACTTAAAGAGCTTTTGAAGAGAGAGAGAGAGAGAGAGAGAGAGACATTAACATCACATCAGTTTGAACCTCCAGGTGGTGCTGTTAACAATTATGTAAGAATTATTAGCTCAGTATTGTGTTATAAAAGGATATTATTATATATCCTTAGGATATTATATATCCTTTTATATAATCCTTTATATTTTATCATATTATCACAATATATATAGATATTTATCATAATTATTACAAATCGTAAATACACATAGAACAAATGTATATAATGAATGCATATGTTGAATAATAAATGGAAATTTAAAAAAAAAAAAAATTAATATACACTTCATCAAACCATTATATTATTTATATTATATATGCTTTATATTTGATCATATATTATATAACTATTTAGAAATATACTGATCATATTTATACCATGAATGCAGATGTCGGCTTGGCCAAGTGAATAAATGTAAAATAAAAATAAAAACACTTCACATTAAAATGATGTATTATTTATATTATATTATTTATATTATATGTATCCTTCATATTTTTTATATATCCTTTATATGGTATTAAAATAAATAATTCTATATACTGTATATATATATATATATATATATATATAAGTGTACATGTTTATACAGTATATATACACATTTATTTATGCATTCATCTAGCTAGCATGTATTTATTTTAGATTTAGATTTTATTTTACACATGTGCGTGTGTGTGCGTATATATATATATATATACACACACACACACATACATATAATGTACATAATTAAATAAATATATAAATATATATATATATATATAATTTATGTATTCATCTAGCTAGAATGTATTTATTTTACATGTTAAAATTTTAGATGATGAATAGATTATTCATGCAGTTTAAAAAAAAAAAAACACAAAACAGAAGTGATCCTCTCCGCATGAATGAGGAAGCGGTAATGTCTCATCGTTCCTTCATCCTCTGCGGTTTGTAATGTGTGTTTTATTTGCGCTCACACAGGAAGCCAGCGTTACCTCGAGGGGGTTTCCGTCAGCACAGGCTCGTACTGGGGCTCCTCCTCTGGCTTGGGGTCGGGGATGGGGATGATGTACTCGTTGTGTGGAGCGTCTCCGTCGGCCTGCGGGCTCGGGTTTGGGGTTTCATCTGAGGTGGGAGACTCGAGAGAGAAGGCACCCGGGAACGGAGACGGGACCAGCGGCTTCACACGAGCCACCGCAGGGTGATCGCTCTTCAGAAAGCTGTCGCTCACCTGAGAGTATTTCTGAGGGAGAGATGAGGATGATGATGCTTTCATGAAGAAGATGAGAGTTCACAACCGCTCAAATGTTTGGAATAATTAAGATATTTTTAATTGTTAAAAGCCCCTAATGCTCACATATGATGCCAAAAATACAGTAAAAGCAGTGTAAATGTAATTTATTCCTGTGATCAAATCTGAATATTCATTATCATTCCTCCAGTCTTCAGCATCACATGATCCTTCAGAAATCAGTCTAATATGATGATTTGTTGAAAATGTATCAATGCTCTTATTCTTAGTTTAAAAATGGCTCCCATTCGAACAGATTATTCATACATTTGAGTTTAAGGAATTGTTTAAATTCTACTTTAGCAAAATTTGTGACCACAGAAAAATTGTAATTAGAATTGATTTGCAATCTAAGAGGTTAAAAGATATTGATATGTTCTCTCAGTCTTAAGTTACAAATTGCTCCCATTGAAATGTATTATTTCTGCATTCGAGTTTGATGAAATGCTTCAATTTTGCTCGATTGTTGACGATTCTCTACATGTTCCTTTTCTTTGTGTGATTTTAGAGTACTTGTGTGAAGGTCTTTACCACAAAATGACAGAGAAAATCATTTTAGGAATATTACAATTAGAATTTCTTTGCAATCTATGATTGAAACATGGAAATGAAACGAGGAACATGAAGGAAACCTTTTTATATCCGTCTGAAAGCATGTTCCCCATCGTGTGCACCAGAAAGGAGAACTCTGGACGCTTCTCATACTTCTCATCCCAACATTTCCTCATGACCTCATATCTGCAGAGGAACAAACATCAGCCTTCAGTCCGAACCCACCATTATCACATTTATTTAGAGATGCCATAAGACATTTCTGTGATTTAAACAGACAACCCATCCTGTTACTGAGCACAATCTGACTTACTCTATGATATATAAAACAAGGATAAATGCGATAATAAGCATGCAAGCCTATATATGTGTTTATGTAATATGCCCATTCAGGGCAGTATTGAGCGGTGCAAGCATACATGTCCTCGTTGGCGTATGAGGGTTTGGCCATGCGGTAACCTCTCTTCAGAGCGCTGTAAAACAACTCGTTCATCGGCAGGTCTGGATATGGGGTTCCTCCTGCAAAATAAGCCATAAAGAGAGCTTTTCATTTCACATCTCACTTACATAAAACAGGAAAACTCCTGAATTTGTAAAAGCAGTTTTTGCTAATTCATCAGTGAGCAGTTAAGCGCTTAAAATGGGTCGCTTTAAATCTCTAATAAAAGAACAGCAAGCATGCCTTATGAAAGAATTGCTAACACTTTATTTAGTTAATGCATTGAACTAACATTGAAAATAATATTATTTAATGATAAGATGAACTAACTATGAAAAGTTGAATTTGTATCAACTAACATTAATAATGACAAATGCATTGCTTAATTTTTAGTCAATGCATTAAGTTACATTAACTAATAGGACCCTACTGGATAATAAAGTGTTGCCAAATAAATCATATAAACTGGATGTCATTGCTAATAGTGACATGTATACAGTATCAATTGTGTATAGGTTTAAACTAGGGCTGTGCAAAGATTAATTGCGAATGAATCGCATCCAAAATAAAAGTTTGTGTTTACATAATATATGTGTGTGTGCTGTGTATAATTCTTTTGTATATATAAATACACACATGCATGTATATATTTAAGAATTATTTGCACGTAAATACTGTATATATATATATATATATATATATATATATATTAGCATTGTCAAAACGCGATTAATCCAAAATAAAAGTTTGTGTTTGCAATACTAATTTGTATACTAAATAATTATACACAGTACACACACATATATTATGTAAACACAAACATTTATTTTGGAAAAGTTTGTGTTTACAGCCGTAATATATATATATATATATATATATATATATATATATATATATATATATATAAATAATCTATATTATATATAAATATTTTATATATGTATAACACATTTTCTTAAATATATACATGCATGTGTGTTTATTTATATATACTAGGGGTGTGCATGGTTAACCGGTTAACCGATTAACCGTTTAAAATTCCATAACCGAGCGAAACCTTTTTGCTCGGTTAAGTGGCGTCAATACATATTTGCACAAAACTTTTGCGGTTTTTTTTCTGATTGTCGATAAAAAAAATATTGCGAAATGACAGCGTTCCTATTAACGGTGTTATGCGACTAAAACATTTTTTTTCCTTTCGCGATAAGCCATTCCAAAAATGATGGCAACGGACGTTGGTATATCACAGCCACCGCACTAGACATTATCAACCCGATCTCACAGAATTCCGTGAAATGAACACGGACTCTTGCATTATTATTATTTGTGTGAGGAGACGTGGTGTGTCATCCAAGCATTAATGGCAGGGACAGTCACAGAGTTTCTGTGTTTCTCCCTCATTTCTGCTCCGCGGTCTTGATTGTGGCATTTCTTTGAGGTTTTGTCTAGTATATTCCTTGTATCTTTTATGAATTTTAAAAAAGAACTCTGCCTCGTATTGTGTCCAAACGGTCTACTTTTGTGTTCATTCGTTTCCCCTTATTTAATCCGTTGGCCTAATTGCAAAATGAAAAATGAACGGTTGTTGTATTTTGTAAATAGCAAAGTTGAACACCAAAATGTTCATTTGAACTGTAGGCTTATACACCAAATGCTGCGCAAAAATATATAGGCTATATATAGGCTACATATCGACGAATTTGCCCCTTAAACATTTAAAATATTTGACAAATTAATATGAAAAAAAAGATTTTACTGGTTTTCTGAGGCCAAATTAGAACCTGGAAATGATATTTTCCCCTGCAATGCTGAATGAGAAGAGCCGTAACCACAGCCTGCAGAAATGGGATTTATAAGTGATTTATATAGGCTATAATAAATGTGTCTGATAATAAAATAATATAAAATAATGAGGCATTAATTATTTATTAATAAACTATTGTTTTCTAAATCATTTTAGGCTAAAAACAATTCTCCATCTCCGGATGCATTAATTAGCTACATAATTACATAGTCAGAAGATATTGGCCTTCGATTAGAATTTGTTCGTTTTAAATTGGACATTTAAAGCTTTAGCCTACAAAGGATATAACCCGTGTAGACTAAAGCTTTACATGTCCAATTTAAAACGAACAAATCCGAATGCGGTGGCTGTTTCAGTTCTCGCGCTTCAGTTCGCGGAGATCATGAAGCGCGCCTGAATGTTAAAGAACAACGTTTTCTTGTTATTGTGAGTTTACGCAAATAAATGTATTTGCGAATAATGCATTATTATTTTCTGTATCACCAGAAATGAAAGAGTATTTTAAGTTGTTTGTTTCCACTGAGAGAACTGCAAGTGTTCACATGGGCTGTCTCGCAGCCATCAATGCGCGCTTCACACACACTGGATATGCGTCAAAAATATTGTGTTTATTTGTGCTTTGTTCCTTTTTTGAATAAAGGCGTCTTCTACATAATATGCAGCCTAATAAAATGTTACAATAATGACGATTATTATTATTATTATTATTTGCGGACACGGAGTTAATGTGCTTATTTTCAATTGGCAATTTCATTTTGAAGGGTGATGGAAACGCACTTTAACTGCTCTGTACTTACCACTGCGTTTTATTTCTATAAATTAATTTCGTTTCAAATGGGGTCCAACCAGTTATTAAAAAGGTGTTAAAAATTAACTCTGTATCTCGAGGTTGCGCCGGCGTGCACATGGTTAACCGAGTATTAACCGATAAGGGCCTCGGTTAACGGTTAATGAAAAACTTGAAAACGTGCAGCCCTAATATATACAAAATAATTTTACACAGAACACACACATATATTATGTAAACACAAACTTTTATTTTGGACGCGATTAATCGCAATTAATCTTTGCAGAGCCCTAGTTTAAACACAGACCTAAATAAGTAGTAATAAGACACATTTCTTCTGTTCATAGGAAATGTACATTTATACAATATCTCTGTTAGGATAAAGTAAAAGTCACAAAATAACATTGCATCAGATGTATGCATTTGCATTTGGCAGATGCTTTTAACCAAAGCTTGCATTCAAGCTAGATTTTTTCCCTTGGCTTTTTCACACAATACACATGTCAGGTACAATATTTAGTATAAGAAACCTCTTCTATTTGGGGATTAACATTTAATGTTGATTTACACAAAAAAAACATGACTGCACAGACATTCAGGAGAAAGAATAAGTGAGCGGACTCACCCAGAGTGAAAATCTCCCACAGTAAGATGCCGTAAGACCAGACGTCACTCAGAGTGGTGTACAGGTTATGAAAGATGCTCTCCGGCGCCATCCACTTCAGAGGAAGAAACGTCTGCAGAGAAACACACCGTTTCATTTTAAAAGCACAACTACGACTTCAGTGTTTGAATGAGTGTGTCGAGGGATCTACGTACGCTGCCTTTGGAGATGTAGTTGTTGTCGTGCATGATGTCTCTGGCCAGTCCAAAGTCGCAGATCTTGGCCAGTTTGCCCTCACAGATCAAAACATTTCTTGCTGCCAGATCTCGATGGACACACTGACAGAGACACAGAAAGATGTGCTTTAATTTGCAAAGAAAATAACGAGACGCGAAAATAAATACGCTTTTTCAAGACCAGTGTTGGGTATAACTAATTACTAATAAGTTAGTGTAATTTAATTACTTTTCCCTTGCAAATGTAAAGTAAGGGATTACTCTTTATTTATCTGTAATTTAGTTACAGTTACTTCTGATGTAATTGAGGTAAATACTGTGTATAGATCAATCCGATCTCACAGCGATTCGTATGCGTTTTATGAGGTGTCTAAATCGTACGACCGCACTCGTACAAATTCGTATGAATTATTGTAAAATATGTATAAAAAAAGTGTCAAATGTCATGAGATCAGACATAAAACAATAGTAGGTTCAACATCAAAATGTATTGTCTGTTAAAAAGTATGTTTTTATAATGTAACCTTCTCCACCTTGGTCAGATTAAGGATAATTCATGCAATTTTATAGTATTTATTTGAAAGAATTAAAGCAGATTCATGTCTATCCTTAAATTATTCAGCTGGTTGAGATTGATGTGGGATTTTGAAAGTAATTAGTAATTAAAAGTAATTAAATACTTTTTAGAGAGAGTAATTAGTACAGTAATCTAATTACACTGTTGAAGAGGTAATTAGTAACTAGTAATTAATTACTTTTTTAGAGTAACTTACCCAACACTGATCAAGACATTGTTTTACAGACCGGATGCATTTCCCAACTATAACAGTAGATGGTGATGTGTGTTTTCAAACTGGCCAGGAATATTATATTTAAGTAAAACCAAGCAAAAACTTTAATTAAAAAATGAAATATTTAAAAAAAAATATATAAAAAAACCTTTTTGTCAAAAATTGTGTATCAGCTAGTTTCCAGAGCAACATTCTCATTTTATTTTAGTTTTACTTGATGTACTTGATGAAATATAAAATGAATAAAAAACTATGTAGACATAAAAAACTAATAATAAAAATGCCCAAACTCAACAAAACGACTAAAACTTAATTTAAAATATTAATAAAATGTTTAAGTGTATCTCAATACTACTAAAATAACATGCTACTGGCATATTAAAATATGCTTGACCGATTCTTCTGAGTGGAACGGTGAATAATTGGACTGATATTATTTTATCATGTTAGGTCTGATGTTTTGCAGGTCAACAGCTTTAGTACTGTCACTTTTACAGATACTCACATTCTTTGAGGCCAGGAACTCCATGCCTTTGGCCACCTGGAAACTAAAACCAACAAGGTCACCGTAGCTCAGAACCGGAGAATCGCTGATGACCAGAGAGTGATCCACCCTGTGACCTGTGACACACAACATAAATCACACAGCCTCATTTGATGATGCAAAAAAACATGTAGTGCCATCATGACATTCTTTGAAGTACCTTAGAAATCTACCGTTGTACCATCGTATTAGCATCACTGCAAAAAAAAAAAAGATTTTCTTCCTTAGTATTTTTTTCTAGTACAAATATTGAATTATTCCCCTGTTCTGCTTTTTAAAGGCTCCTAATTTTTATACGGAGTCTCTTACAATAGGTTTACAAGCATTCAAGGTCAAAAAACACATTTGTTTTCTCCTAATATAAAGTGCAGCATCAGCTCTTTTCTCAAAGTGTCTCTGAAATTGTCTCTCTAAAGCTCTCGTTTCCGACTGCATAGGTTTTACAATATTAAATTCCTGCCTGAGTCCTCATCACTAGGAAGTGCATCATAAGTTCAATCATCAAAAACAGCGTCTTCTCAACATGTCAAAAACATGAACCAAACTCTTCCGGTCTCGGCTACAACTACAGTGTTTGATGGCCAAATAGATGTTGTTCGCAGCAGCCAATGACCATAGAGTGGCGTTATGCAAATTTGTTACAATCCTATGTTTGAGAAGGATGTAAGACTGGAATAACTGACGACTAGTTTCTGCACTTCTTTGATCTTTGAAACTTTGACATTTCACATTCACAAACAGTTTTTATATTCTAGGTAATATCAGAAAAAAAGCCTAACAGGGCCACTTTAAATCAATAAACATTTACTTGAGAAGCAAAATAGCTGAAAAATCTAAATTAAGTTTGGATCATTTTGACTTTATGCCTAAAAGAAGTTTTTTTTTTTTAAACATACAAAATAAAAAAAAAATCTTGTTTTTAGCATAAACGCTTAGTTTTAAAATCTATTTTTATTTTTTATTTTTTTGCAGTGTACTGTTTTATCAGGGTTTGACCTCATCCTGACCTCATCCTCTCAGCTCAGATTAAAACACGTCTCAAGAAATACTCAAACAATTAATAAATATCAAAATATACAATGAGACTTTTTAGTCTTGATTTAAATAGCGCAGAAACCTCAAGCGTTTCACTTTCATTAAGTTCTTCGGATATCCTGTCGGATGGGGAAGTGAAGCATTAATGAGCATTATGAAAGAGATCTCTATGTCACACAGACTCTGTCTGTGCTCAACCCGAAGGCCTCGTAGCATCACAGAGCCAAAGATCACACAGCGAGCACAGAGGCATGATGGGAGTTTTAGGATAGGACGTTTCAGTATCTGCACAACAAGACAAAACCTTACAGTCTTACTTTATGATGTGAACTTCAATATTACAATAAATTAAACTATAAATAAAGACTGTTTAAACATACTGAACTGTTACATTTCATGCAACTAATTACATGAATTATATGCAAAGTCATGAGGATTAACCAGATGTGGCAGACTCAATGCTGCTAATAAATCCTGTGATCGACATTTGAGCAAATATTGAAATAATTGTTTATTGTGTTTATTAGCATTATTAATAAATGCAATACAATAAAAATGCAAAAGTGCAATATATATATATATATATATATATAGTCTTATATATTATATTTATAGTCTATTATTATTAGTTTGAACTCTAATAAAAATTAAGACATACATGTATTAAATTTACATTTGAACTGTAAAAAAATGAATTTATATTAAAACAAATATTGTACACATTGTTAACAATATTTTTGTCTTAAATATAAAATATGATGCATACTTTGGAGTACATCATTTATATCATATTTTATATTTAAGAAAAAAATATTGTTAACATAGTGTATAATATTTGTTTTAATATAATGATCTTTTTTATAGTACAAATGTAATGTAATAAATGTATGTTTTAACATTTATTAAGAGTTCAAAATAATAATAATAAAGACTCTGAGAGAGGTCTTGTTTGGTTTCAGCAATATCATATGAAAAGATCACATTTTCATATGAGATTAAATATTAAATCATTGTTAAAATTGCCATTTATGTCAAATAATAATAATAATAATATTTTTGTCCAAGTTGTGCCACCCTAAATTATTTGTTAAATAAAAAAACAAATTTATAGAAAAAATATAAAATATTAACCAACATCAGAGAACCCTGAACATGCAAATGTGTTGTAAAATGATTTAAATAAACTCTACAGGTATTGTAATAAATATTTGACATCTGACAGCGAGGTTTGGGAATGAATGCTGCTGTGGTCGGGTTGGAGGCCTGTAGACAGTAGACGTGGGTGTTGTGTGTACCTTGCTCCTGGTAGATGTCCTGCTGGTACGGGGACTCGTACGGCGACGGCTGGATATCTGCATACTTGATAGAGTCTGCGAGCTCCTGCATGGGAACATATTCCATCTGCTCGTCTTTAGTCATGTCCATATATCCTCCGTCACACTCGCTGCCGAACGACACATATCTGCACAGCAAAACAATACAACCTGATTACATCTGTCTTACATGATCTAATGTTAGAGTCAAGCACGATTCACTTTCACCATAGTATTTTAAGTTATTTTTAAAGGTACACAATCAGTCAAAAGTTTGGAATATTTAACATTTGTAGATGATGTCTCGTAGATTCACTAAGGCTGTATTCATATGACCCAAAAATATAATAATAATAAAATATTAACATTTTAAAAGAACTGATTTCTAATCTGGTGCTCAATAATAATTATTTAGTTTAGAGCTTTATTAATCCCCGTGTGGCAATTAATTTGAGCTTACATGGTGCCTCACATAAAACACTTAACACATATATTTAAAATAAAAAATAAAGAATAATAATAATAAAAAATAATAAAAATAAAAAAGTTATTATAGTTTATACCTTCAGGCACGAAAGTAAATTTATAATGATTTGTAGAACATTTAATTGCCCTTGACGTCATTCCAGGGGCATCCACTCAAATCAATTATCAATTATAATTCAATTATCATTGGTGCTTAATTATTAATCCTGGTTCTTATTATTCTCAAGGTTAAACCTTTTAGTGGAAACCGATGCGTTTTTTCAAGATAAACATCGTTTGTGAAGAAATGTCTTTACTGTCACTTTTGCTTTTTGAATAAATTATATTTTTAAAATATATTCAGATATAAAATAGTTATTTTAAATTGTAATAATATTTCACAGTATTAGTGTTTCACTGTATTTTTGATCAAATAAATGTAGCCTTGGTGAGCAGAAACTGTGTGTAGAATAATGAAATCCCCAGTTCTCGTACTCTTTCCCGGTTGGCACGTCGCTGTCGTTGCAGATCAGGCTGCCGTTGGTCATGTGGTTCTTGTCGGCGTAGGACTGCAGGAAGCTGTGCTTATTCCTGTGCAGGTAGTCCACCAGATCGCCATAGCGACAGTATTCTGTCACCAGATATAATGGACCTGCGTAAACAATTAAGAAACAATCTGAAAAGACATCTCAGAACAAAGAGATCAGTGGCTTTAAACATCTAGATTGGTTAGGCTTATAAACTATATTACGGTTGGGAAAAGGTGTATGTTAGTGTTTATTTTGTCAGTTTATTTCTTAGTCAAATGTACTTTTTACTTATCATATTTATCGTGTTTTAGTCGACTAAATGTCTGGGCATTTTAGTCGATGAATAGCATAGTTGATTTGCTCAAAATTATAAACGATTTTTGTCATTTGAGAAATGTATGTTGACATTTTATTGTACCTTGTTTGGTGCAGGCGCCCAGCAGGTTGACGATGTTCAGGTGAGGACCCAGGTGACTCATGATCTTGAGTTCAGACATCAGAGCTTGTGTCTCGCTTCTCCGTGCCGTCGCTTCAGTGACGAGAGAACACAAATGACTACAACCATCAATCACGCTCACATACTTGTGCTTAAGTGTGTGTTTCACACTTACATTTGAGCATTTTCACCGCCACTTTAGTGGTGGTTTGGGAACGGCTGAGCCCGTGCGCCGTCGCCTCGACAACACGGCCAAACGCTCCAGATCCCAACGTACGACCTGCAGAAACAGACGTCAGTAAACAAAACACCTGGGCTCGTATTCATTAAGATTCTAACAATCCTCTCAGAAAACTCTTTAGCTTCAAAACTTTTACGTAGGAGTTTTAGCTTAAGACCGATCTGAGAGCAACTCTGAGTACGGAAAAAACAGAAACTCTCATCTTCAGTGAGGAGGCGGGGCTGACCCCGTTACTATGTATGACACAATCTTTTAAAGACTGTGATTGGTTGGTTGTCCAAGAAGGGAAAAAAGAGTGATTGAGTATAGGGTCTATTCTAGGCCTTCACTTTGAAATCACATGCGTAATTTGACCGTTCTCTCGCACACACACACACACACACACACACACATTATATATCTGTATATATATACATCCTTTTTTTATTTACCAGGCTGTTAATTTCCTATAAGGTATTTGATTAGAATGGCTTAGAATGATATTAATTGTTCCACTCTTTCCAGTTACACTGATTGCCAGCATGTCTATTTAAGTGGTGGTTTGAATGTTGGTTTTAACAAACATGGAATCAAAACCAAGAAGGACGAGAAAGCTCGACTGGACAGAAGAACAGTGTTTACTGTGAGCCCAGTTAGTGGATGAACTTTAAAGGAGAACTCCGGCGCAAAATGAACCTTTGGTCTAATTACACATTGTTACCTAGTCAACCGTTATCTGAGATTTGTTTTCATGATTGCTGAATGTAAATAGTTTTATCTATAAAAACAGTTTAGCCTATAACGCTAGTATAACGCTAGTATATAGGGCATAGAGTAATGACAAATTAAAATCATTTGTTATTACCACTAACAAGGCTCAAAATAGCCCCACACTAAGACGGTAGCATAATAAGGGTCCTTACATTCAAACCGAAGCATTGAGAACTTTGTCAGTGTCCAAACAGTTTAATAAGAAGATATTTTAAACACAGTCAACTTCGCGAATACACGAAGAAGAATCTTTGAAAAATAGTCTCTACCAGTCGATCTGTAAAGATTGGAAAATCTGATCAGTGTGTCCTGTTCTCACCCAGAACCAGACTGTCCCGTGGCATCTCCCAGGCCAGGTCATAAGGCAGGTGAATGGGGTCAACGTAGATGTACTCGTGTCCATCTAAACTGACCGATTCAATGACCTTCCACCTGATTTCATACCGTGGCTTCTGCAGGGAAAAAAACAACACAGAGTTTCAGTTTTACAATGTTAAATCTGTAGCAGTCAGGCAGGATGTGATGTCACTGACCTTCCTCCACACAGCGACGAGGATGATGATGGAGATGATGACGATGACCACCAGTGCTAAGACAGCGGCCAGAACTGCCACCTGGGAAAACAACGCTGGACAGAAAAGATGAAAGTTATGTACTCAAAATCTTCATATAAAACACATTAAATACTGATACTTGCAGCTTTTTTTGGGTGCTTTTTCAACCACCTTCATACAGAAACACTTTTCACCATCGAAACAAATACCAATGGACATCAAATATTAATAAATAAATAATTTATTTACGGTTAAATTACCCTTTTGGTTGTATTATTTTTAATCACCTGTCATATAGAGACATATTGAATTATATCACCCTGATTTATCTTGATAGACAGAATCAAGAGCTTCCCCTCTCTGAATATACAGCTTCATTCTCAAATAAATAAAAAATAAAGAATTGGTTTTTTTTTTTGGATGCATTGTCACATATAGACACATTTCACTATTCAATCAATTATTGATGAATAAAACTATTTCCTTTGCCATTATTTGTTGCATCGAATATCTATTTCACTTAAAAATTTGTCAAATAGAAAAGTAAAATTGGACAATACGAAAGGTTCAAGTTGACAACTCCATGTCAAATACATTGTAAATAAGAAGTGTATCTTGGTTTCCTGTTATCTGATGAGGAACTAGTTGAACTGGAGACAGGATATGACATCAGTCAACAATATTAATACAAACAAAACCTCAATTAATAAACAAATTAAGAATGCTGAAAGGGGCACTACATAGTTTTAATAAAATAAAATACATTTTTTGGTCATATTTTTAATCATTTTTCCAAATAGAGACACATATCAAAATTCAATATATTCCCATTTTTTTTCCCATGTCATATTGGGAAAGTTTAATGAGACAAAGCTGATGGTTCATGCTGACTTCAAATCAAGGCAGCTAGGCTCATATATATAAACCTACAGGCTCATACAGAGAGTCAGTAAGAAGTGTTTCCTGCAGCTTTGGCGTGTGTTTGTGTTTCTGGGTTTTCTCACGGCTGAACCAGTATCAGGTTCTCAATGAGCTCAACGGGTTTCACGCCACATTCATGGTGCTAATGAAAGCAGTCCTGGAGGATCATGGGATTAAACCCAAAGTCACTCTGTGTTTGATCTCCACGGGTGCTGCTCCATTCAGAAGATCCTCATTTCACACATTCACACAGGGGCTTTAACACCCTCCACACACACACACACACACACTGTACTAACTGTTGTTGACCAGTCTGATGTCTCTGGCTCGAGCTCCTCTCTCATTGCTGGCCTCACAGCGGATGGTGACCAGCTGCGGCCGGAGGAAGGTCACCTGACTGTGCGCTTGGTGGATCCTGCGTGTGTTGTTGTAGGTGACGTTAGTCTGGATGGAGACCCTCTCCGGATCCTCCACCAGGGGGCTCCACACAGCACTTCTGTTACTGCACCTAATGACAACAACACAATGAGGAAGTTCAGACAGGAATACTAGGCTGAATCTGAAATCACTAGGGCATTATTTGAGGGGACAGCCATTTTTAGTGGTGTCCGAAACCATAGTGGATGTTATTGAGCGGCCTCATTCAATCCCACATTGCCTTGCAATAAGGAGTGTACAACGAATGTACGCTCAACGGCTGTCCGAATTCACTCGCTCTTTTTCATTCACTCCTTGAACAGTATTAGTGGACTAACGTAGGGAATAGTGATTGAGGGTTTTTGTAATGTATAATAAAACAAAACAAGGATCATTTTCAAACCAGAACACACACACACACGCAATCTACCTTCATTATATCTGCTTGCATGCTTCATTTCTGAGTTCTATCTTGCTGATCCCTCATAAGTGTGCTTCACCCATGAAGAAAGTGTCTTGTGAGGTGTGTGGTAATGGCCGTTAGAGCATATAAGCTATATATTATTCATACAGAAGTATTTCTGTGCAGCTCTTTGGTGTTTTAATCAGCAAATGTGGAGTGTTTCGATGATGTACGGACCCACTCTACACACTGGGATGGACAGACACATCCTGCTCTCGACTGTTTGTACATTACGCTGAGGTGTGTTTATGTAATGCTTTCTGAGAGTGCTGCGCAAACTCACCGTTCATATTTACTCGTCTCTCAAAAACAACTCATATTAAATATGAATGAGAGTCATTAGAAGGAAAATATCTATTTATCCATCTCTCCATCTCTCTATCTATCCATCCATCCATCTATCTATCTATATATCCATCTCTCTCCATCCATCTGTCTCTCCATCCATCTATCCATCTATCTATATTCATCCATCCATCCATCTATCCATCCATCTATCTATCTATATCCATCCATCCATCTATCTTTATCCATCCATCCAACTATCCATCTATCCATCTATCCATCTATCCATCCATCCATCCATCCATCCATCCCAACAAATACACCATGATGATGATAATGACGAAGGTGTGGTATTACTTGGTCATGCTGTCACAGCTGAACCACTGAATGCTGGGAGACGGCACCCCCTCCGCCACACAGGTGACCGCGTGCTTCTTTCCAGGCAGGTGATGGTCGGAGAGTTCAGTTATCTGAGGACGAACTACAGACACAATAAAATGACAAGAAAACAAACTCAAACAAATAAACAATACAGAAATAAATACACTGAAATTAAATAAATGTTTTAACACAAATCAACAATTGGTTTATTCATTAAATTAATTTAAATATTGAATTAAAATAAATGAAACCACTTCAATAAGGCGAGGGATTAAGAAACAGTAAAAGCATAGAAGATTTGTATTTATTAATTTATATCTTATTTATTTAATTTTTTTTCAGTAGTTAAATTAAACTAATTAAATATTACATTAGTAAATAAAAATAAAATTTTATTTATTAATTTATTTCTTATTTATTTAATTTATTTGTATTAGTTAAATTAAACTGATTACATAATAAACAAATGAAATATTAAATTAATAATTAAAAATTAAATCAAAGTAATTTTCAAAAACCTATACACGTTAAGTTAAGGCCAGCAGCTGGTATTATTCCTGGTGTACGCTTAAATGAAAGACCAGCACGGGTGTCTGTTTTCAGGAAATGGGGGCGGCGTGTAAAAGGATGTCAAACTGTCTCACCTTTCACCTCTAGGTCAAAGGTCATCTCTTTAAAGTCATCTTCATTTTGGATGCTAACAGTGTAGAGACCCATCTGCTCCAGTCGGATCCTGACCAGGGTCAAAGTGCTGACAAACCTGCATCAGATCCAGAGGACACATCTAATATCCTGTGGAAAGGTTTAATGTTGTCTAATGGAGGTTCTGTGCTGAGGGCTCATTACCGGGTCTCCTGTTCCTGTCTCGTGTTGTGTCCTCGAATCACAGTGCCTTCTTTAGACCAGCGAATTATGGGTTTGGGATACGCCTCGATCTCAACCTTTAACTCCACGTTTTCTCCCAGATGCGCCGAGATGTTCCTGTCCGGATGTGAACCAAGAGCCACGAAACCTCTTTCTACAGACAGACAGATGAAAAACACACAAATGGTGAACAAGGGGTTTATACACTGAAGTTCAAGGCAATAGTATTATATTATATTCAATAAGTTTAAAGTTTGGGGTTAGAAAACAAATTTTAAAGAAAGAAGTTATTATTTTTATTCAGCTAGAACACATTTATATCGATCAAAAGTGACAGCGAAGACATTTATCACAAAGGATTTTTTTTCAAGATTATTATGAACTTTATACTTTACAATAATCAGAAATGTTGAGCATCAAATCATATTAGAATGATTTGTGAATCATGTGACACTGAAGACTGGAGTAATGCTGAAAAATTCAGCTTTGATCACAGGAATAAATTACATATTACAATATATTAGAAAATATTTTATGTTGACTATGTTGATGTTTCACAATATTACTCTTTTTTTTTTTTTTTACTGTATTTTACTTTATTTATTTGTATTTGATTAAATAAATGCAGCAGTGGTGAGCATAAGAGACTTCTCAAAACCATTAAAAATATCTTCCCAACGGCAAACTTTCGAATGCTGGTGTCAAATCCAAATTATGAAACAGATGACGTCCTGTGAGCAAGACAAAATGGGTTTTGCTTGCTCATCTTCTTACATAATCTATTTAATATTCCATAAGTGTGCACTCACTCATGACTGATAGATCATGATCTAAATGTTCAGGTGCTAAAAGCACTTTCTTCATAAACGCTGCAGCATCCTGTGTGTGTTGAGGCAAAATGCTGTGTGTGCAAGTGCCGCTGACACTTTAACAAAGATCTGCATTGATCCACATCAGTTCCTCAACAGTGTACGGCTGTTTGGATGCTGCGGTTTCATAATGTTAAATATAAACATAACTTACTCCCTTCAGCAGAAGGTCTGCATTCACACACATCGTGACGGAGCACAAACATCACAGCCAGTTTTCCATCACAGGAGATGCTGTGAGACCGAGGGCTTGTTTAAAAGCCAGGGGTGCTGATTTAATTAGCGTTTGCATCAAAGCATCATTGAAAAGAAGCTCATGCACACATCAGATGATGAAGACCGCTCTTCATACAGCTCTGGTTTTACTGGAAAACTCCTTTTAGCATTGAGATAATATTATAGCTTTTATTAGCATTTTGAATTAGTTTTTATTTGTATATTTTCTGCTTTTATTTTAGTAAAAGAATTTTAGCTATTTGTATTTGTGTATTAAAATAACTATATATATATATATATATATATATATAGTTATTTTAGTACACTAATCTAAATGAAAATGTTTTATAAAACATTGAAAAAATATCATTAAAAATAAAATTTAATATTATACAAAAAAATAATAATAAATATCATTTTATGTTTTTTAATATGTCTATTAATACGTTTTCTAAATCTAAATGAAAATATTGTATAAAACATTTAAAAAAATAAAATAACATTAATACTAAAATTTTAAATAATAAAATAATTCCCTAATAGTAAATATTGTTTTAAATTTTGATTTCAGTTCATTTTTATTTCTGAAACTTTTGTTTCAAGAAGCAAAAGTTTTGCATGTTTTTAATTTGAAAACAACTTTTACTCAGAAAATGTTAGAGTAATGACCCTGTAGCTGACATTTATAGACAGGATAATGTAAAGCTGATGAATCTGCTGTGTGATCTCAGCAAGTCTTACCCAGAACGGTGATGTCAATACTGGCTGAAGCTGTGTGTTCCCCCACACCCTCATGCACATGACAAACATACTGCCCGGATCGGGCCAGCGAGGCATTCGTGATGTTGAGACAGGACCTCATGCTCATGGACGACAGGACATCAGTCAAGGGCTCAATGTCCTCCTCCTGATACTCAAAAATAGGGGTGTTAGACATTTACTTCTCTATTGAGACAATTTTTGCAGAGATATACATACTGCATATATTCTGTATAGAGCAAACGATAGATGGTGGGTGTGGCGTCAGACCTTGGAGAGGTGTTCATCAACATAAAAAGTCCAAAAAGGGAATAGGTTATCCATGAGTTTAGGGGTATCCCAAAAAACAAAAAACAAACAAAACAGGGCATCTGGTGTCCCGGCTGTTCTGGAGTATATGACAAAGCGATTAAATTGCACTCACTGCAAAAAAACTCAGTATAAATTTCTTAAATCGAGATACATTTACTTGAAAAGGAAAATGACATATAAAGTCTTGTTTTTGAGAAGATAAAAATTAATTGAGTTAAAAATTGCATAAAAACTTGATTATTTTTCAGATTTTTAAGCATAAAGTCACTTAATTTTGATACATTATAAAACACAAGACTTAAAATCTTGTCATTTGCATCTCAAATAAATTTACCTTAATTTAAGAATGTTTATATTAAAACCTTCAAAAATTCTGTGATATTCATTATGCTGAAGTGCATAAACTATAGCTACAAACTTGCTTTTCACTTCTTTCCTTATACATTTTTTTATTTCTCTCTTAATAAAACACGTGTTCCTCATGACAACGGTCAGGGAGAGGTGTGGCCGCACATCTTGAGGTGATTTCAACATGTGGACCTTCTCACGGGAGCTCTAAGTGCTCGAACGGAAAAATAAAGAAAACAAGGAATTTAATTTTCAGCCCACTCACGTCTTTGTTGGGAAAGTCCCATTGGAAGAAGACGAGTTGCACGCCGTGAACGGTGCAGTTGACGTTCAGCGTCTCACCCTGTTTCAGGACCGTTTTGGAGGCGTTGATGTAGGGATCCAGAGCCTCGGGAGCTGAAGACATGTGTGCGAAAGAAAGAACAAAAGCGGCTATTGTTAGACAGAAAACAAATCATCTAATGAGTTTATAAAGAGACTTGGTCCAATCGATGATGACACAGATAATGAAGGAGAACAGATGTGTAACACATGGGCTCTCTTCATCTTTTAACCATCTTCTGAAAAGTAAATGGTGAGAGTTTTAACTCACAACAGCTTCATTTAGCAAATAATAGCCTGTAATGTTGATACATGATGTCATAAATGTCTGTAATATTAGGGCATTAGCAGACGTCAAGTTGATTCATACATATGTATAGGAAAGAAAAATCACGATTGTCTCAATCGTTTCTATTACATTGAAAAATTATGTTCTTCCTCTGAGTTTTTTTTTTCTTGTTTTCAAGAACAATTTTTTTCAAACGTTCTTAAATCAAGGAGGAGCAAACTATTGACAATGGGCGTGGCGTCAGGCCTTGGAGAGGTGTTTATTAACATAAAATGACCAAAATATGTCCAAAAAGGGGAATAAGTTGTCCATGAGGATAGGGGTATCCAAAAAACAAACAAAAAACAAAAAAACGTTCTTAAATCAAGATTAAGTCTTAATCGTTTAATAAAAAATGAATCAAAATTAAGAAAGTTTAAGCCTAAAACAAGAAAAAAAATATCTGCCAATGGGGTCAGAAAGAGAAAGTTAATTCAAAGGGAAAACTATTTTATTTTTCTGACCCCATTGACAGACATTTGTTCTTGTTTTAAGCAAAATTTCACTTAATTTCAATCAGTTTTTCAGAAAACAAGACTTAATGGTTTAGTTCAACCAAAAAATGTGGTCATTAATTACTCGCTCTCAAGTCGTTCCAAACCTGCAAGACTTCCGTTCATCTTTGGAGCACAAATGAAAATCGTTTTGATGAAATCTGAGAGACAGTAGACATTAGACAGCAACACAACTGACACTTTGACGCTTCAAAAAGTTCATAAAGAGATTGCAAAACTAAGAGAGAGTATAGCTCTATACTCTTACTGGATGATGATGACTCATTTGAGTCTGCTTAATTTAATTCCTGAGAAACATCTGAGACAAAGTTGACACTTAAAGCTGCAGTCTGCAGTTTTTCCTCTTTGTCGCCATCTCTGTTCGAAATCTGCAATTGCAGTCATTCGCAGAATTATCAACTTCACGCGAGTTGTGCTTGAACACAATGTTTGAGGAGAGTGTGCAGCTGTCAATCACCGTGCCGGTGTGGATACTGGCATTCAGAAATCACAGATTATTCTTTTTGGAAGTATGACCAACATAATTTTCACCATAAAACATCATCTGAACAAGTGAGGTAACATCCACTTTTGTTTTGGTTTTGACATTGCAGTAAATCACGTCGATTAAATCTAAAAATCACGCAAAGCCGTTCTCAAATTATTTATGTTCAACGTCAGCATTACGTGACTAAATGTAACGTCCTCCCTACGGCAAGCAGAAAGCGCTAACCACTGGCTGGTTATGTATTTTCTCAAATATGTATTTTGGATAATAAAGCACTGGACTGCAGCGTGACTACAAACTCCACTTAATCTCCTGAGCAACATCAGAGACCTCTTTGACCCCTTTCAAAGCATAAAAGAGCATTTGAGCAAATATACCAAATATACTGAAGACGTAGAACGGGATGGACTCTTTCTCCTGGCCGTTCAGCTCTCCTCTGCATATGTAGTTTCTGTCGTCCAGGGCAGCGGTGTAGCCCACGCTGGGGTTGTACGAGCCCTCCACCACGATGTCTGTGTCTCTCTCGTACAGCGTGACGTTTATCGACGGGTCCGTCACCAGACAGGGGATCGTGCTTTCCTCTCGCGTCTTAGTCACCATGCTGTGATCGTTGTTGAGGAACCACACCTCAGGATCTGAGGAAGAGAGAATTAATAAATCAATGTGTAAACAAATAAACGCATGAGTGAATGAACGAACAAATCAAATGAGTGTGAGAATCAATAAATGGATGAATGAACAAATCAATAAAGTGAATGATGACTGTTTTCTGCAGAGCTGAATCAAACTCATTTAATAACGGATGAACTTTACAGTGATTGAACTGAATCAACGTTGAACTGACTTAAGTTGAACAATGACAATAGTCTTTTTAGAGCTGCTTTACAGGAGAATTGAATGATCATTATTTTCCTGTTTATCACTACTTTATGAGCAGTTTTGAAACAATCTGTACTGTATAAAGCGCTATATAAATCAAAGTGACTTGACTTGATTGTGTGAGTGATTAATGAACTAATCAATGAATGAATCAATGTGTGGGTGAATGAATAAAAAAAAAATCAATGTAAGAAACAATATATGAATGGATGCTTGAGTGAATGAACAAACAAAAATCAATGAGCGAATCAATAAATGAAAGAATTCATAAATAAGTGAACAAATGAATAAATGTGCAAATCCATAAATGAATAAATGTGTAAGTGAAAAAAAAAATACTTTATTGAAAAAAAATTAATGAATGTTAAGCAAATGAACCAAAGAGTCGATGTGAGAATCAGTAAATGAATGCATGAGTGAATGAACGAATCGGTGTGAGAACAATATGTGAGTGACGATTAATACCAGAAAATCACATTCAAAACGACCTAAAAACATTTGGACTTCTCTATTTTCTGACTTCTCGACCTAAAAAATGTATTCAATGTTAACATTTACCATCTTAAAATGTTCAAATATAACTTGCCTTACTTGTAGTCTGAGTATTAATGAACCAATTTTGAATATCTCCGTGAGAAACACACACACACAGATGTTCTTACCAGGCACAAAGACAGCCACCTCTCTGGTCTCATTTGTCCCGTTCTCAGAGCACACATAAACCCCGGTGTGTGTCCACGTCACATTCTCCAGACTCAGAACACTGGAGGTGGGACTTCGCGACTCGGTGTGAAACGCCGGAACGTTCTCCTCCCGCTTGTAGTACCAGGAGACGTTCCTCCAGCCGGAGCAGGTGATGGTGAAGGAGGAGTTGGTGGAGAGAATTACCTCTGAAACGCTGGGATTGAGTTCCAGACCTGAACCTCCCAGACAGAGCAGAACCAAACCTGCACACACACACACACACACCAGCATGGGGTTAATTGCGCAACAAACTACCATATTCTGTTAAACAGGTTGCATCGCTCCCGTTTCAGGTCATTTTGTGCTTTGTTTTTACCCAAGATGAGCAAAGATGAGTATAACCAATGTCCACTTACTGTATATAATCACTAACATTTAGATAATTCAATCAAATAACACTAACAATAAAAAGAATTAGCTAGGTTAGCCGAAATTAATTATTTTACACTTAAAGCCCTGTTTTAAGATCGTTTCTGAGGAAATAGCGCTGTAAAGAGGACAAATGCTGCTGTCCCGAGAATTTTAGATTTCTGTGACACTAAAATCGCTGCAAAAGATGCTTTCCAACAGGTTATCATAGTTTTTGTCTGACTCCCTTGACTTGACTTGGTACAACTCAAGTAAACTGCCACTTTCTCCAACAAGCGGATACAATGAGACCTGTTTTCCGGTTTGTTCATGTGACATTCGGCATAAAGCCTATTCAGAAGATTAGTAAAACTTAACTCACTACTGCTCTACATTAACTCAAGATGTGCAGGAACCATTTTATCAAGGTTCCTCTATGAGAATTATGGGATTAACAAGTTTTGTGGCTATTTTTTTCCAAGACACTACAGACTAGGAGGGTTTTATTTTATATTATTAAACTTTATCTATTTGCATCTATAGATTTCGATTACAATACATTAGAGCCAGACCGATATATCGGCAGGCCGATATTAGGCATTTTCTAAAATATCGGTAGTTATAATGGCCGATAAATGAATATTTCAAAAATAAAATAAAAATGGACGAATCACGCTTCAACTATGTCATGTGTGTTGTCAAAAAGTGCAGGTAAAGGGATAAGCAAGCTGACATTGTAATTATAAGGTGGCTTATAACTATAAGGCAATGCAGGGACTAATTATTGTTTTATTTATCAGAACTTTAATTTATTTTGATGTTCCTCTGTTCTGTTGAGACAATAGAAACAAGTTTCTTTTTAAAATGCATTATCATATTATTTTAGTTAAAACTCAAGAATAACTACAAAATATAGCTGCAAGCAGCCATTACCGGGGCCAAGCGCAAGAAGCGGCAACATATGCCAAAATGGCTAGGAGTGGCAGACCAACTGCAGCAAGGAGCAATTACGGGCATTTTGAGAGAACTTTTGGCAAATGGCTAAAAAAAAATCACATAAACATTAACTTATAAGATGATTTAATGGATTATCACTTTCGAACAATAGGTGGCGCAGTTACGAAATAGATGTGTGGTCAGAGTGAGGTGACAATGACACATGCAAAGTTTGGTGTCAAAATGTGAAGGCATTGCAGAGATAAAGCCTAAATAGTCATTTTGGCAGCATGCCTCAAATTTGATGCTGTGGTATACGAAAACGGTTTTGTCTATCGTCACGCAATCCATAACTTTTATTCGGCACCGTCTGGAGATGATACGATTCAATTTGCGTGAAAATCGGACAAACGGTCTAGGAGGAGTTCGAAAAAGAAGGTTTTTTAAAAAATAAAGATGGCGGACAGGACGTTTGGCTGATTATGCAAAACCTGATATCTATGTTTTCGGCATAACCGAAGGAATCTATTAAGATCAGTTTCATTGCAATAGGCAAATTTATTCAAAAGTTATTAGCGTTCTCAGAAATTAATTATAACTTTTGACCAACAGGTGGCGCTGTCTCAAAATATTTTGAGTACCTTCAGGGCATGCTGCTTATGGCACACACTGAGTTTTGTAATATTACACCAATGCATTTGTTTAGTATAGCATTTTATTTCACAAAACTCTATTGAAGTCAATGGGAATTTCACGTTTTGTTCTATTATAGCGCCACCAAGAGGCTCAGTCCCACAATTTTTTTCCTGTGTCCTCAGAGTGACCCCATACATATGTGTGTCAATTTTGGTGCAAATATCTCAATTCACTTCCGAGTTATAAACATTTATATGAAAAAACACGTAAAAAATGACTGACACATGACTTTTTTTGAATTTTACTACCCCTTACTATCAATATTTTCGCATTTGGGCATTTGAATCTAGTTAACGAGCTATGATTTCGTGTTTCTGACGATGGTTTCGTCTCGATCGGAACAGCGGTTTTGAAGATATCGCCAAGTGTTTTTTTCGCGCTAAATCGCTACGCTACACCAACCGTAAGACGAAACCCAGCATGTTTAGTATCGTTGGACTCGGCAACGATTCAGGAACTCAAAAACATGACTCCCGTGAAAATAAGTGTACCACACCCAAAGCTATAAGCGTTTGAAAAAAAAAATTCACCACTAGGTGGCGCTGTTTCGAAACTTCTCAGGCTCCTTCAGGGCATCGTACTGATGACCCATACCGAGTTTCGTAACAATTCGTTCATGCGTTCAAAAAATACAGCATTTTAGCACATAATTCAAAATGGCCGACCGCCAAAATGGCCGTTCTGGGAAAATTGGATATCGGTGGACTCGGCATGACGCCCTGAATCTAACGAGACCAAATTTATGATTTTTGGACAAACCGTTCAGAAGTTACGAGCAAAAATAGCCATTTTTCATATCTCCGGACCACTAGGTGGCGCTGCGCCGAAACGCTGCATGTAGCCTCAGGTCATGCTTGTGATTACATGTACCAAGTTTGGTCTGAATAGGATGAAGCGTTGCGGAGATAAAGCCTTACGTCTGTTTTCGCAAGCGTTACGTAAAATTAGTTTGTGCGTTTATCGAAAACGGTTATTCGAATTATCTTGAATTCCATAACTTTTTGTCAGCACTGCCTGGAGATGATCCGGTGCGATTTTGGTGAAAATCGGACAAACGGTCTAGGACGAGTTCGCAAAAGTACGTTTTTTGGAAAATTCAAAATGGCGGCCATGTTTTTATGACGGAAAATGACGTCATAGGGTGCGATCGAATCGGCATGAGCTCAGGAATAAGAGGAAAAAAGAATTTTGTTGATAGGTCTTACGGTTCAAAAGTTATTAGCATAATAAAAGTGAAACTTTGGACAGTTGGTGGCGCTAGAGGGAATGAGTTAGAGACACCAAAATTGGTGTATTTAAAGTTGGGACTGTCCTCTATCAGAATGTCAAACCAAAACAACTTTCCCGCAAACCGGTCTATGGGCTGCCATAGACGCCCAGTCGGAAGAAGAATAATAATAATAATAATAATAATAAGAACCGGAACAGATACAATAGGTGCCTCCGCACCTTCGGTGCTTGGCCCCTAATAACTAATGTTAGGGAAATCTGTTAATATTTTGTTGTGCGTTTCTGAAATAATAATAATAATATCGGCCGAAATATCGGAATAACGGATTTTAAAACCAACAAACATTTGTATCGGTATCAGCCTTCAAAATCCTTTATCGGTCTGGCTCTACAATACATATCTTAAAAGGTTGTTTTAAGCATTGATTCAGAAATCTCCACTTACTTGGGGGTAATTTGATGTGTGATTAATGAATCGTCACATTGTGTAATTCATTATTTTAACATTTTTAATCGCTTGACAGCCCTTTCTTTTAATACAAAACATATGCTGTGATTAATCAACAGGGGAAGCATGATGATTTTTTGCATTAAAACAGCTTTTTAGGTTACAAAACATCTTCATGAGAGAATCTATTAGTTTTCCAAAACCAGGAATTTGTTTTTAATAACCAAAAGTGTCAAATAAGCAATAAAAGAATGAGTTCGGTACATTAAACTCAGAAGACATCGCGAGTGCGGCATGAACACACGGGTTTATTTGGTTAAGTCATTATTTTGGGGTTTGTTTAGTCTGTTACCTGTTGTCATGGCAGTCAGCTGGAAGCGGCCGATGGTGAAACTCTTCATGCTGTCTTCCAGAGCAGGACAAGTTTAGACTCTGCAGACGGAGGAAAAACAACTCAGGATTGATTCGCCTCAAAGCCAAAGGAAACGGCAATCTTCCTCAACGTTTATTTTTACAAAAGATAATATGCCTCAGTATGTCATATTCCTCTAGCGAAGTCCTTTTAAAAACTCAAGCGCATGAAAGAATATACAAAGAGTTTCCTGACTCTATTTCCATCTTTAATTTCTTGCATATTTGCATTCAACGGACTGGATGTGCTGCTTGTGGAATAACACACGGGTCGCTTCTCACACAGGCTTCAGAGAGGGACACGCATGCCTGACTGCACACAAACAGAAGCATGTTTCACAAACGCTCTTATTGTTGCATTTTTCACAGCGGCACATTCACTGGCATCACTGCGGTAACGATTCCCAGCAAAAATACAGCTTAAATTACATTAATACAAATGTATGATTTATATAGATATAAACAAAGAAAGTAACAACAACAACAAATTAATAAAAATAATGAATGGATTAATAAACAAAAACCAAAAACAAATCAATTTAAGAATCAATAATTGAATGCATGCATTATTAAAAGGAACGAACAAATCGATGTGAGAATCAATTAATGAATGTGTGAGTGAGAGTGAGTGAATGAACAAAAGAATCAATAAATGAATGAACGTGCGAGTAAAGGAACAAAAGAATCAATGTGAGAATCAATAAATGAATGAACGTGTGAGTGAAGAATCAATGTGAGAATCAATAAATGAATGAACGTGTGAGTGAATGAACAAAAGAATCAATGTGAGAATCAATAAATGAATGTGTGAGTGAGAGTGAGTGAGTGAGTGAGTGAGTGAAGGAACAAAAGAATCGATGTAAGAATCAATAAATGAATGAATGTGTGAGTGAATGAACAAAAGAATCAATGTGAGAATCAATAAATGAATGAATGTGTGAGTGAGAGTGTGTGAGTGAATGAACAAAAGAATCAATGTGAGAATCAATAAATGAATGAACGTGCGAGTAAAGGAACAAAAGAATCAATGTGAGAATCAATAAATGAATCAACGTGTGAGTGAAGAATCAATGTGAGAATCAATAAATGAATGAACGTGTGAGTGAATGAACAAAAGAATCAATGTGAGAATCAATAAATGAATGTGTGAGTGAGTGAGTGAAGGAACAAAAGAATCGATGTAAGAATCAATAAATGAATGAATGTGTGAGTGAATGAACAAAAGAATCAATGTGAGAATCAATAAATGAATGAATGTGTGAGTGAGAGTGTGTGAGTGAATGAACAAAAGAATCAATGTGAGAATCAATAAATGAATGAATGTGTGAGTGAATTAACAAAAGAATCAATGTGAGAATCAATAAAGTGAATAGACAAAAGAATCAATGTAAGAATCAATAAATGAATGAATTTGTGAGTGAACGAACAAAAGAATCAATGTGAGAATCAATAAATGAATGAATGTGTGAGTGAATGAACATAAGAATCAATGTGAGAATCAATCAATGAATGAATGTGTGAGTGAATGGACAAAAGAATCAATGTGAGAATCAATAAATGAAAGAATGTGTGAGTGATTGGACAAAAGAATCAATGTAAGAATCAATAAATGAATGAATGTGTTAGTGAGTGAGTGAACAAACAAAAGAATCAATGTGAGAATCAATAAATGAATGAATGTGTGAGTGAATGAACAAAAGAATCAATGTAAGAATCAATAAATGAATGTGTGAGTGAATGAACAAAAGAATCAATGTAAGAATCAATAAATGAATGAATGTGTGAGTGAATGGGCAAAAGTATCATTTTTTTTTATAAATAAAATAACAATATAAAACAAAAATAAATACAAAAACAAATTAAAGAAAATAATAAATCCAAATGATTTTGGATTTGATTGACAAAGATGACTGAAAAACTTGATAAATGTGTTCACTTCCAGAATGCCTGCGAGTATCTTTCAGTGCTCCTGAAAGCACAAATAAACAATTCAAGTTTACAGGATCTGTCTAATTATGAGAGATCTGATCCCTTTTTAAGGTGTTCTAGGGGTCAGAGGTCACAACGAGCCAAATCCACCACGATGAGTGTGTGTGAGTGAGTAAACACAAGGGTTGATCGGATGGGGTTGCAGTGGGTGGAAATGGATGGATGGGTGGGGGACTGGGGGTGTGTGTTGTGGAGGTCTGGAAACAGTTAAAGCTGGATCACTGGGTGCAAAACCAGGGTGGGAAAAACCAGAGAGGGCGGAAGAACATATCACGGAGAAGAGGCGGAGGGCAAAAAAAAAAAGCGGAGGAGGGATCCTTCGAGGGAGTCGCTGGAAAAAGAGTGAAATGCTTAACTCTAGTTAACTGATAAAATATGTTTGGTAGGATGATCTAATCATAGATATTCTTAGCCACACACTTAAACTCCATGTTCTCAAGTGTTGCTTCATCAAATACGTTTTGCCCTCATACATTTAAATATATTTTGTAGTTGTAGTTTTTACACAAACTGTATTAGACTTAACAAACACATACACTTTATATTGAAAACATTTTCCAAGCAAGTAATAGCTGTTGTGTCTTTTAAAACTATCATTATCATCTCACCGGAGCAATCAAAATCAACCATCCCACACAAATCCTGCGAGATGCCCATTAAGAGTCTCTCTCGTCACTAATATACTGCCAGAGGAAAAACACACTTCATAAAATGCTGCCGGTCCCTCAGGAGCGACATACAGAAGAGAACAAGGAGTCTTAAGTGCTGTTATAGTTGCTTTAGGAGGAGTTTGTCCAGTGTGTATTCCCAGAAAAGACCAGGAATCTTTCTCATGATCTCTGAGACACAGGGGACACACACACAGAGACCCCAGGAGTCATGCTTATACACACTCACACACATACACATGAACCATTTAAATCCTTCTGAAAATGCATAAATCTACGTGGCGTATGGATGTGTATATATATATTTTTTTTTTTCTACACTTGTATTACAGACATTATTTTATTTTTTATTATTATTTTTTTTAGTAGTTTTTCCAGTTTCATTTTTTTTTTTCAGAATTGATATGTTGTAGGATATTATGCTATCTGTTGAACTCTGCTCCCTGCTGACTAACGTTGTATAGTATGACCAGGTGTTTACTATTGAGATTAATCTTAAAATGCACTTAAAATGCACCTGTGACTTTGTTTGTTACACACACCCTGACGAAGGCATAAGCCACAACGCGTAGGTGTCTCTGTCACCAATTTTATGAATTAAAGCCATGAACTGATAAAGGCTTTTTAACTTTCGTACTATAAATCAAGTGCCTTGGATTATTATTTTGATTTCAATGCATAAATCTATTTTGAAGGAATCAATGCAAATACAAATAGGGCGTTTAAAAAGGAAAAGCATCAGGTTTGTGAGCTGCAGTGGCTTTTCCAGCTTTATAATGTGCTGAATCCTCTGAAAGCTGCAGTGAGACCAAAAAACATAACATCTGAAAAAAAAGGAGAGATGAATACGGTGGAATATTTCGCTGCCAAGCAGCCCAGCAATGAAAAGAGCTCTAAATCAAACCCTTTCAGCGGAGGAGAGAGAGAAATTCTGGCTAAAAAACAGGAGAAGAAGAATATGAAAGACTGAAGAACAGTAGCTCTGAAGGAAATAGAAAGAGGCCAGAATGAGGCTCAGGTCCATGTCAGAACGGGCTCTTTTTCATGCTAACGTCTCTCTGGGCTCCAGAAAAGCTTCACTGTGGCCAACCTGCGTCAGAGAGACCACAGACTCATGCAGAAGCCGTCAGATCACTGAAAAGAGCTCATGCTAAAACAATTATACCACAGAATACAATGGAAATCTAGCGCCGTTACTGTTATTTACACTCGTCTGGCACTGTTGACTTCATATATTAAATTAGCATGCATGACAGAAACCAGCTATACAACATGAAACGCCAAAAAACCTTGAATGCAGGTGAGATCAACTGTTTTAGGTGGTTGCCAGGGTGTTGCTATGACATACCAAGCACTTTATACTGTTGCTATGTGTTTTTCTAATCTGTCCTGGGTGGATGTGAATGCATTCTGAGCATTTTATAGTGTTGCTACATGCTTTTTAAGATGTTCTGGGAGGTTGCCAGGGCGTTGCTATGCATGTGCTAAAGTGTTCCAAACATATATTAAATTAGCATACATGACAGAAACACCAGCTATACAACATGAAAAGCCAGAAATCCTTGAATGCAGGTGATGTCACTGTATAACTGGTTTAGGTGGTTGCCAGGGTGTTGCTATGCAGTTGCTACGAAATACTAAGCACTTTATACTGTTGCTATGTGTTTTTTAAGGTGTCCTGGGTGGTTGCTTATGCCTTCTGAGCATTTTATAGTGTTGCTACATGCTTTCTAAGATGTTGTGGGAGGTTGCCAGGGCATTGCTATGCATGTGCTAAAGTGTTCTAAGCAATTTAGTCTGTTGCGGTGTGGTTTTAAGGTGTTCTGGATGGCTACTAGGGTGTTGCTGTCAGTTGTCAAGGTTCAAGCTGTTCAATTTTAAAGAAATGCTGCAAAGTTTTAACAACATTCTGGGTGGTTGCCAGGGTGTTGCTATGACATACTAAGCACTTTATACTATTGCTATGTGTTTTTTAAGGTGTCCTGGGTGGTTGCTTACACATTCTGAGCATTTTATAGTGTTGCTACATGATTTTTAAGATGTTCTGGGAGGTTGCCAGGGCGTTGCTATGCATGTGCTAAAGTGTTCTAAGCAATTTAATGTGTTCGGTGTGGTTTTAAGGTGTTCTGGATGGTTACTAGGGTGTTGCTGTCAGTTGTCAAGGTTCAAGCTGTTCAATTTTAAAGAGTTGCTGCAAAGTTTTAACAACATTCTGGGAGGTTGCCAGGGTGTTGCTATGACATACTAAGCACTTTATACTGTTGCTATGTGTTTTTTAAGGTGTCCTGGGTGGTTGCTTATGCATTCTGAGCATTTTATAGTGTTGCTACATGATTTTTAAGATGTTCTGGGAGGTTGCCAGGG